CAGGGAATCCCCAACAAATCAAGGCAACCGTTCTTTCGGGTCCTTTATCGACATTTCAGGTTCTGCGGCATACAACGGACTTTGCTACGTTCTACTTGTCACCGACGAGTTTAGCGGTATGATGTTTCCTGGTCCTTGACTTCAAAAACGGAAGTTAGCCAGATCATTAAGGACTTTGAAGCCAGGTTAAACGACATGCGGGTGCATCGATCTGCAAGATCAAAATCGACAACGAAAGGACCATCATCAACCTGCCCTTCAACGCGATTCCGAGTTCCAGATCTGGGCTACAGAAGTGAGGCGTTGAGATTGAACTTCCGCCGCCACGCAAGGAACCGACTGGTGGTGCGGAACGACCTGGGGGTATTAATCAGCAACAGATGCGCTGTATGTTCGGCCTTCTGCCGCCAGAACTCTGGCCAGAAGTCTATCGTGCAGCCGTTTGGATACACAATATCCTTCCAAGCCGGAGGAACGACTGGATGTCGCCTGAGAGAAATGGACCGTTGGTTTCACCAACACTTTCGATGGTACAGACCGCCAAACGTCGACTTTGATGCAAACAAGGATCTCCGACCAGACTGGCGTGGGGTGTATGCGTATGGATGCAAAGCATATCCCTGAACAGCCGATACAAGGCGGAAAGACATCAATCAATTCAAGCTTGGCACGAGCACACGTTGGATACTTTGTTGGCTACCACGCCAGCAATATCTATCGCATCTGGGTCCAAGCTCAATCAGGTTATCCTGTCCCGAGATGTACGATTCAACGAGGAGGAATTCTTTGATCCAGAAGGAAGAACAGCTCGAGACTGAGGCAATCGCCGAGTACAAGCCAACGTCACAGCGCTCGATCCGCTTCCTCAGCGAGACTGGGACACGCTCTTGGATGAATTTCTCTATGAGTTTGATCATCATATCTTGAGGTTCGACCTGGAGGTTCGAACTCGGGGGTGAAGACGCTAGAGGTGCCATCTCAGATGTTAAGACGCTGGATCGCAGCTTCTGCAGCCTCTATCGCAAGACAGACTTCTCGCCTCTGAGCGAATCCCCGGTCCTTCCGACGCCGGAACCAACACCACAGCTGGACAGAAGGACGCCTCACCAGCTTCCAGGTCAACGGGCTCAAAGATTTCAACACCAGACCCACCGTTGCAAACAGACCCGAGCTCACCTGCCCAACGTTCTGTGGCTGGTTCAAACAGCGATCTAACTGAGCATCATAACGCCGAAAGCTCTCCAGTGGAGTTAGAGTCTCTGCCCCAACAAGACAGAGAAACAAGCTATGATAGCCAAAGGTCGACTGATTCAAGCGATCCAAGTCCTGAAGGAGTCACCCGGGACACGATCGTAGTTCAACCGCTGCCACCACGCCGGCGACCTTCCTCAGAAGGCAATAGCATGCAACCGGACAAGCAGCCGTCAGGTGACCAACCAATTCCTGAAGAACCACGCGGCAAAACGCGCACCCGCCGCAGTCAACAGGAGATTTACGGTGACCAGCCAACTCGCAGAGTGACCGGACACCAAAGCCAAGAGGAAGCACGATGATTACGTCAACAGCGTTTCACGGCCCTGCTTCCAGCGGATCAACATCAGAGGAAACCTCGAAACATTTCATAGTGTCTTTCTTGCCGCAGTCTCTAAGACGGCACGAGATCATCGATTTCACCGCGATGACCTTGTACGACTCCTAAACGCTACCAGGATCTGAAAACCACCCGATGGGCCCAGACTTCAAAGAGGCCATAAGGAAGGTGCACGATCTCCTCCGACGTGGCACCTGGAGACTGGTCGAACGCAACAAGGCACAGGGATCGCCTCTTCCACTGAAGTGGGTGTTCACCTATAAGTTTGATCAGGACGGATACCTCCAAGGTGCAAAGCTCGGATCTGCGTCCGTGGCGACCTGCAGGACGAGGACGACGGACGGAGACATATGCAGCCACCCTTGCAGCAAAAACCTTCAGAATCGTGATGGCAATCGCAGCCCGATTCGGTCTTGACGTTAGACAATTCGACGTTGGTAACGCCTTCCTGTACAGCGACCTAAAGAAGGACCATCCCGTCTACGTCCGGCCCGCAAGGCTTTGTAGAACTTGGTTTCTTGAAACCTGGAGAAGGCTCAACCATGATCGCGGAACTTGACAAGGCCTTGTGGTCTTCGAGTCTCCACTGCTCTGGTACAATGAGATCTCCCAGGCCCTCAAGGAGGCGGGGATTGACCGTACGGATGAAGAACGTGTGTTTACCAACGGCAAAATCCTGGCTCTTGTCTATGTCGACGACATCTTGATTCTCAACCCACGGCAAGAGAAGAAGGCGGTAAACGACCTGGTCCAGCATCTCCAATCCAAATACGATCTGCGCGAAGAAGAATTTAAGTGGTATCTTGGCATCAGGTTGTAAGGATCGACCAAACAGGAAGATCTACCTCTGCCAAGACGCGTACGTCGAGAAATTGCGCGAAAGTTCAAGCTCAGCGACTTGAAACTCCGAGTACCATCAATCCCCATCGCGACGATCCCGCTCGTCAAGTACAACGGGCAGGCTACCAAGGAAGAGATAAAGGCGTATCAGGAACGAGTTGGATCCTTGATGTATATCGCGGCCATGACCAGACCCGATATAGCACGAGCAGCAGCCCAGCTCGCGAGGTTCCTGACAAACCCATCGCCTGAACACCTTGAAGCCGCAAACCAATGCATCCGATACCTATACTCAACGAGATTCCTTGCAATCATGTACGACGGGATGCATCGGGAGAGTACTTGTGATCGCAAGCGACGCGTCATTTGGAGATGATACCGAGACCCGTCGTTCATCGCAGGGATATGTGATGATGTTGTTCAACGGACCGGTCATATGGAAAGCTGGACTCAAGACACAGTCACGACTTCAACCACCGAAGCAGAAATTCTCAGCCTAGAGAGAACAACCAAGGAGAGTTACGCCCTGGACCGACTATTGGGATATCTCTCTTGATCTCGGGCCTCTGAAGATTTACTGCGACAACCTTCAGTCGATCCGACTAGTGGTTGAGGAGAACCAGAGAATCACGACCAAGTTGCGGCACGTTGACATACAGAACATGTGGCTAAAACAGGAATTCAAGAAGGGTAGGTTCCTAGTGGAATACTTGAAGACTGATCAGATGCCAGCAGACGGATTGACCAAAGCGCTATCGAGAGCGAAATTCGAGCACTTCAGATCGATGCTGAATCTGACAGATATCAAGAGGGAAGCAAATTTGGAAGTGGGATGTCGATGACCTTCTAGGTCAGGCTGGTTGTGATAGCTTCTAGCAGCGTTGACTTGATCACTCAACGCTGGGGGGTGTGTCGCATATCAAGCCTGCCTAGGATGATTATTCATGAAGTGGCGATGTTACTCGCAACGCCGCTGTTGCCTGCTAGGCAACCACTACCGGTACTGCGTAATCACGCGACGGACCTTTCATTTGCGTATAAAGAGCTGCACAACTCCGTGCGTTCGTTCATTCACTTCTTGTTCTTTAGATAATTCTCATCAATTGCCTGATGCCATCTCTGACCCGTGTGGAGCCAAATGTCTGACAAGCTTCCGTTCGCTTGACTGGCAAACCTATTTCGGCGTATATCTCAACATCAACCGACTTCAAAGTCGCGCTTGCATACGCCACATCGTAGTACACAGAGCAAGGGCACTCATGGATATGTCTATCACATACAAGCAACGCCGAATGTGATTCCTCTGTCCGGAAGCATGGACCTACTGTCGGACGCCAAAGCGTTGTCCGAGTATGACGCGTTGGGCGGGATACACTGGGACCAAATCATTGGCTGGAATGCAATACCCCTGGACTCCGCGCCCGAACAATTCGCAGAATATGAGGCCAATCCAGAAAAGGACCTCATCGCCAATACGGAATATGACCACAAATACGACCAGTATTCTGCTAGTGGCCCTCAGCCACAGCTTGATGAGAAAAATTAAGATCCAGCCGGAGGAAAAACGGCATATCAGTATGCCATAGACTTCATGAACAGCGTGGGGATGCTGTGGGGTGGAAGGAGCTTTCCCTATTTACGGCTCCGGATCATGCAGAGAAAACAGCTTTGATAGAGGCAAAAGCCAAGGAAGCCGCTGAGACAGCTCAGCAAGCCAGCAATGCCGCCAATGATGCCGAACGGGCAGCTACTTCGGTCGACGGTGAGACAGATCATCAAGCCGCCTTTGCTGATGCAGAAAGGGCCGTTAAAGCAGCCAGAGGGCAAAAGACCTTGCCAAAAGGTAGCCAGCCTATGCCAAGACTATTTTGCTCTTCGTACGGATGTTTATGCCTTGAGGAACGAAAGGCCTTCTAACGTGCCCGACCCCGCCCTCTCCCCAAAGTTCTCTCCCTTGATTGGTCCCTTGTGATTGGTCCCTCCTTGCCTCCCTCCTCGTTGGTCGCTGCCCTTCCCCAGCTTCTGTTGCCTTTTCGCGTGCCTTATCCCACCACTAGGCGCCTCCCACCCTTTGTCCCGCACCTTGGACACGAGCATGATGCCGTCTAGAGTTCGGCAGCGCGATAGCTGCACGTACAGGCCGTACGGGTCGCACTGCGAGGGCACCCGTTCCATCCATCTTCGTCGTCCGTGTCCCTCGCAGCTCGAGGCCACGCGCTCCAGCGTTTTGCCCTGCACCTTGTAGTCCGTGCACGCGAACGCTGCTGCGCACGGCAAACCCTTTCGGCTGACGTCGTTGCGTTGCCACGGCCTTTTTCGCTGGCACTGTATCTTAACGGTCATGGGTGTCAACAAGATCGTGCCCGGCGGCATCCCGACGAAGTGGAGATATCTCGTCGTCTCCGATTCGAGAATGATCCCGCCGGCGGCCGAAGTGGATCGTCATATCGGCCGAGATCCGATGCCCCGGGTACGCCTTGTCGACAATGACCTCCACCGCCGAGTAGCTCGCGCCGTTCACTAGCTTCAGCCCCTGGTGGGTGTTGTGGTTCACGACGATGGGCATCCCGGCCACGAACATGAAGACGGCCGGCACCGGGATCGCGCTATCGTCGCCCTGGTTGAGTATCATGATCGCCTCTTCCTCCGTCGGCAGCTCCTCCTTCCACTTGTGCTCGGGATGAAAATGCGCATCGTCGACCGCTGCTGGACCCGGAACGCCAGGCTCGCCTCCATGTTCAGGTTCCACCGATTCCTATTGAGCGGCGTCACCACGGTGATGCCCGTCTCCCAAGGATCCGCCTTCCCCCGGTAGCACCTTGAGTTGAGGAGGTTTAGATCCGTCCGATCCTGCACGCCTAGACGGATCCGCTTCAGCAGCCTCTGCAGCTCCGGGTCGCCGGCGGCGCGCATCTGCTCGTCCAGCATGACGACCGTCGTGAACCTCTTCCACAGTGCGTGCGCTTTGTCGTGCTGGTGACGCTGCTCGGCCTTGAACGAGTTGTCTACGTCCCACGAGATGGCCGCGCTAGGCAGGACGATCGACCTCTCTTGGACCGGCCGGAACTGCTGAAAATCTCCGCAGAAGAGGACGATGGGGATCCCCCCGAAATCTTGCCGCGATCCGCGAAGCCGGCGAAGCCGCTCGTTCACGGCGTGCAGCGTCCGCGCCCGAGCATGCTCACCTCGTCGATGACGAGCATCCTTCTCCTGCCAATCCATTCGAGACTGGCCGTGGATGAACCGCTCCGCCTGTTTCGGCAGCCGCACCGTCAAGGTCTTTGACCATGTTCGCGCCCCGCCCCTTGGTCTTTAGTGAACCCGCAGGCGGAGTGGATCGTGATGCCGTTGATCCGCGCCGCCGCAGTCCCCGACGTCGCCGTGATCAGCAGACGATTCGAAAGGCTCTTTTACTGAACAGCTCGACGAGTGCCTCGATGATTCGCGACTTGCCGGTACCGCCCTCGCCACCGACGAACTGGCGCAGCTGGCAGGCATCGCCCCGTCGGTCTGCTGCATCAAATCGAGCTGGCGGCATATTATCAGAAAAGCGATGGACTGCCTCTTGTTCAGCGTCAGCCGTGTTGCCAACACCTTGCCCGCCGCGAGGAAGGAGGTTGATGGGCCAAACTGAACGTCCATTCCCGCCCCTGCGTCGATAGCGGTCTCGTCGGAGTCGGCCATCGTCATTTCGACCTCGTCCTCCCGAAACCGGTCATCACCTTCGCAACGCTGCGCGGCGATCGCTTTCCCAGGCGGCGGGCGTGCTTTGTATCCCTGGATCATCCTCTCCCTCTCCGAGGGCACTTACCTGCTGCGACTTGATAGCCTTGACCTGATCCTGCGGCGGTAGTGCGGCCCCGGAAAATACCCGCCCTGGCATGCTTAACCCCTGCACCTCGGACGACGTCGATGAGCCGCGTTGCGTCTCCGATGCTGTTGGGCTGATATGTCGCTGCAGACTCCGCGCCCGCCTCGCCTGCTCCACCCTCCTCGACGTGTGCGACCGTCGGGTCGCCATCGCCGGACGAGGCTGCCCATTGCTTGGCGTCGCGTTTTGCGTCTTCGGCGGATCGTCGAAGCAGCTGCACGTTGTCGACCAGACATGATATTCTCGGGGCCATAGCGTCTCGAGCCCGCGCCCAGATGCTGTTGATCTCACCTGTTCCTTCGCCCAGGAAGGACTCCCGGCACGAACAGCGCAAGATGCTGCACGGCTGCCCTTCAGGGGGTGGGTTAGCCTCTCCGATAATGCCCGCTGACAGAGCAGTTGCCATACACACCTCCGGTAGCACGACTCGTCATCGTAGGTGAAGTCCTTGCTCAGGTAGCCGTCGAGGCAGACGGTAGCGTGCTTGCCCGGCCGCCTGAGCACCTGAACCCAGCGTCGTCCCGGCGCCCATCCATCCTCGAAAGACATCTCCCCCCAAGCCGCCCAGCTCTCGTCGTTGCCGATGCGTTTCAGTCTGACGATCGATATGTAGTCATACAGGCATAGGCCTTTCAGCAGCTCTCCCCGGTGCTGGTACGCCTCGACGTGGGAGATTCTCAGGCCTTCTTCTTCGACGACGACCGACTCATCCAAGGTGTCATCCGTAGCCGCAGCGCCACTGGCTTCTCGGAGATGCCGCCATCGCCGAAAGACTTCCCAGTACAGCAGAGAACAGTTCAGGTACGCCCACGCGCTGCTGTCGGTGAACTCGGCCGGATATCCGAGAAGGTGAGCGACGACCTCGACCTGTGATAGCGGACGCTCCGTGAACACGCGGTTCGCCACTCTCATCAGGAACTGTCGCGTCCTGTTCCCTTGACAGGGTCATCGGTGGCAGCGTCTCCGCCACCGTCCCGCCCTCCGTTTGCCGTGCCATCACCTGTTGAGGCGGCCAGGAGCTCGGCCGCGGCCGCCACACGCTTCCACACCGGGTCCTCCACCTTGGTCGCGTAGTTCGTGACATAATAGATGAGGGCCATTGTCTTGCGCTGCGTCGCAATGAAGGAAATATCATGGTTGTGCCGGGCCCGACAGCAATAGCCTCGTTCCATCGATTGACCATGCTGTGTGTCCTCCGGATCTGCAGCACCCCGTCTGCCGTGAGGGCGGTCTTGTCGACTAACCTCCATGGCGCCTTGAACCGGCAGAGGTCCCCTTTCCGCCCTCCTTTGCCCAAGGAATACTTCACACAGGTCGGGCTATGCGTGTGCACCTGCGTCGCGCCGGCACAGAAGTTGGCCTCCTCGATAAACGCGGCCGAGAACTGCGCGGCGTTGTCCAGCAGGAACCAATACCGCCCGTCACAGATCGCTCCGCTTGCACGGCGCAAAAACTTTCCTGGTCAGATCCTGCCTTGCACGTCAACCCGGCCCCACTTGGCCATCAGAAGAGTACTTCAGGCTCCCGGTGGCACATCTTAGAGGCGCTATCGATGTATCGGACGATTCGCTCGCGATACGCCGCCTGATCCTCCCCGTGGATGTCGGCAAGCATCGAGCTGAGATGCGCGTTCCCGTGCAGCCAGAGCAAGCCGTGAACATGAAGCGCCCTCGTTCGTTCGTCTCCACGGCGCCATAGTACTTGCCGATGCGCCCGAATACCGACTCTTCACCGACCTTCACGTAATGATCGAAGAACAGCTTCATCTCGCGGTGGAAGAACACGGCCGAGCTCATGGGATCCGATATCGCCAGCCGTGCCCGCTTATACGCATCCCCAAGGCCTTCTAAGAACTCCTCGGCCGCGTCGGGATCGCGTGTGCGGTATGCCGCCAGTCGCAGCTTCACCGGGTTCGTAATGTCGTTCGGGTTGATGGTGAACCAGATGGCCGGCACGCCATATCCGACGATGAGCGACTGGATTTTCCGCCGCATATTGAGACGGACCTCTCGACATGGGCTGCCGGTGGCCGTAAAGCGAGAGGCTCCTGAGAGCTCCTTCACGTCACCATCGGTCGTCTTACCCGAGCTCTCAACTCGACCCTCGCCGCCGCTAGCCTTTCTGTGGTCATCGAACGCACGATGCGCTCTACCTTGCGGAAGTTCTTCCTCCCCACACTCAACATGCTGACCCGGCGGTTCCTCGACCGCACCCCATGTTGAAGACGAAAATGCGAAGATGTGGTGCAGTGCAAATCGACCACCATGGCGCCGGAGCACGATCTCGGCCCACGCCTGAAGGTTCAAGCTTCGAGACGATACGGGGTCTCCGCGGCCGCCTCTGCCTCGACAGCCCTGCCTCGCAAGTTGGCCGTGACCTTCCCCGCGTCGACCATGGTCTCTTCAACCAGCCTTGGTCCCCCAACGCCAAATGGGAACAGGGTCGGGAACGTCCTGGCAAAGAAGGACGCCTCAAAGGAATCGGTAAACTCACCCCCCCGCGAAACCCGGATGTATGGCTCACAACCACCGTCGCCACGCCCCCGAACCCCCCCGGCTAGGGACCCGACCCACGCTCTCGGGCCCGCACGGCCGTCGTCGGCACCTTCACCAACAGCGTCACAGGCAAACTGCAGCTTCTCCACGTCCGCGACGTCTGGCGGTCCGTCGAGCGCGAACATGCCAGAAGACGTCACCTCGTTGATCGCTGGAACGTTCTGGTCGGGGCAGGCGTCACTTCCATCGCGAACCGCGCCTTCTCCGTTGGGCCCGTGACCTTCACCCTGGCCGCCGGCTTCTTGTCCTTGGTTGAGCAGGGCGAAGAGCCTCGATCTCCACCGGCCCCTCGTCCACGGCGCGTTCCGTGGGCGGCACAACGTGCGCCGTCCGCGCTTTCTCCCACCCAGACGGCTCGTTCCGCTCCATACGATCGCACACCGACGACGGTACCCCGTGTATCGAGTCTCCCAGCTCTCCATCTCCGCCGCGTCGATCTCGATCTCGGCGTAGTGGGGGTTGTTCCGCTTCAGCCAGACAAGGGCCCTCTCGACCACCCGCCGCCTCACCGACAAGAGACTCGACAGGTCGCTCGGTGCCGGCTTCTCCGCGCCCTGCCACGAGATGTGGATCTCGTCCAGTGCTTGCAAAAGGGGTGCGGGAGCACTTTGTGGCCAGCTCCTGCACATTGTTCGGAAACACTGTGATGTGGCCCTGACATGCCTCGGATACTTCACGCTCTGTCTCTGCCCGCCCGGAATGCTATATCTCGTGACAAACCCGTAACATGAGTTCAGCGAGATGAGCTTCTCTTCGACCGGCGTCAGTCCCTTGAGCTCATCGGGGAACATGTGCTCGCAGCCAAGGCGACTGTGAAGGTGGATCGCCGGCGACAGGCTCCTGCGCGCCAGGCATCGGCCACACTCGGCGCACACCGACACGGACTCGCCCTCAGGAAAGCAACTCCGGCATGAAAATGGTGAGCGGCCGCCCTTTGGTACGCAACTTGACAGCCAATGATCCCATGTAATCTCCCTCAACTCTCCTCTCGTACACTTGCGGTAGCACACCATGCAGGTCCGTATCGGCAACGTGCTCGCATCGTGGAACGCCTGATAGAAGTCTCGCACCGTCGACACCTTCCTCTCGAGCGGTATTGGCGTGCACCACGTCTGATCGTTAGACAATCTCTCCTTCAAGGCAAAGTCTTCCTCCAAAAAGCGCAGCACACTCGCCAGGTCTTCGGCCTGCAGCTCCCGTCTCCTATGCCTTCCGATTCCACTTCGGACCTGTTTTATCGGGCGCCCATCCCGGCTAGGAAGACGGGCTCTTCTCCCGCCTCCGGGACTGCCTCTGTCCGCGCAGCGAGCCGTGCCTCTGCTGCGCCATCGTCCACACCCACCTGTGCCCTTGGCCGCCGAACCGGTCCCCGACGGAGCTTGGGCAAACCCCATGCAATCGATGCTGCAAATTGCGCCGTTCGTCTTAGGTCTTGGAAAGTCGTATCCTTGGGCTGCGACAGCTCGGGCGTCGGTCCCCTTTTCGAACGAACACCCGGGACACCGCCGGTCGCCGCCTTATCTCCCCCGTCACCTTCAGGACCCCTCTCCTGGGGCAAAACGGCCGATGAAGGGGCGGACTGTCAGAGCCCACTGCCCCTGGTCTCCACGTTCTGTAGGCAACACGAACCTCGGAAGCGGACTCGGTGACTGACGTTGCGCGGAATTTCCGCTGCTGACCAAATTACGGACTTCCGTGCTCTGCTTGACCGCAAACCGCCTCGCGGCGGTCTTCTCGGCAGTGACTTTGCGATCGCCCCTGCATGCTTTCTCCATGCGGTTTCTTCGACCGCAGACTGCTTAGGCTGAATCAGCCGGAACGTTAATGCTTCATTCGCCACTGATCTGTATCTCCCGAACCGCCCCAACCTTGTCTCCCGTGCTCCGTGCCCCTTCTCGGGAGTTGCCCCTGTATCATCTCCGCACCCCGAAACAGGCACTCCCCCGTTCCTACCCTCTTCTCCATCCTCGACTGACAACGAACAGGCTCCACGGTGAGCGGCCGCCTCGCCTAGCTTCCTGCAGGACTGTCCGCCATGCTACTGCCTCCTCGACGTCGACTAGCGTGGATTGGCAACAGGCTAGAAAGTTTTGGCTCGGAGCACTTCCACTTGGATAATCTCGCTTCTTGGCGTACACTATTTCTTTCCGAGTGGAAGCTTCCTAACGATCACTACTCTCATGGCCGTGGCATTTCTTCCTTATAATGCTTGCCTATGGTACCGAAGCGATGCAATACTACTACCTTTGTAATCCCCATTTACCCTCCCTATGTGCGTCCACCGTCCCGACCTCGGCTGGTCTCCACGTGCGACCTGCTACCCCAGCTTTGCCAAGGCGGCCCTTCCATCGCCGTGCTCTCTTTGCGCCTCAGCCAATCCCTGGCTACTGCCGACCTCCGGCACATGGGGGTGGCCGCGCCAACCGCCCGCCGCACACTTCCAACCATACTCTCCGGCCCTTCCAACGCCGTCCCACCCACCTTGCGCATCAGTTGCTCCATCAATATCTGCCACTCCACCTCGTCGAGCAACAGCCAAAAGGCTGCCGGCGATAACATGTCCACGGTGTCCCTCGTGCAACCGGACTACCCGGCTAGGTTTGCTCCCTCGCCACCACCAACGTCGCATCAACGGCCTTCATGCTAAAGCGACAGCCAGGATCCCCCTGCCTGTCCTCTTGTAGTCGCTAGCCACCGGAGTCTCGACTTGCAAACCCTCTTGGAGTTCTCGTGACCAACTCGCATCCTCCTCCTCAGCTCGTCCCCTATATCCGACTTCACCGTGTCCCAATAGTGGACTCGACACGGTCGGCACCCGCCTCGCTCAGCCGCACGCAATGCCCATCCAACTACCGACGACCGTCAAAAGGGACCCTGCAATACTACCATAACCTCTTTCTTTCCTTCACTCTCATTCGTTATTGTCGCCTTTGCTATCTACTCCATGCAACGATGACACCGAAGGGTACTGCTGGACTTTCTTTCTCCGCAGACTTACCCACACTAACCTTACCGTTCGCCGACCTCCAACTTCTCGCGACATAGCCATCACCCCTACTCAACTTCCAACCCCCGGCTCCCTACTTCACTCACGACCATAGAACCAGATGGTCGAGACTGTTCAAGAACCTCGCCAGCTCATTCCCGCATACCCCGCTTCTGATCTATCACCTAGGTAGCATTCTCTGACTCTTAAGTCTCCCCGACCCTAGCCGCGAGCCCTCTCGAGCAGCAAGAAAACCTGCTTTATAGGATGCCCACCTCCACTCTGCGTAACCCCTCATTTACACTTCCACGGTGACTACATCTGCCATGTTCTCACGATGTCGGCCTCCCAGCTCAACGTCGATACCTCGTCCTCCCGCGGCAACCTCTTGACAGCCAGAAAAATGCTGGCGCCGACATGTCCATGATGGCCTTTGTCCAGCCCGGCTGCCCGTCTAGGTTCGCCTACCAGAATGAGCATCGTGTCAAAGGGCTCAACGCAGAAACCCTAGCGAGGGTCTTCCTTCCCACGCCCTCATGGCTGTCGACTCCGGGTATGCAGCAATCCGGTCAGATACTGGCAATCCATCGACCTGCATCTTCTTCAGCCTTAATATTTCCATATACAACCAACAGATAATCTCCTCGGAATGGACCGAGCAATGGTTCTTCATGGTCGGCCGTGTTCATCCCTTTGCCCTGACGTGGGAAATCGAGCGACGTGATGGCTTGAGTCGGACGATGATAACATCACAGAATACACCGTCCCCGCGCTTATAGTCCGCGATCACAGCTACCAACCGTGAGTCTATGCTCCAAATCTCTCTGTCGCCACTGCCCTCCTGACGATATCCATAGAATTGTCACTCGCACCTCAGCTCGGTGGATACTTTCCCAACGATACAACCCATTGTCTCCTTCACGGGACCTGTCATCGGCTCCGGCCGCGACCTCCTGCATGGAAACTCGGCTGCGGCCCTTGACGACACCCAGCTGAGCTGCTGCGGCTTTGTCCAGCTCTCCACCTTTATTTGTCCTGGGATTCCCGGCAAAACCCCTTCAAGGGCTTTCGCCCTTCCAAGTTTTCGTCATCTTCCCCATTCACGCTAATCCTTGACCTCCTATGCAAGAAGATGACCGAGAGGCGCGACAGCCAGTTCCAGTCGAACGCTCTCTTCACCTGTACGGGCAAAATCGCCGGCTTACTGGATCACCAGATCATGAAACATGCCCCGGCTTTCGACCAAGACTATATCTTCATCGTCGTCCCCGACACGTGGACTTTCCACGACAAGGCCATGTCCGACCAGGCTTCTGCAACACAACTACTGCCGACGACACCCAAGAGCGCGGTCGGCAATCCTCGGACTATAGCGTTGCGTTGGCCAGGTTTACCTCTACGAAGAAACCCAAGGCCGCCCAAAGCCCCGCCTCCCCACGCCGCATGCTTCTGGCCCAGTCGATCCTTATGCTGGCATCAAGTCGGTCAATGCCCGATCCCTACCAAACCCCAACCAAGAGACCGCGACTTTCTCCCGAAACTTCCACCATAATCACCGACTGTGACGGTCAAGACTCCCAAATCCGATACCTCCTCCTTTCTGTCCCCGGAAGACCCCGCAGAGTCAGAGACGGACACCGAACAGGTCAATCACCAAGACACATCCGCCTCTGGCTCTATCAGACCTCCCGCGTCGATATCTTCCCGACCACTGCGCGCCCGACGTCCGCCCAAGAATATTCTCTAAACTTTAAAGCTTCAAACGAAACAATACAACATGACAACATGTCTCATCATCCTCAAAATCAACTGCCAAAGGCTCGAATAGCACATTCTCTTCTCTTCTTGTTCTCCTTTTCATGAAGACGATCAAGTCAAAACTTCCCCAATATACTCCTTATTCTGTTTATACCTACGACTTATACCGGTAGCACATGTAAATTTTCCGAGCCTTCCACTCGCCCAGACATGCATTACCCACTCACATCTCTCTTCAACCCTGCCGTCTCTCCACGCCCTTTGAGTTTGCGCCTTTTTAAACAAAATCTCCCTCCAGCGGCCTAGCCTGCCTCCCCGACGCTCTGTCTCGGTTTCACTCACGATAATGCTCTACGTCTCTCGCCGTGTCTCGTATCTCGACCTCACTCTTCTTCCTGTCTCCTATCTACTGTCGCCAACTCTCTCTCTCTCTTCTGTAGCCAACTCTTCTCCGGTTCTCTTGTCGCCAAATTTCGTTCCGAAAGGCTTCTTTGCGCGAGCCGCGGCTGGCGAGCCTTCCTCTCGTTCAGCCCGAAGGGCGTTCTACTCAGTCAGAAAGATTCGAGCATAAAACCTCCTCTGATTGGCTAATTGGCCTGGCTTGTGCTCAACTCGTGCGCGGATTGGTCGGCCGATAACGTCACCAAATGAAGGCCCGCAAAAATACCCTGAGCGTTGACTAGGTAACTGGCCAGCTTGGCAGGCTCTCCAAGAGCTTCCAGTTCTTCCTTTCTTCCATCCATGCCATCAATTTACTGGGTCGCTAGGCACTCTTTACACTAACCTACATAGCGGCTGCTTCTCTTTCTGCCCAATCTATCAAACTAATCATGTTACTAACGGTTTATAGGTTCACCTATTACCTCGGCAGCCGGCCCACCTCCCAAGATTCTCCGGTTATTCTGTCTCTTCTAGCAGTCTGAAGGGTAAGAGGTGGATACATATACGGCCAGATGGAGGACGACATACCCCAGGCAGTTCGGAATTGCCATACCTGCAAGCAAGACCTGCCTGAAGTCGAATTTCGAAGCGTCAAGGACCCTACGAAGTTTACAAGAGACTGTGCTAGCTGTAGGGCACGCCGAAAGGAACGGGTAACCGAATCTCGAGCCGCCGTTGCCGCAATGCGGAATTTCGCCTTGAGGCTATCGCCACGCAGAGCCACGAAACGGACCGATTCTCTAGCTAACCTGACGCCTCCAAGGCGGGCTGCGCCAACGCCTGCGTGTGTGCAAGTCTTACGACCCCCTGCCACATCTACGTTATGCCGTGCCCTGGCGCCCGCACTCCAGGGACTGCCTAGACCTCTGCCGGGGCCATCTACCTCAAGCGCGGTAGAGGGACCTTCCCCCACCCCTCCTACCCTTGGCCTGCCAACAGTAGTTCTGGGCACGCCGATTCCAGAAACGCCAATTCCTCAAGGCACTCTCCCATCGGCTTCTGTTGTGCAAGGCACGCCTATACCGAAGGAATCGCCTCGTACCCCTCCTTCATTACTGCCACAGAGTCGTCGCCGCGGCCGCTATACACGTCGAGTCAACATTAACCCCCGGCCACGGCCACAGCCTGAAGAGCGACAGTTCGATCAGATAGTTGATCCGCCTTTTGGGGACCTTGACTTGCCTGCCCTTTGTGAGGGATCGAGCCCTTGTGCGCGAGTTCTATACTGCCCTGAATGACGACAAGATGCATAGTTGCATTCGCTGCCAGGAGCGTTGGTTCGATATGAAGCGAAATAGCTTGAAAATCTGCAGCCGCTGCATTAGTCGAGACAGGAAGAAAGGCCCCAACGAGCCCTACTTCTTTAGCGCTGCGAACAACCTTGACTTCGGGGAAGTCCCCGGCAATCTACCTGATCTAACGATGGTCGAGGAGATGCTCATTGCTAGAGTTCACGTACATGTGAAGGTCCTGCAGGTACGTGGCGCTCAATATAAATATCGCGGTCATGTTGTCCACTTCCTTCGCAATGTTGGCAGGCTATTTGAAGAGCTCCCGGTCCTACCTGAAGAGCTAGATGTCGTCCTCCTGCGGCCTCCTAATATGGAGGGCAGCCCTCGCTTCCGGCAACAGTTTGCTCGCGATTTGCGGGTACGCCGCTCATGCCTGTTGGCGTGGCTGCACTACCTACAGCGCCACCACCGGGGCTATCGCGATATCGTCGTGAGTCAGAATCGCTTGCACCGGCTTCCTCTTGATGGCAACATAGTTGATTCCATTGCCAGCCAAGTGGCTGACATACCTGACGGCGAGGTCCCCAAAGGCCCCGTCGAGGAGGCTGTGGAAGAGGATCCTAGCGATGCCGATGCATCAGCGATCCCGAATTTGCAGGTTACCGATACCGAATTGAACGCTCTGCAGTCCCGATTTCTTGATGGTACCCTAACCTGAGCGTATGACTGATGTGGAGCATATACCGTGTAACGCGCAGGCTCACCACCAGATGCCGCTGCCTTCAGTTCGCAGGACCCCCATCGACGAATTCAACCGTTCCCAGCCGCTGCTAACGCTTGCATTCCCTACCCTCTACCCTGACGGCAAGGCCGACTTCGTGGAGCCTCGTTTACGGAGCATCACGTTCCAGGACTACCTTGCCCATGCGATGAGATGGCATGACGGACGTTTCGCCCGCCATAAGACGTGGCCTTTCGTCGCCCTCAACACGCTGTTACGTGCGCAGGTCCGAAAGCGAAGTGACTACCTCGTCAAGCAACGCGACAGCCGCCGTCAGCCCCTTACACGCGCCGACCTAGAGGAAGCAATGGCTGAGCCTGACGAGCCGGAGGCTCAGGTCCTGATCCAGTCGATCACGCGCCAAGCCGCAGTAATTAGGGGCACCCGGCCGTATTGGTATAAACAAAGGAAGGAGTTGGAAGCATATGCCTATAATCTAGGCAAGCCCGGCCTTTTCGCTACTGCAAGTGCAGCCGATTACCACTGGGAATCCCTATACCGCCATATGCCTCGATTTGACGAGTGGCAAACAGCTCCTGAGGCGGCGCGGATGGCTCTATCCCGGCAACTACTGCGAGACAACGCCCACATCGCTGCGTACCACTTTCATAAGCGTTATGCGCTGTTTAGGCTATTGTCTTGAAGCAGAAGTTCAACCTAACGGACTCTTGGGGCCGCTACGAGTGGCAGGGCAGGGTTCCAGTCACCACCACGGCCTATATTGGCTAAGTGGCCACCCAGACTTAGATCCTGACAACGATCAGTCCGGGAGCAATTCGCTCGCATCTGGGGATACCACGTATCTGCAGTGAACCCAGAGCCACAGCGAATACAGGCTCCTGGGGAAGGAACCCTGATCGGTAATCTACTGGAACATCCCACCGTTCAGTTCCTATCGATGGTAGTCAACCGCGTGCAACGCCACCGCTGCAACAACTACTGCATGCAGCTCAATAAGCATACCAAGCAGGTGGAGTGCCGCTTTGGATTTCCTCACGGCCAGCGCCTACTAGCCTCCTTGACAAGGTTCCTCACTCTAAACACTGGAGCTTTAGGGGCGAGCGGAACGATGGCCAGATTAACCACTACAACCGCTTGCTTACCGTTGCGTGGCTAGCCAATACAGATGTTTCGCCTTGCACGAGTCTACAGCAGGTAATCGATTACGCGGCCAAATACTGCTCCAAGTCGGAAAAGAAGAGCGAGTCTTTTGCCCAGATTGGGAAGGCCCTGATGCCCCGGGTCAAGGACCACAACCCCTTGATTTCCTTCACGTCAAAGCTCCTCAATCAGCTGGTTGCGGAGCGGGATTACTCGAAGCAGGAGGTCAGCCACTTGCTCCTCGGCCTGCCGTTACAGGAAGGGTCACGAACTTGCCTGTACGTCGACTGTCGTAATCCTGACAGGCATTCCCGCTCCCTCCGTATTGACGGCGATGAGGTGGACGAGGCCCCCAACGTTTACGAAAAGTACACTCAACGCCCGGAAGCCCTAGCGGACCTAAGCTACGTCTCCTTCCTGAAATGCTGGAATTTCCGCCCTAGGGACCCTTCAAAGTGGAAGCAATGGCAGCCAGGCAACATTAACGGCAGGCCTCGAGTGCTGGTTTACTTTCCTCGCTATCAGGCTGATCCAGAAGGTCAACAGTGGTCAGATTACTGTCGTGTAAAGCTAACATTAAACCACCCACATCGGCGGGTTGATGATCTCCTCACAGTTGACGGCCAGCTTTTTGGTTCTCACGCTGAGGCCTTCTCCTATTGTTGGCAGCATCACAGTCATGGTGATGACCATTACGGTCGGCCAAAAGAGGCTCGATTACAGCCTCAAGATGATCAATACGAGGCTCTGCCTGTGGAGGAAGAATTTGATGACGAAGACTGGATTCGCCTCGCCGCCCTTTACCTGACAACTCCTTACCCAGGAAGATCTTGACCTACTTGGCCGCCGCGATATCGACATCAATTACGACTGGACACAGCATGTGGGTACTTATCCGGAACTCCGAGACGGCTACTGGAAAGACCTTATCGCTAGCCACCCCATGGCCAACGATGTGGAGGTCCTTGGCCCTCACTGGCGTAATACGCTGAATACGCAACAACGGCTCGTGTACGACACATTCATGGGCCACTTCCAGGCGCAAAATCCTGCTCAAATCCTTCTCCACGTTGATGGTGGTGGTGGCACAGGCAAGTCGTTCCTTATCAAGGTGCTTTCTTCCCATCTTCAGGCAGCCGCCCTACCGAATCCTAGCCCTATATGCCGCGTGGCGCCAACAGGCGTTGCGAGTAACCAGATACAGGGCAGCACCATTCATTCGTTGCTGCGCCTCCCAGTAGGCGGTACTTTCACCGACCTTCCCCCGGCCGACGCAGCCGCCCTTCAGTCCCGCCTACGGCACATCAAATACCTCGTTATCGATGAAAAGAGCATGCTAGGGCTTGAGCAGCTCGCGCGGATCGATTCCCGTTTGCGACAAGCCTTTCCACAGCGTAACCTCGAGTTCTTTGGTGGTGTGAGCGTTGTGCTTGTGGGCGATTTCTTCCAGTTACCACCAGTCCGACAAAAGCCCTGTATTCGACTAGCACCGGCCTGTCTTCGTTGGAAAGGAGAGGGCAGGTGGCCTACCGCCTATTTGACCGCACCGTCTTCCTGACCACGGCACAGCGCCAGGCTGGTGATGATCAGGCCCAGTTCCGTCAGGCGTTGCAGGAACTGCGTGATGTAAAGTTATCTATACCATCCTGGAACCTCCTTAGCAATCGGGTACAGGCCAGGCTACCGCGGAGCAGCTTGACGGCTTCAGGACCGCTTTGCGAGTGTATTCTACAAAGGCACGGGTCAACCAATACAACCACGAGCATATGGTGCATCTCAACGCCCCGGCAATACAAGTGGAGGCAAAGAATCACGGCAACGGCGCTGGGCAGGCACCAAGCAACAATGCTGGCAATCTATCTAACAAGTTCCCTGTTGCTAAGGGCACCAGGGTGATGCTCACGACTAATCTGTGGCAATCAGCTGGCCTAGTTAACGGTGCTCAGGGTACTGTATACGATATCGCCTGGAGCGCAGGCGCCGATCCATTGGAAGACCCCCCAGCCGTTATTATGGTGGACTTTGATAGCTACGACGGACCGCCGTATCTAACAACTAACGAGGGCAGGAAAATCTCACCCCATCCTGCCAGTCAGGCGGGACTTCCTTGTGGGCAACGAGACCTGCGCTCGCACGCAGTTTCCCCTAATCGTGGCGTTTGCTATTACTGTTCACAAATGCCAGAGCCTAACAAAGGATAAAATAGTTACTGATCTCGCTACACGCGACTTCCAGGCCGGTATTAGCTATGTTGCCGTCTCACGGGTTACCTCGCTCCAAGGCTTACTCCTTGAGGCGCCGTTCGATCGTCAGAGCCTCTATAACCACACGCCGACGGAAGGTTATACGCCTGCGTTTCCTACGTACTGCATTCACGGCTAACTATGAGACAGGGATGAAGATGCGCCTCGCTGACCAACAACGGCGTCAGGGTCAACAGCTGAGCGATCCACTGTATCCACCACTCTACCGTGACTAAACGTCGTCTTCCTACAAGCTACAGGGAAGGGGGGGGGGTACGATATAGGGTTATAGTTAGACTGGGCCTGCCAGGAAGTAGTTCGAACGGCTGGTTAGCCGCTGAAGGCGGAAGGGGGGTTCTAGTGGGTACCCCTTAAGAAAGTCGAGTGCAGGTATACGATATTCACCCTTCGGGCTGGATATTCAGCCGTTAAGCCCCTTGCATTGGCAACTTAACGGGTGTTCGAAGTATTTTAAGGAGGTAGTAATCACGTCTAGGAGGGCTAGAATTGCAGCCGCTAGAGCTACTCGCACAGCATATACCAAGCCGCCAAGCACCATGCAGTCGAAGCCAGAAGACTTGCCAATTCAAAGGACCTATCCGTGGCTATCAAAGCAAAGAGGAGGCTGGCGCAATCAAAAGCTCAAAGAAAAAGCATCTCGCGAATTGTGGGACAAGACTTTGGAGATGGACCAAGTGACTCGCTTGCGCAAGGAGGAGATTGTGTCAGACATTTGGCTCCACACGGGTCAGAGATGGCATCAGGCAATTGATGAGAATTATCTAAAGAACAAGAAGTGAACGAACGAACGCACGGAGTTGTGCAGCTCTTTATACGCAAATGAAAGGTCCGTCGCGTGATTACGCAGTACCGGTAGTGGTTGCCTAGCAGGCAACAGCGGCGTTGCGAGTAACATCGCCACTTCATGAATAATCATCCTAGGCAGGCTTGATATGCGACAAGATATTTATGACTCCGGTCTATGTGCGAAATGTATAAGTCCTTTCGAATAAAAACACGACCACCAGAGGGAAATGGCACCTCGCTTGAGGCTTGTTGGTAGGAGACGATTGCGAGTAACGTGCAGTTCCCTTCAGCGCAAACCCAGACGTTCTCACAAACATGTAGGGCGTTGACGTGCTTTTTCCATTTGTTCTTCCCCCTAAATGTGCTGCGGCAGCCTGCAGCTCGGAATAGACAAGGGAAGAGCCAGGCGTCGATGTCAGCACCTTTCTCGAGTAGCATCTGGACCACCTTCTCGTGTCCGTTAAGTGAAGCAGCCCAGAGAGCATTGCCGTACCTTTCACTCTGAGTGTTGACGTTGGCACCATTCTCGAGCAGCATCTGGACCACCTTCTCGTGCCCCCCATATGAAGCAGCGCAGAGAGCATTGCCATCCTTAGCGTTGACGTCGGCTCCCTTCTCAAGCAGCATCTGGGCCACCTTCTCATGTCCTTTAAGTGAAGCAGCCTGAAGAGCATGCCGTACTCTCCGCCTTGGGCATTGACGTCGGCACCATTCTCGAGCAGCATCTGAGCAACCTTCTCGTGTCCTCCACATAAGGCAGCCTGAAAAGCATTGCCGTGCCTTTCACTCTGAGAGTTGACGTCGGCACCCTTCTCGAGCAGCATCTGGACCACCTTCTCGTGTCCTTCAAGGAAGCAGCCTGAAGAGCATTGCCGTCCTCTCCGCCCTGGATGTTGACATCAGCACCTTTGTCGAGCAGCGTCTGGACCACCTTCTCATGTCCTTGAGTTGACGCAGCTTGGAGCATTGCCGTATCGCCCGCCCTGGGCGTTGACGTCGGCACCCTTGTTGAGAAGCGTCTGAACTGAACGGCATAATCCCGCAAGTGAGGCGTAATATAGAGCTGGTGCGATTCGGTACGGAATATACGGACCACTTTGTGACAAATAGTCAGGCCTGTACAACTGACAGCATTTTTTTAGAGTAACATCGCATACAAGGAAATCTATGAGAAGTGAATGAACTCTTGCGCTGCTACACTCCGCTACTACAGCGTGGTCCATCCAGTATTGTGCAGAATATTGGGCCAACCAGTATGACTGCCTGAGTTCTGTAATCGGAAGAAAGTGATCCATATCCAGTAAGTACGCAAGGCAGACTTCTGCGATGGAAGCTCTTGCATTAGTCTGTTCGAAGTGCTCAGCGATGTCCGCCTGTAATCTGTCAGACATCAAGTACTCCTTGACTGAGAAATGTGCAAGCTGCAGCTGCGTCACAGTCTTTTCGCTGCCCTGTTTGTCTCTCGTTACGGACACGAGGCTGGAACAATATCTTGACACCTCCTCTGGAACTGGCATTCTATTTTTGCGGTCAAATCGAGGTTTCGACGTGGTATCTAATGCGATCGCGTCAACGACTTCTCTGATAGTTAATGGTCGTTCGGAAAATGTTAAGAACTGCAAAATCTGCTGTTTTCGGTACCAGACGTGAACTGCTTTGCTGCTTGTTCGAATGATTCGCTAAAGACCCGTAAGACTGCCAGCTTGGCGCTGTGGGCAGCCGTTTTGTCGCAAGCAATTTTCGTGGCCGCTTCGAGGATTGAGACTGGCGCGTGCTCAGTGGACTGGGCTGAGTCGAGGAGATTCGGGGCTTCTTCCAGCTGCGCTCCTTCCGTGACGGCAGCTTCAAGCGTTTCGGTGGACGAGATTGACTGGGCCAGCTGCTGGGCCGCGGGAAACGAGTCTTTTCGGCGAGCTTCCGTCGGGTAGCGAGGTCGGAGATGCGATATGTGAGCCGCTGAATTTGGCGGCGATCGTATGCCTTGTCTCGAGGCATTGGAGTCGACATGCGAACCTGAGGCTGGTGCCATGGCCGCTGCCGGCGCGCGCGCGGCTCAATTGGAGTTTTGTCAAGAGCACTTGTTAAGCGAAAGTATGTGAGAATAGGCTACTTTCTTAACACTTGCGTGCCAAGAAAGTAAAAATACAAGGAAGGATGCGTCGCATTGACGATGGAAACATTGGGCTGGTCAGGGTATGGCCTTGTTTGCCCTCAGGTGCGGGATCATCTTCCCGTACTTGTGACGCAGTGCTCTTTTATGGTCATTCATGGCGTCGATATTCGGGTATGCTCTGTAACAAAAAAAAGAATTCCAAGTAATTTTTGTTGATATACCGACGTGATTCTGGTTACTCGTGATGGAAATCGTTCTCGCAGGAGGGTGCTGTGGGGGAATCCAGCCCTGGCAGCGGAGGTCGCGCAGGCCCGCTGCCAGTCCGCGGTACTTCTGTCGGGACCCTCCGAAGTACTCGAATGTCTGCCCATCGACGCGCCTAAACCTAAAATGGGTTTTGCAACACTGTCCCCTCTCGCCCACCGTACTAATGTGCCACCGTCCACCGTTCTCCACATAAGCGATGCGCTCTCGCGGCCTCCTCGTCAGACTATTATTGATTGGCTGCCGGTAAGTATCTTACCTCAGCTTGCAATCTGCCCCCGCCCTCGACCTTCCCTTCACGACCACCACTTGGTCAAATGAAATACCTCAGCACAAACATACCGAACAGAGCGGCAGAAAACAGGCATCCGCAATGCCTCGCGGCTGGTACCTCGCCCAGGGCCTAGTCCCACTCGGCTACAGCAGCAGCGACGACGACGAAGGCCCTTGTGAGCTGCCAAACGGTCGACTTGTCTGTGGACCTCATGGATTGGTGCGTTGTGGTATATGTTGCAGCGACTACAGCTTTATGGACGATGTCCTTGGTGAAGACATCGAGGACAACGAGGAAGATGATGAGGATCATGACGTGGCTCCTTTTGCGCCGCCATCCACCATCGCCATCCCTTCCCTAGGATCTGACGTGATGAGGGGCACTGGTCTGGTGTTCCCCTCCAAGTTTCGACATCCCACTAGCCCCCTGCGACCGATGGAGCTGTTTCGCGGCAGGGTTCGTTTCATGAATATCGTCAGGTATGAAGCTTTTTCTTCTTCGTTACGTACTTTCTCGTGCCTGGCTAACCCGCGGTCCGTGGTCACAGGTGCACCTACCCCAACGACAAGTCCATGCTTCTCATCATGACCGACGGAGCATGCCTTAACAACGGCCAATCCAATCCGAAGGCAGGTTGGGCATTTGTACAGGGGCTTCATATTGAGGGCCAACCGCTCGTGGTCTCAGGTCGTCTGGAAAAGCAGGGCCCTTGGGGTGATGACGGCATCAAAGCAGCAACCGGGCTGAGCTGCGAGCTGTCATCGCCGCCCTGCGTTTCCGACACTGGCCGGGCGAGGGCTTCAGTACAGTCATCATCGCCACCGACTCTGAGTACGTCGTGGAGGGCTCGACACAGTGGGCGAAGGCTTGGGTGCAGAACAATTGGAGGACGAAAGGTAAGAAGGGAATTGGCGGCGGCAACGTCAAGAACAAGGACTTGTGGGAGATGCTCTTGGGGGAGTGTGAGAAGGCCCACCGTAATGGCCTGGTCATCCAGTTCTGGAAGATCCCACGCCAGTGGAACGCTCTCGCCGATGAAGGTGCGAAAAATGCTGCCGCCGCAGAAGAAACGCCTGTCGAGTGGAAGGATTGCCTGGGCCTCGCAATATGAGGGTGAAGGTGACTAAAAGTGATATTGCTCTGGCAAAGCCAACTCTGTGAACCTTGACGTTTGGGTCCGCTGTCTGGCTACGTAAACCTCGTCATCATCAAAGCGAGCGGGGAGACGACGCGCACGGTTTGGCCGGCCTCCTGGCGAGTCAGTGGGAATGGACGCTGCTTCAACCGGCTCGAGGTCGACCAAGGTAGCTTGACTCATCGTCAGTGTTGTCATCTCCGCGTAAATGCCTTCCAGTCCTCAAAGTGCTCTGAGAGATATTCCATCCCTACCAACACCTCCCACAGGTGCCCATGGCCGTCAGATTTGCCCCAGCCCTGGGTCCGCATTGTCTGAAGGTATATTGGCTTGAGAATCGCATTGACTTCACCAAGTACGCGCCAATCCTCATTCGATAATATGTCAGCCGCCGGGATGCGTTTTGCCTCATCTTGTTCGCCTTCAAGTGCAAAGATGAATGCCCGAATGTCCGTCCGATTCCTCAAAGCCCTCTCGATCATCATGTATGTGGAGCTCCACCGAGTCTCGTTGTTCAGGATGACCTCCAGTTCCGCAGTTGACTCTTCGCAAAGCCGATGTTCCTCATACTCTTCATCCTGCGCAATGCGATTGAAGTGTTCGCTCCGCTGTGGCGACGATCGGATGAACTTGACAACGTTATGAAGTTTCCCGATGGGCCCTTTCGCGCGCCAGTGGCCGAGGTCCTGCTCTGGAAGGCCTCGCATGCAATTGATCTCGGATTCGAGTTCGAAGGACTCTGCATCTTTGTCGTAGAGAAAGGCCCGCGCAACAAGATTGAGAGTGTGCTCATAACAACGCATCCGGCGTGCCTTGATGTCAGCGGTTCTCATGGATGAGTCCAGCTGCTTGTACATGTAGTGCAGGCAATGATCATTTGTGACTAAGTTGTCAGAGACAACACAGCCGACTCGCCCCCCGGATCTCCCAGTCCTGGACGATGCCCACGAGTGACGCAGCAAGGTTCTTTCCGCTATGGATGCCGAATTGACGTCGAAGTGCAAGCAGCCGCGACTGCTGGCGTGCCCCCTGGTCGATGAAGTGTGCGAGACAAGCCACAATCGCAAAACGATTCGGCGACGTCCACAGGCCAAAGCTGAGGTGTATCGTCGTCAAAGCATCGCGCAACCCTACCTTGATGACGTTAGCGAAAACCTACGAGGGGAGGAGGTAGGAAAGTCGTCTCCGGGGATTGAGCCCGACAGCTCGCCCTTGCGAGGCCTTGCAAGAAGCGCTGGGTGAAGCCTACTGTGACAGGATTTTCTCGATAGCCTAGCTCAGCACGTCCTGTGCCCCACCGGGACCTGAGCGGCCTGACGGCGCTGGACGGAAAATACACACACACATACCCGTTGGTCAAAGGCAGGCGCGGCTGACCAAAAACGTTAAGTTGGCCCAAAAAATCCGGGACAGCACAAAAACCCCCGGGACAATCTTAGAATAGTGGAAAGTGGCGAAGACACTTAGTTGGGCTGCTGTGGCCCCACACCAAGATCAACGGGTAACGTCGCCCTTTGCCTGCCCTCTTCGCGAGACTGTGTGGGTGGAGAACTAGGTGGGGCAGCCAACTAGGTGCGTTAGTCAGGAAGAATTTCAGGCGAGTCACGTGACATGATGTGGTTGCCTTCTCAACTGTCTCTAGCCTTTTCGTAACCATCGTTTCCACGAAGGTTGTCGTCAACATCAAAAAACACACGTTTAGCAAGTTCCAACCAACATCACTACCACATGCAGGAAACAAACAAAATCGAGGAGCTAGAGAGGCGACTTCGTGAGGCGGAAGAACGCATTGCAAGCGAAAAGCAACGCGCCGAAGAAGCAGAACGAGAGCGTCAACAAGAGCGAGATCGTGCCGAGAAGGAGCAGCAACGCGCCGAGAAGGAGCAGCAACGCGCCGAGAAGGAGCAGCAACGCGCCGAGAAGGAGCAGCAACGCGCCGAAGAAGCAGAGGAACAGACGCGACCGACCACATTCGACGAGTACATCGCTGCTTGTCATCACCACGTCTTTTCCCAGTTCACGGTGGAAAGAGACCGCAGGCTTACGTCAAGGGGTTCCATCACCAACCCTCGAAACAAGCTGTGCCCTACTAGTCTTGAGCCTTGGCCACGGTTCATGGAACAGCAGGGGAGCATTTTCGATACTCTCTACGAATGTCTGCCCGTCGGCATTCGTGTCTTCGAGAGCAAAAACTTCCTAGCCGGTCTAGGAAGGAGAGTGGCGCAACGATCGATAGCAGATGAGAAGACGCTGGAATACTTCATGCATAATAGTGTCGAAGACCCTGTCAGAGTCATCATGGAGCAACTCAGGCAGATTGACGAGGTGTGCGACGCATTCGACATGGGAAACGGGATCGTCTTCGAGAACCATCCTCACGCCATCAGCGACGTCGCAGAGGAAGTAGTCGCCCGGGAGAACCCGTCAACACCGCCGCAAACACCGGACCACCGACGAGATCTTCATCAGCTGCGGCCCGACCAAATCTGCATTTATCGGTCTGGTGATGACCCATCCCGGAGAAGCGGACGATGATCTATGTGTCCGAGTATAAGGCACCCCATAAGCTCACAGCTCCGCATCTCCGCGCCGGATTACGGCCGATGAATATCTACAAGGAAGTCGTCAATCGGAAGACGATCCCGCCATCTGTGGACCCGGACGGCCGTTTTGAATATCACGCCGAGAGACTGACGGCGTCTGCCCTCACACAAACGTATCACTACATGATCGAGGGCGGTCTCGAGTACGGGTTGCTGACAACTGGCGAGGCGACCGTCTTCCTCAAGGTGGACTGGGCCGAGCCTGAAACGTTGTATTATCACCTGGCAGAGCCCGGGCCGGAGGTGTTGGCTCATCCAGAGCATATGCAGTCTAGCTCCGCGGTGGGGCAGTATCTCGCGTTCAGCCTGATGGCGCTAGGTAGGCCGGGCGGACGGGTGGAACACGGGCAGGATGAGCGTGATCGGGCGACGGCGAATCTCAACAGGTGGGCGGAGGATTTCGAAACGACACTGCGATCGATTCCAGAGAGCGACCGAATGGCATCGAACATCGCATCCAGCTGGGCACCTACAACATACGAGGACTTTGACCGGTCGCCGATTACGCGGCGGGAGGAGACACCGTCGAGGTAGAATAGGCGACGAGCGCAACACAATTGCGACTAGACGAGATCAGTCGGAATCATCGGACGACGAGTCGGGATATCGACCTCCGGATACGCCGAGCCCTCTGAGCGGCAAGGACGACGTGGACAACGCGGACAACGTGGACGAGGCGATGCAAATGTACCTCGAAGAAGTCAACGAATCCTGGCACGCCGGCCCCGCCAAGGGACTGATGAGGAAGTGGAACGGCGGTACTGCACCCAAGCATGCCTCCTTGGACTGGTTCAGGGAGGCACCCTCGATCCTTGTTGTCCCAACGCGGGGTGTCATGGCAGACCTCGAGGCGCGCTACATCCGATCAGTCATTCTACATGGCTGCAACTTCTGAGTGAGCAGCTGCGACAGACACTGGATGCCGGGATCACGAAGCTAGGAAAGCACGGTGCTCGAGGAGTGCTTTTCAAGGTGACCCTTCTGTCGTATGGCTACACGTTTGTGTGCAAGGGCACAGTGAAGGCCTTCATCCGAGACCTTGAGCATGAAGCAACCGTCTACAAGCGCCTAGAGCGGGTTCAGGGCGTTAACGTACCTGTCTTTCTCGGAGCCGTAGACCTTCGGCCGCTGAAGAGGACCTACTACTACGACCATCGGGTTTACGTCGTGCACATGACGTTTCTTTCATGGGGAGGAGACATAATTGACGAGGCCAAGGTCGCAGCCAGCACGAGAAGAATCCTTGAGGCCAAGGCGCTTGCATCCCTGCGGGCGATACATGAGGAAGGTGTGGTGCACAAAGACGTGCGAAGCGCCAACATGCTGGTCAACAAAGAGACGGACGGTGTGATGATGATCGACTTTGAGCGTGCTATGTTGCTTGAACTAGTGCGACGGCCACTTGCGCAGCTGGTGCCCAACAAGAGAAGATTGGACTCGGGCAGTACGACAGGTCCAGGGAAGGGCAGAGTATGCAAGCGGCGAGGTGCGGGAAGTTTTGGATTCGCAGAGGATACTCTGATGGTGAGGACAGCATTCCTGGGGATGAAGGACGGCCATAAATGAGAAAGGGACGTTTATGATCGAACGTGATGACGATGGGCGACGAATGCGTCTACTACTACTGGATAAAGGGTACGCTGTAATAGTATATTAATATGCGGAGAGGCTGTGTGGTATTGATAGCTGGGTGATTACCGGAATAGTGGTGTACGATGCAAAGAGGCAACAAACCTCAGGGCTGCCGTCAGATCAGGCAATTGATGAGAATTATCTGAAGAACAGGAGCTAAATGAACGAACGCACGAAAATGTGCAGCTCTTTATACACAAATGAAAAGTCCGTCGCGTTTACGCAGTAGCGGTTGCCTAGCAGGCAACAGCGGCGTTGCGAGTAAAATCGCCACCTTATGAATAATCGTCCTGGACAGGCTTGATATGCGACATTCACCCGGCTTCAATGCTAACAAGTCTCTGCTGCGCCAAAATAAAATAATATGTCTGATCATTTGTACGATAGAGCGCACATCGCAGGAGGGTATCACGTGCGTCAGCAGGGAACAACGTTTACCCGACACGCACACAACCTATCAAACCTCACAGCATGGTCTAGATAGCGAAGAATAACAAGAACAACACGATCATCGATCAAAGACCCAACTGAGCCTCAGTTAACCTATCCACACTGATCAGTTGTTACCTTGGCTGGTAACCTCAGAGCAGCAAGATAGAAGAGACTTCCTCAACGCATCCTCACGATCTGTGGCGCTCTGCGAAGAAAGAAGTGCTACAACGCGAGACTGACTACGAAGACCCGACCGGCGCCCACTCTATTCAGTCAACCGTGCCTAGTTGTTTGCCTCAGCCGCTGACCTCTTAGGCGTGCCCTATCGCACATACAAATCTCTGGTATCCCGCTTGATTATTAGCTTCATTGATCACTCTCGATCAATTTGACCCTCTCTTGACACCTTCTTGCCCTATTCCCTCGCAGATTTTCCTGTCAAGCCCCATCCGACATCATGAGCAGCAGCGCAAGCGGCAGCAGCGCGAACGCGAACGCACCGGCGCTCGACATCAACGAATTCCTCGATATTGCTGAATTCAACCGTGGCCTCGCCACAATCTTCAACATGGACCTCTTCAACACCCCAGTCAACGAGACTTCCGATGAGATCCACTATAATACCTACGTTCTCGCCCGCATCGTTGATTATAAAGTCTCCTCAACATGTCAAGGTCTCGAGCTGCTTGGATCATTCCAAGAAGACTTTGAGGATTGGGAGGAAGACGACTTCAAGAAGGTCGATCAAGGGTCCGTAAGGTCCTACGGAATACCCTAAGGTTCAGAGGAATCTATACAGGAAAGCTGAACGCAAAGATCACGGCATTCCTAGTAAATCTGAAGAACCGTGACCGACTTCCTGAGTGGGATGAAGACGATCTTCGTGATGCCATCTTATACGAGAAAACGGCCGCCTACCGACGCCAACAAGAACTCCTCAGACGTTCGCCATCGCTAGCAACAACCCCAGCACCAACCCCAGCACCAGTCACTCCCGATCTAAACCTCCCGCAAGACCCCCAATGACCAATCCCTACCCTGTCACGATCGAATCAACAGCAGCAGGAACTTATGATCAGACCAGCTATCGACCGCGAAGCTTACCGGACCGTGCCCCCAGTCCAGGTCCCCAATGAAGACCTCGATCCTGCCATCGCCAACCAGTTTTCTAAGCTATGGGATCGAAAGCTCAACTATTCAGGTGACGCCTACGATATCCTAGATGATAAGATCCGTTACTTTCTCGATGCCTGCCTCACAGCTAGCATCAAACCGTCACAATTCCACGCTTTGTTCTCAAATATCCTCACGAAGAGAGCAAAGAACTTCTTCGTGCATCAAGTCAGCCGCGATTCAACGTTCGCGGAGATGTATCAGAAGATGAAGCAGCACTTTGATACGGAAGTCAATAGGCAACAGTATCACACTGACTGGACCTCGATCAATTTCACACAGCTTCGGAAGGAATCTCCGAGAAGCCTCTCTGTGAAATCCTCCAGGCTCTTCTTGACAAATTGCAGCTATGCCAGAGAGCTCTTGGGAATAGCTATGGCGGCGAAGACCAGCTAATTTCAACGACAATTCGAGCATGCCGTGGCGTGCCTGAATTAGAATTCGCCCTCTTCGTGCCGGCTAAGACCTTCGAGGGACTATCTTCACAGCTAAGATCGTCACTCACAACCGTCAGCCAAAGACAGCCCGGACAGCCCAGTCAATATCTTCAAGATCAAGACCAATTCTTTACTGACCGCCGCTATCAGCACGGCGATGGAAGGGTCGCTTTTGGCAAAGCTGGGGTAGCAGGTCGCACGTGGAGACCAGGCGAGGCCGGGACGGTGGACGCACATAGATAGGCATGGTAACGGGGGAATATTGTCGCGAAGACCATTGCGCCACGCAGGCAAAAGTGGAACGCGCTCCTACAGGTGCGCTGCAATTGACACATATATCTGACAACCGCGTTTTTCCGACACACCCCCTCAGGGATCGCGGCTCCGCCGGGATTCCTGGACCTTAGCAGCCCACGACGCGGGAGTCGAACACCAAGCACCGCGCCCATTACCCAGGGAAATCCAAGAGAAGGAGGGGTACACGGCTATCTACGGGTATTACCCCGCAACGCGCAGTCACCGGAAGTTGCAGGGGTGGTGTGCCATCCCCTCCCGGGCTCATAACTGTCGCGAAGACCATTGCGCCACGCAGGCAAAAGTGGAACGCGCTCCTACAGGTGCGCTGCAATTGACACATATATCTGACAACCGCGTTTTTCCGACAAATATAGAGGGGTAGTATTGCATCGCCTCGGTACCATAGGGAAGCATTTTATAGGGAAGCTATAAGGGAAGAAACGCCACGGCCATGAGGGAAGTGATGGTTAGGGAGCTTCCCATTCGGGAGAAGTAGCGTCGTCAACAAGCGAGACTGTCCAAGTGGAGGTGCTCCGGAGCCAAAGCTTTATAGCCCGTTGCCAATTTACGGCAGTCGACGTCGAGGAGGCAGCAGCATGGCGGACAGTCCTGCAGTGAAGTTAAGCGAGGCGGTTGCTCACCCTGAAGCCTGTTCGTTGTCAGTCGGGGATGGAGAAGAGGTGAGAACGTGAGCGGGTCGGGTTCGGGGCTCGGAGATGGTGCGACAGGAGCCGGTGTAGATGTGGTGGCAGCTTCTGAGAGGGCCGCAGAGCACGGGGAGGGCCTGGGACGGTTACGAAGATACGAATCACGGGCGAATGCGGCATCAACGTTCCGGCCGATTCAGCCTAGGAAACCTGTGGTTGAAGACACCGCATGGAGACAGCACGCAGAAGCAATTGCGAGGTCGTTGCCGAGAAGACCGCCGCGAGGCGGTTTGCGGTCAAACAGAGCACGGAAGTTCCATAATATGGTTAGCAGCGGAAGTTCCGCGCAACATCAGTCACCGGGTCAGCTTCCGAGGCCCCTGTTGCCTAGGGAACGTGGAGATATGGGGGTAGCGGACTCTGATCGTCCGCTCCCTCATCGGCACTTTCTGCCTCAGGAGGGAGATCCTGAAGATGAGGAGCAACGTGTTACGGCGGCGGCGGGCGATGTCCCGAGTGTTCATTCGAAGGAGGTACCGAAGCTTCGATCCATCCAGCCTAGGGAACCGGTATTCGACAACTTAAGAGAAAACGGGCAATTAGCAGCAGCGATTGCGTCTGGTTTGCCCAAGCGCCGTCGGGGACGGAGTTGGCGGGTAAAGGAGTACCAGGCCGCAGGGGTGTCTCCAACGCAGCAGGTACGGCGCAGCATCCGGGGCCGTCTCCTGTGGGGGTGGGCGACGCCGCGGCAGAGCCAGCGGACGCTTCGCTGAGCGGGCGGAGGCTGCAACAAAGGGAGGTGGGCGGCTCATCGCGGGTGGCGGCTGGGGCCCGTGCAGTTTGATCGGCAGCAAGAACGAGGAGAGTGCTGGAAAGGGCAGGACTGAGGTCAAGGTTCGGCATGGAAAACGTTCGCCAGCACGGCCCGGTGCCTGTCCAGTGCAAAGGGCCGGATGGCGTGTCAGGGATGCGCACGTAGTCGGGCAGTCGTCGCCAAAGCTGCCGCATCCGACGGCTTGCGAAGAAGCGAATCAGCCACGGAGAGAAGAAATCATGGATCGGAGGCGGCCCCGGAGGCGGCCCCGGAGGCGGGAGAAGAGAAAACGTCTTCCTGGCCCGGACGAGCGCCCGAGAAAACAGATTCGGAGTGGAATCGGAAGGCAGAGGAGTCGGGAGCTGCGGGCCGAAGACCTGGCGAGTGTGCTGCGTTTTTTGGAGGAAGACTTCGCCATGAAGGAGAGGCTGTCTAACGATCAGACGTGGTGTACGCCAATACCGCACGACAGGAAGGTGTCGACGGTGCGGGATTTTTATCAGGCGTTCCACGATGCGAGCACGTTGCCGATACGGACCTGCATGATGTGCTACCGCAAGCGTACGAGAAAAGAGCTGAGGAGATCAGATGGGATCAATGGCTGTCAAGCTGCGTGCCAGAGGGCGGCCGCTCACCATTTTCATGCCGGAGCTGCTTTCCGAAGGCGAGCCCGTGTCGGTGTGTGCGGGTGTGCCCGATGCCTGGCGCGCGGTAGTCTGTCGCCGGCGGTCCATCTTCACACTCGCCTTGGCTGTGAGCACATGTTCCCTGACGAGCTTAAGGGACTCACGCTGGTCGAAGAGAAGCTCGTCTCGCTCAACTCCTGCTATGGGTTTGTCACGAGATATAGCATTCCGGGCGGGCAGAGGCAGGCCGTGAGGTATCCGAGGCACGTCAAGGGCCACATCACAGTGTTTCCCAACAACGTGCAGGAGCTGGCGACCAAGGTGCTCCGCACCCCTTTGCAAGCACTGGACGAGATCCACGTTTCGTGGCAGGGCGTGGAGAAGCCGGCACCGAGCGACCTGTCGAGTCTCTTGTCGGTGAGGAGGCGGGTCGTCGAGAGGGCTCTTGTTTGGCTGAAGAGGAACAACCCCCACTACGCCGAGATCGAGATCGACGTGGCGGAGATGGAGAGTTGGGGAGACCCGATAGACGGGGTGCCGGCCTTGGTGTATGATCGCATGGAGCGGAACGAGCCGTCCGCATGGGAGAAAACGCGGACGGCGCACGTTGTGCCGCCCACGGAGCGCGCCATGGACGACGAGGGGTCGGTGGAGATCGAGGAACTCTTCGCTCTGCTCAAGCAAAGGCAGGAAACGGGAGGCGAGGCTGAAGGGCACGGGCCCAACGAAGAAGGCGCGGGTCGTGATGGAGTTGGTGCTAGCCCCGATCAGAACGTTCGACCAATCAACGAGGTGACGTCTTCCGGCATGTTTGGGCTGGACGGACCGCCAGACGTGGCGGATGTCGAGAAGCTGCGGTTTGCCTGTGACGCTGTTGGCGCAGGTGCCGACGACGGCCGCGCGGGCCCGAGAACGTGGGTCGGATCCTCGGTGGGGTCGAGGGCGTGGCGACGATGGCAGTGAGCCATACATTCGAGTCTCGCGGGGGGATGAGTTTGCCGACTCCTTTGAGACGTCCTTCTTCGCCAGAACGTTCCCGACCCTGTTCCCATTTGGCGTTGGGGGACCAAGGCTGGCCGAAGAGGCCATAGCCGAGGCGGGGAAGGCCCTTACCAACTTGCGAGGCACCGGTAGAGCTGTTGAGGCAGGGGCGGCTGCGGGAGACATCGTATCCTCCCGAAGCTTGAACCTCCGGATTTGGGCCGACATCGTGCTCCGGCGCCATGGTGGCCGGTTTGCGTTGCACCACATATTTGCATTTCTCGTCTTCAACATGGGGGTGCGGTCGAGGAACCGCCGCGTCAGCATGCTGAGTGTGGCGAGGAAGGACTTCGGCAAGGTCGAGCGCGTTGCCCGCTCGATGACCGCGCAAAGGTTAGCGGCGGCGAGGGTCGAGTTGGAGAGCTCGGGCAAGACGACCGATGAGGGCGTGAAGGAGCTTCTCAGGAGCCTCTCGCTGTACGGCCACCGGCAACCCATGTCGAGAGAGTTCGGCTCAATATGCGGCGGAAAATCCAGTCGCTCATCGTTGGCTACGGCGTTCCGGCCATCTGGTTCACCATCAACCCAAACGACATTACGAACCCGGTGAAGCTGCGACTGGCGGCATATCGGACACGCGATCCCGGCGCGGCCGAGGAGTTCCTAGAAGGCCTTGGGAGTGCGTACAAGCGGACAAGGCTGGCCATGTCCGATCCGATGAGCGCCGCCGTATTCTTCCACCGGGAGATGAAGCTCTTCTTCGATCATTACGTGAAGGTCGGAGAAGAGTCGGTATTCGGGCGCATCGGCAAGTACTATGGCGCTGTGGAGACCAACGAACGAGGGCGCTTCATGTTCACGGCTTGCTCTGGTTGCACGGAAACGCGCATCTCAGCTCGATGCTTGCCGACATCCACGGGGAGGATCAGGCGGCGTATCGCGAGCGAATCATACGATACGTCGATAGTGTCTTCTCCGAGGTAAGAATAGCTAAGACGTGTCACTGAGAACCTGAATTGCTCGTCCGATGGACAAACGGGGCCAGGCTGACGTGCAAGATAGGATCTGGATCAGGAAGGGTTCTGCGCCGTGCAAGCGGAGCGATCTGTGACGTCCGATATTTCCTCCCTGCTGGACAACACCGAGCAGTTTTCGGCCGCATTTGACGAGGAGGCCAACTTCTGTGCCGGCGCTACACAGGTTCACACGCATAGCCCGACCTGTGTCAAGTATTCCTTGGGCAAAGGAGCGCGGAAAGGGAATCTCTGTCGTTTTAAGGCTCCATGGAGGTTGGTCGACAAGACCGCCATCACGGCAGACGGGGTGCTGCAGATCCGGAGGACTCACAGCATGGTCAATCGATGGAACAAGGCTATCGCTGTTGGGCTCCGGCACAACCACGACATTTCCTTCATTGCGACGCAGCGCAAGACCATGGCCCTTATGTATTATGTCACGAACTACGCGACGAAGGTGGAGGACCCGGTGTGGAAGCGTGTGGCGGCCGCGGCCGATCTCCTGGCCGCCTCAACGGGTGACGGCACGGCCAACGGAGGACAGGACGACGGTGGAGGTGCTGTTGGCGATGACGCCGCCAAGGGGAACAGGACGCGACAGTTCTTGATGAGGGTGGCGAATCGTGTGTTCACGGAGCGTCCGCTATCTCAGGTCGAGGTCATCGCTCATCTTCTGGGATATCCAGCCGAGTTCACCAACAGCAGCGCCTGGGCGTACCTGAACACATCTCTGCTGTACTGGGAAGTCTTTCGACGGTGGCCGTATCTCCGACGAGCAAGTGGCGCGGCGGCCATAGATGATACTCTGAATGAGTCGGTCGTTGTCGAAGAAGCAGGCCTGAGGATCTCCCACGTTGAGGCGTACCAGCACCGGGAGAGCTCCTGCGAGGGCTATGCTTATACGACTACATATCGCTCGTTAGACTAAAACGCACCAGTAAGGATGAGAGCTGTGCGGCCTGGGGAGGTGCCCTTCGAGGATGGATGGGCGCCAGGAGACGCTGGGTCCAGGTGCTCAGGCGGCCGGGCAAGCATGCTACCGTCTGCCTCGATGGCTACCTGAGCAAGGACTTCGGCCACAACGACGACGAGGAGTCGTGCCACCGGAGGTGTGTATAGCAACCGCCCTGCCGGCAGGCATCATCAGAGTGGCTAACCTCCCCCCCCTCCCCCTTAAAGGGCAGCCGTGCAGCATCTTGCGCTATTTGTGCCGTGGGAGTCCTTTCTGTGCGAAGAAACAGGTGAGATCAATGGCATCTGGGAGCGGGCGCGAGAGGCGCTGGCCCCGAGAATATCATGTCTCGTCGACAACGTGCAGCTGCTTCGACGATCAGCCGAAGACGCAAAGCGCGACGCCAAGCAATGGGCGGCCTCATCCGGCGATGGCGATTCCACGGTCGCCCACGTCGAGGAGGGCGAGACAGGCGAGGCGGGCGCAGAATTTGCAGCGACGTATCGGTCCAACAACATCGGAGACGCAACGCGCCTGATCGACGTCGTCCGAGGCGCAGTGGGCACGAATCAGGTGACGGCCAAGTCGCCGGAGCTCATGGCAATGATGCGGCAGCTCTGTCGATTCCAGCAATCGGCGCTCTGCTCAACGGCCGAGCTCGAGGCCATCGCGATTCCCGAACAAGGGTTGAGGTGCATAAGCATGCCAGGGCGGGTATTTTCCGGGGCCGCACTACCGCCGCAGGATCAGGTCAAGGCTATCAAGTCGCAGCAGATAAGTGCGTCGAGGAAAGGAGAGAATGATCCAGGCGTACAAACCACAATCGCAGTCCGGGAAAGCGATCGCCGAGCTGCGTTGCGGAGGTGATGACCGGCTTCGGGAGGACGACGTCGAAATGACGACAGCCGACTCCGACGAGACGGCTAGCGACGCAGAAGCGGGAATGCGCGTCCAGTTTGGCCCATCGACCTCCTTCTTCGCGGCGGGCAAGGAGTTGTCAACACGGCTAACGCTGAACAAGAGGCAGTCGATCGCTTTCCTAATAATATGCCGCCAGCTCGATTTGATGCGACAAACGAATAGGGGCGATGCCGGCCAGCTCTGCCAGTTCGTCGGCGGCGAGGGGGGCACCGGCAAGTCGCGGATCATTGGGGCACTCGTCGAGCTGTTCAGTGGGAAGAGCCTTTCGAATCGTCTGCTGATCACGGCGACGTCAGGGACTGCCGCGGCGCAGATCAACGGCATCACGATCCACTCCGCCTGCGGGTTCACTAAAGACCAAGGGGCGGGCGGCGCGAACACAGCCAAGGACCTTGACGGGGTGCGGCTGACAAAACGGGCGGAGCGGTTCATCCACGGCCAGTCTCGGATGGACTGGCAGGAGAACGGACTCGTTGTCATCGCCGAGGTGGGCATGGTCGGAGCGCGGACGCTGCACGCCATAAACGAGCGACTCTGTCGGCTTCGCGGATCGCAGAAAGATTTCGGGGATCCCCATCGTCCTCTTCTGCGGAGACTTTCAGCAGTTCCGGCCGGTCCAAGAGAGGTCGATCGTCCTGCCGAGCGCGGCCATCTCGTGGGACGTAGACAACTCGTTCAAGGCCGAGCAGCGGCACCAGCACGACAAAGCGCACGCGCTGTGGAAGAGATTCACGACGGTCGTCATGTTGAACGAGCAAATGCGCGCCGCCGGGGATCCGGAATTGCAGGGCTGCTGAAGCGGATCCGGCAGGGTGTGCAGGACCGCACGGATCTGGACCTCCTCAACTCAAGGTGCTACCGCGAGGGCAGGCGGATCCCTTGGGAGACTGGCATCACCGTGGTGACGCCGCTGAACAGGAATCGGTGGAACCTAAACATGGAGGCAAGCTTGGCGTTCCGGGTCCAGCAGCGGTCGACGATGCGCATCTTCATCTCCGAGCACAAGTGGAAGGAGGGCCTGCCGACCGAGGAAGAAGCGATCATGGTACTCAATCAAGGCGACGATAGCGCGATCCCCGTGCCGGCCGTCTTCATGTTCGTGGCCGGGATGCCGGTCGTCGTGAACCACAACACCCATCAGGGGCTGAAGCTGGTGAACGGCGCCGGCTACTCGGCGGTGGAGGTCATTGTCGACAAGGCGTCCCCAGGGCATCGAATCTCGTCCGACATGACGATCCACTTCGGGCCGCCGGCGGGGATATTACTGGAATCGGCGACGACAAAGGACCTCCACTTCGTCGGGATGCCGCCGGGCACGATCTTGTTAACGCCGATGAGCGTCAGGATACACTGCCAACGAAAGCGGCCGTGGCAGCAGAACGACGTCAGCCGGAAGGGATTGCCGTGCGCAGCAGCCTTCGCCTGCACGGACTACAAGGTGCAGGGCAGAACGCTAGAGCGCGTGGCCCTGGAGCTGCGGGGGACACGGACGACGAAAGTCGATGGAAGGGCCGTGCCCTCGCAATGCGACCCGTACAGCTTATATGTGCAGCTATCGCGCTGTCGAACGCTAGACGGCATCACGCTCGTGTCCAAGGTGCGGGAGAGAGACTTGGTGGGCAACCGAGTCCCCGAAGAGATGACCGCCGCGCAGGCCAGGCTGGAGGTGCTAAGCGAGAGGACTGTCGAGGAAGCTTTGCGTCGGTCGGATGGCGACGCTGAAGAGTCAAGGAGAGTTGTCAGGGTGAGGTGACGAGGGGGAGAAGACGGAGGAGCGCGCCGGCGGGCAAGAAGACAAGGGCACTGGGCAGCAGCGATCAACGAGGGGCGACTTGCCTTGAGGAACGAAAGGACTTTATGCCCCACCCCCGGTTTTGCCCCTCGAAATCCCCGCTTCTGATTCGCTCGGTCGATTGGCTACGGTCATTTCGCCTTCGGTTGGGCCTTTCGCCTTCTGTTTGTCATGTCCTGGGGCATCTGATTCGCTTGTCCGTGCCCTGAGACTTCTGATTGCCCAGAATAATAAACCGCTTTCGCTTCTGGCCCGTTGAAAACCCCCCTTCCCATTCGCTTGTGCCGCCTGCTCCACCGGTCGCCCCGACCCAATTTTCCCATTAGTAATGAAGTCCTTGCAAGGGTCGGGGTGGGGCATAGCTAAGTTATTGGTGTCGCGCCCTCTTGGGTTAAGTTACCTACTGCTCACCGTCTCTGTCCCCGCGCTCACCGAGCCTGTTGCACATCGCTTCCCGAACAGTTCTATCGCTCAGTTCCTCCAGCCTCGCTTGTGCGGCGGTCATCTCCCGGGGACCCGGTTTCCCACTAGGTCTCTCTCGCACTTTCGACACGAGCATGATGCCGTCCAGCGTCGGGCACCGTGACAGCTGCACGTATAGGCTGTACGGGTCGCACTGCGACGGGACGGCGCGTCCGCCGACGTTTGTCGTCCTCGTCCCCCGCAGCTCGAGCGCCACGCGCTCCAGCGTCCCCCCCTGCACCTTGTAATCCGTGCACGCGAAAGCGGCGGCGCACGGCAGGCCCTTTCGGCTGACGTCGTTCTGCTGCCACGGTCGCTTCCGTTGACACTGGATCCTGACGCTCATGGGCGTCAGCAGGATCGTGCCGGGCGGCATCCCGACGAAGTGGAAGTCCTTGGTCGTCTTCGACCCCAGTATTATCGCCGCCGGCGGCCCGAAGTGGATCGTCATGTCGGCCGAGATCCGATGCCCCGGTGCGCCTTGTCGACGATGACCTCCACCGCCGTGTAGCTAGCACCGTTCACCAGCTTCAGCCCCTGGTGGGTGTTGTGGTTCACGACGACCGGCATCCCCGGCACGAACATGAAGACGGCCGGCACCGGGATCGCGCTGTCGTCGCCCTGGTTCAGCATCATGATGGCCTCTTCCTCGGTCGGCAGGCCGTCCTTCCACTTGTGCTCGGAGAGGAAGATGCGCACCGTCGACCGCTGCTGGATCTGGAACGCCAGGCTCGCCTCCATGTTGAGGTTCCACCGATTCCTGTTGAGCGGCGTCACCACGGTGATGCCCGTCTCCACGGGATCCGCCTGCCTTCCCGGTGGCACCTCGAGTTGAGGAGATCCAGGTCCGTGTGGTCCTGCACGCCCCCGCGGATCCGCTTCAGCAGCCGCTGCAGCTCCGGGTCGCCGGCGGCGCGCATCTGCTCGTCCAGCATGACGGCCGTCGTGAACCGCCTCCACAGCGCGTGCGCCTTGTCGTGCTGGTGGCGCTGCTCGGCCCTGAACGAGTTGTCCTCGTCCCACGAGACGGCCGCGCTCGGCAGCAGGATCGACCTCTCCTGGACCGGGCGGAACTGGTGGAAGTCCCCGCAGAAGAGGACGATGGGGATCCGCCGAAGTCCCGCTGCGATCCCCGCAGCTGGCAGATCCGCTCGTTGACGGCGTGCAGCGTCCGCGCGCCGAGCATGCTCACCTCGTCGATGACGAGCATGTCCTATCCTGCCAGTCCATCCGAGACTGGCCGTTGACGAACCGCTCCGCCTGCCTCGGCAACCGCACGCCGTCGACGTCCTCGCCGTGTTCGCGCCCGGCCCTTGGTCCTTGGTGAAGCCGCAGGCCGAGTGGATGGTGATGCCGTTGACCCGCGGCGGCGGTCCCCGACGTCGCCGTGATCAGCAGGCGATGCGAGAGGTCCTTCGCGGCGAAGAGGCCCACGAGTGCTTCGATGACGCGCGACTTGCCGGTGCCGCCCTCGCCGCCGACGAACTGACAGAGCTGGCTGACGTCGCCTCCGTCTCCTGCCGCATCGAGTCCAGGTGGCGGCATATTATGGAGAAGGCAATCGCCTGCTTCTTGTTTAGCGTCAATCGTCTTGTCAAGTCTTTCCCGGCCTCGTGAAAGGAGGTGGATGGGCCGAGGCGGACTTCCATGCCGGCCTCCGCGTTACCTGCCCTCTCCTCGGTTTCCACTCGCGTCACCTGGACGTCTTCCTCCCCGAAGCCGGCGAGCACGCTCCGCTCCGCTGCGCCGCGATCGGTACCGTGGGCCGGGGCCATGCTTTGTATGCCCTGGATCATCTTCACCCTCTCTCTGGAGGCGCATGTCTGCTGCGACTTGATGGCCTTGACCTGATCCTGCGGCGGCACTGCAGCCCCGGAGAACACCTGCCCGGGCATGTTGATGTGCCCCCCACCCCGTTCGGTCACGACGGTGGCCCGGAGCTCGGCCGTCGAGGCTAGCGCTGATTGCTGGAAGCGGGAGAGCTGCTGCATCATTCCCGAAAGCTCCCGCGACCCCGCCGTGATCTGGTTCGCGCCGGTCGCGCTTCTAACGACATCGATCAGTCGCGTTGCGTTTCCGACGTTGTCGGACTGGTACGCGGATCCCGCCTCGCGGTCCGCCTCGCCCGGCCCTCCCCATCCTCCCCAATCGCCAGGTGCGCCGGCCGGATCCCCGTCGCCGGACGACGCTGCCCATTGCTTGGCGTCTCGCTTTGCGTCCTCGGCGGACCGCCGGAGTAGTTGAACGTTATCGACGAGGCACGAGGTTCTTGGCGGAAGCCGCTCTCGTGCGCGCCTCCATATCTCGTTGATGTCGCCTCGCTCTTCGCTAAGAAAGGTCTCCCACGGCGCGAATAGGGCAAGATGCTGCACGGCTGCTCTGTAGCGGCACGGTTAGTCACCGCGCGTTGGGACCGCTTTTCGACCGGCCATCCACCGCACCTACTTACCGGCGGTGGCATTGTTCCTCGTCGTCTTGCTCGAAATCCTTGCTAAGGTGGCCGTCAAGGCAGACGACGGCGTGCTTTCCTGGCCGCCTCAATACCTGCACCCAGTCTTTGCCGGCCACCCAGCCGCTCTCGAAAGGCACCTCTCCCAGGCACCGGAGCACCCGTCCTTGCCGACGCGTTGGAGCCTGACGAGCGAAACATAGTCATATAGGCACAAGCCTCGTAGGACGTGTCCGCGATGATGGTACGCCTCGGCGAAGCTGATCCTCTCGCCTGCTTCCTCCACGGCGACCGACTCGTCCACGGACACGTCTGCGACCGCGGTGCCGCTCTCCTGCCGAAGGTGTCGCCAGCGCCTGGAGACGTGCCAGTAGAGCACCGACACGTTCAGGTACGCCCAGGCGCTGCTGCTCGTGAACTCGCTCGGGTATCCCAGGAGATGGGCGACGACCTCGACTTGCGACAGGGCGCGCTCCGTGAATATCCTGTTCGCCACTCTCATCAGAAACTGCCGCGTCTTATTATTCTTGGTTCCGTCGTCGCCGCCGACGACGCCATTTCCGGCATCCTCCTGGCACCCGGCTGGCCACCTGCTGCGACGACGGGCAGCAGTTCCGCGGCCGCGGCGACGCGCTTCCACGTCGGGTCCTCTACCTTGGTCGCGTAATTCGTCACGTAATAGACGAGAGCCATGGTCTTCCGCTGCGTCGCTATGAAGGAGATGTCGTGGTTGTGGCGGAGCCCCACGGCGATGGCCTTGTTCCACCGATTCACCATGGGATGCGTCCTGCGGATCCGCAGCACGCCGTCCTGTGAGAGCGTCGTCTCCTCGACCAGCTTCCATGGCGCCTTGAAGCGACAGAGGTCGCCCCTTCGCCCCTTGTTGCCCAGGGAGTACTTGACGCATGTCGGGCTGTGGGTGTGGATCTGCGTCGCGCCGGCGCAGAAGTTGGCTTCCTCTTCGAATCCGGCCGAGAACTGCTCGGCACTGTCCAGCAGGGATGAGACGTCAGACGTCACCGAACGCTCCGCCTGCACGGCGCAGAAGCCTTCCTGGTCCAAGTCCTGCCTTCCGCGTCAGCCTGCGTCTTCTCGGCCCATGACAGCAACGCCCCTTGCTGTTACCTACCTCACAGAAGACGCTATCGACATAGCGGATGATTCGCTCACGGTACGCCGCCTGCTCCTCCCCGTGGGCGTCGGAAAGCATGGAGCTCAGGTGCGCGTTTCCGTGTAACCAGAGCAGCCCGTGGACGTGAAGGGATCCTCGTTCGTTGGTCTCCACGGCACCGTAGTAGTGGCCGATGCGCCCGAACACCGACTCCCCTGCATTTACGTAATGCTCGAAGAACAGCGTCATCTCCCGGTGGAAGAACATGGCTGAGCTCATCGGGTCGGAGACGGACAGCCTCACCCGTTTGAACGACATATCGAGGCTCCGCAGGAACTCCTCGGCCGCCTCAGGGTCGCGCGTGCGGTACGCTGCCAGTCGGAGCTTCACCGGGTTCGTGATGTCGTTTGGGTTGATCGTGAACCAGATCGCAGGCACGCCGTAGCGGACGATGAGCGCCAGGATCTTGTGCCGCATACTGAGACGGAGCTCTCTCGACATGGGCTGACGATAGCCATAGAGCGAGAGGCTCCTGAGAAGCTCTTTCACGCCGTCGTCGGTCGTCTTGCCTGTGCTCTCCAGCTCGGCTCTAGCTGCCGCTAACCCGTCTGCGGTCAGCGACCGTACGATGCGCTCCACCTTGCGGAAGTTCTTCCTCGTCACGCTCAGCATGCTGACGCGGCGGTTCCTCGACCGCACGCCCATGTTGAAGACGAGGAATGCGAAGATGTGGTGCGTCGCGAACCGGCCGCCGTGGCGTCGCAACACCGTGTCGGCCCACGTACGAAGGCTCATGTTCCGGGATGACAGGAGGTCCTGCGCCCCCGCCTCCGCCGCCGCGCGCGTGTTGACCGAGCCTCTGCCCAACTGCGAGCTTGCTTCCTCGACCGGCCGCGGCCCTCCGACACCGAATGGTAATAGCGTGGGAAAGGTCTTTGCGAAGAAAGAAGCTTCGAACGAGTCGGCGAATTCATCCCCGCGGCGGACATGGATGAATGGTTCAGGACCATCGACGTGCCCCGGCTGCCCCCTTGCCGAGGATTCGACCCACGTCCTCGGGCCCGTACCGTCGTCGGCTGCGCCTTGGCGAACGGAATCGCATGCGAACCGCAGCTTGTCGACGTCGGCCACGTCGGGCGGTCCGTCCAACGCAAACATCCCTGACGAGGTCACCTCGTTGACCGTCTTCGCATTATCATCGGCCTCGCCGCAGCTCTGACCACGCACCTCGTCCACCTCGCTTGCCTCTGGCTCGCCGGCCTCGCGACTCGTCGTGCTTTCCCCTTGGTTGAGCATGGCGAGGACTTCTTCGATCTCCACCGCCCCCTCGTCGTCCATGGCCCGCTCCGTGGGCGGCACGACGTGCGCCGTCCGCGTCTTCTCCCACGCCGACGGCTCGTTCCGCTCCAGGCGCTCGTACACCAACGGCGGCACCCCGTGGGCCGGGTCTCCCCAGCTCTCCATCTCTGCCGCGTCGATCTCGATCGCGGCGTAGTGGGGGTTGTTCCTCTTCAACCAGACAAGGGCTCTCTCGACGACTCGCCGCCTCACCGATAGGAGACTCGACAGATCGCTCGGTGTCGGCCTTAGCGCCCCCTGCCACGAGACGTGGATCTCGTCCATTACCTGGAAGAGAGGGTGCGGCAGCACGTCCGTCGCCAGCTCTTGTACGTTGTTTGGGAACACCGTGATGTGGCCCTTGACGTGCTTGGGATACCTTAGCGTCTGCTTCTGGCCGCCTGAGACGTTGTACCTGGTTACGAATCCGTAGCACGAGTTCAGCGCGATCAGCTTCTCCTCCACCGGCGTCAGGCCCTTGAGCTCATCCGGGAACGTGTGCTCACAACCGAGACGTCTATGAAGCTGCGCCGCTGGCGACAGCACACCGCACGCCAAGCGTCGAGAACACTCTGCGCAAACCGGGACAGGCTCGCCCTCGCGGAAGCAACTCCGGCACGCAAATGGCGACCACCCAGCCTTAGGGATAGGACTTGACAACCACTGGTCCCATGCCACCTCCCTCAGCTCTTTTCTCGTGCGCTTCCGGTAGCACAGCATGCACGTCCGTATCGGCAGCGTGTCCACGTCGTGGAACGCCCGGTAGAAGCTCCGCACCGTTGATACCTTCCTCTCGTGCGGCACTGGTGTGCACCACGTTTGCTCGTTGGACAGCCTCTCCTTCGCGGCGAATTCCTCCCAAGGTGACGTAAGACGCCGGCCAAATCCTCCGCCTGTGACTCACGGCTCCTCTGCCTCCGATGGCCGCCTCGACTACGTTTCGCCTGGGGCTGGTCTCGGTCGGGCAGGCGGTTCCTCTTTCTCTGTTCCACGGGCTGCGCAGATATTGCCGCTGCCTCGTCTCGCCTCGGCCGATCTTGTTCTCCCGCCGCCGCCTGACGTGATGGCCGTGGTGTCAACTGTCCGGATGACTGCAAATATCCGGCTCCATCCTCCATCTCTCTAGCTTCGATTGGCTGGAGGGGATGCCCTGACGACTCGGGCCAAGTCCCGACACTGGTTGCCGGCCGACCCGGTCCCGCCTGGCGTCCGCATCGCTGCAAATCTCCTGTCCCATCTTCTATTTCTCTAGGTTGGATTGGCCGAACGAGGGACTCCCCGACAACTCGAGACGAGATCCCGACCCTGGTTGCCGGCCGATTCCGTCCTGCCTGGCGTGGTGGCCGTGGTGGCAGCCGTCCGGATGACTGCACATCTCCTGCTCCATCCCCCACCTCCCTAGATTGGCCGCCTCGAGTACGTTTCGTCAGTGGCTCGTCTCGGTCGGGTTGCCGGTTCCTCTTTCTCTGTTCCGCTGGCCGCGAAGATCTTGCCGCAGCCTCGTCTCGCCTCGGCCGGTCTTGTTCTCCCGCCGCTGCCTCCTGATGGCCGTGGTGGCAACCGTCCGGATGAGTGTGTATCTCCGGCTCCTCTTCCATCTCTTTCGGTTGGATCGGCTGAACGACGTACTCCTGACGACTACTCTGGGCGAGGTCCCGACCCTGATTGCCGGCCGACCCTGTCCCGCCTGGCGTCCGGGTGACTGCAAATCTCCCGCTCTGTATTTTATTTCTTTAGGTTGGATTGGCCTAATGAGGCGCTCCCTGACAACTCGAGACGAAACCCCGACACTGGTTGCCGGCCGATCCTGTGCTCCTGGGCGGCTTGAGTGTCCGTCGGGCCCTTGGGCCTCGTCTGCGCACCACCCCTTCGCTTTCTAGTCGTGCCCTCTGGACGCCCTCCACGACCCGGACGCACGATCCGCCCTCGTCCGAGGAGGTATGTCCGGCCGCGCCCTGATCCCTTTCGGCTGGATGGGTTGTTGCGGCAAGCGCTGGCTTACGTCCTCTGGCCGAGATCTTGTTAAACGTCGCGCTGCCTCTCTTTGCAGAGGCACCATCAACGCGCGCCGTATTTTTCGCGACCGACTGCCTCGCCGACTTCCCTGAGGCGACGCTCTTTCGGGTGCTTCCGCTTGCTCTCCTCCTGAGACCTCCCGGACATCGGCGCTTGCTTCGCCTCGATAGGCCGCAACCCAGGTGCCGGGCCCGCTTGACTTTCGCGGCCCAACGCCCGCTTCGGTCCTTCGTCCGTCGCGCTCGGTCTCGCCTTCGCAGTATTCCTCCTCGTAGCAGCGGCCGCTGCCCCGATGCACGACCCGGCCTCGCCAGAAGGACGATTGTGCCCGGCCACGTCCTGATCCCTTTGGGCTGGATGGGCCGGGGCGACTGCAGGCTCGCCTCTCCCAGCCGAAATCCCATCCTGCTTGTCGGTCTCCCCTCCTCTGTTCCCCGGCACCAGGTGTCCGCCTAACAAGACCCTTCAGAGTCATCCGTACGCCACCGATGAGTTGCCCAGGCCGAACGATCTCGTGGCCACCTCCGGCCGCGACGGAAGATCCCCTGCCGCTTAGGCATTCGTTTCGCCCAACCAAGACCCTGGGGCGGGTGGTGCTTGCAGAGCAACTATGCCTGGTGCGCCTCTCGCCACTCCTAGCCCTCATCTCCTTCGCCAACGTGTGCCGCTGCGGTACGAGGTTGTCGGCCGCTCCTCCAACACAGCGCCAACGGACGGCGTAAGACCCCGCCTAGCCGGCTCAGCAACTACCGACCCTATTGTGGCAGCGTCTGCTTCTATGCTTGGACACCTATCACGCGCGTTTATCGCTTCTGAGCGTCGCGCCCGCCCTCCCTTCGAGGAGGCGCCATTGACGTGCGTCGTCTTTCCCGGCCAACCGCCTCGCCGACTTCCCTTGGGCAACGCTCTTTGAGTGCCTCTGCTTGTTCTCTTCGTGAGGCCTCCTCAGCCAGCGTTGCCTGCTTGGCTTCGATAGGCCGGAACCTAGGTACCGTATTAGCTTGGCTTTCATGGTCCGAGGCCCGCTTCGGCCCTTCGTCCGTTGCACTCAGTCTCCCCGCCGTAATGCTCCTCGTCGCAGCAGCGGCCGCTGCCACCGTCGCTATTTCGCACCCTCTTGCCACCAACCTAGCCTCGCGGCTAGATTCTCCCCATGCTGGTGCTTTCTTGACGGCTAGGCTCTGCAACCGTACGATGGATAGGAAGCTTTCGCTCGCGATATACGCTGGGATTGCCTTGCTTCCCGGCGATGGCGTTCCGCCGTATCGCCATTCTTCCTACCAGCGGTCTGTCTCCAGCAACCTTATAGTCTTTATAACTCGGGGACAACGCGGCAGTGCTTGTCCGGGACAGACCCCTCCCTTCTCCCCCGCGGTTCCTAACTCCGCCGCCACGCGTCTTTCCCGGCGGACGGCCTCGACTAGCCCATGCGCAGGAGCTGACACCATAAAAATCTGCCTGGCGAGGTCTTCTCCTCCCTCCTCGGTTCTCCTCCGCATCTTTCTATTTGGCCGTTGCAAATAGGCGGCCAAAGGAACATTGTGCTAATCTTTCTTTTTCCTCGGTATCTCTTAGTATTCCTGCTGCACCGAAAGTAGGAATGGCCTCCTTCAGCTCGCCCTCACCTATAACGGTTGCTTCCGGTCCCCTCTTTCCCGACCTTCCCTATCAAGTGTAACCACGACCTTCCCTGCAACACCTCCCCGTGCGCTTTGTACGTGTTATATATTAGGTCGGTCTCTACCCCCCGCGAGGAGGGCAAACTAATTGGTGTACAACAGGGCGTGGAAAGGTATGACAAGGTTCCCTGTGCTGATCTTGCCTGCTTCATCCCCCGCCCCCTTATCTTCAGCCTTCTAAAACGCCCCCTGTTTATGTCCTTCCTTATTGATGTCCTCCTTTTGCATCAGGCCTCTGCTCTCCCAGGCCTGCTGGGCTTCCTCTGGACCTATCGGCAGGCTTATCTGCCGACAGCCCTAGCTTTCGGCCTCCTATGCCGCCAGCCCTGCCGGACACTTTAGTCCGCGCCGCCCTTGGTGCCTGATCGGAACCCAGCTACACGACACCACTACGCATCTCTTCAACGTCCGTTTACTTACAGCGGCAAGGCTCCTCGCCCTTCCCGGCGAATCTATGTCACCATTGATCTATCCCAAGTGCTTTCACGCTCGACTTCTTCCCTACTCCTTTCTTTCTTGACACTGAGCACTGGTCATTTTCGTGCGCGCGACTGGCCTATCGACCTGCGTTGCTGCACCATGTCTTCCTCTCTACCTCCCATCGATGTGCCCGCACCACACCTTCGAAAGCCGCTCGATAGCCAGAGGGCGCTGGCGGCGAGATGTCCATGGTGTTTTTCGTCCAGCCGGATTGCCCCGTTAGATTTGCCCACCAGGACGAGCACCGCATCAAGGGTCTTAACGCCGAGGCCATGGCCCGCGTCTTGCTGCCTCCGCCCGCCTGGCTGCTCGCGATGGGATATGCGCCCTCCGATCGGAGGCCGACGATTCCCGACATCCGTCTTCTTTAGTCTCAATCTCTCGATTTACGGCCAGCCTATTGATGCCTCAAAATGGACGGAAGAGTGGTTTTTCATGAATGGCCGCGTCCACCCTACGCCCTTGCGTGGGAGATTGAGCAGCGCGACGGCCTGAGTCCGACACGGGCGGCACCCTTCTCTATACGATGCCCGCCCTTGTCGTCCGCGACCAAGGCTACCAGCCGTAAGCCGTGCCCTGTTCCTCGCAAGTGCCAACGAAAGATACATAGCTAAGGTGGGCCTGAAGCGTTCTTCCTAGGCTCTTGGCCCTATGGACGACTTCCCTGCGTCCCGCCTATTGTTTCCTTTACCGGCCTTATCGTCGGCACCGGCCACTCCTTGCTCCGGCGGGACCTCCTGCCGGGTCTGACGCCGCCCAGCTTAACTGTTGCGGCTTTGTCCGCCTTTCTACCTACGTCGCTCCTGGGATGCCCAATAAACTCCCCTTCAAGGGCTTCCACCCTTCCAGGTCTTCGTCATCTTCCCTATTCGCGCTAACCCCTGGGCCATCTTGTGTAAGAAGATGGCCGAGAGGCGGGACTCTCAATTCCAACCCAACGTCCCCTTTACTTGCACAGCCAAGGTCGCCGGCCTGCTCCGTCATGACGTTATGCTCTATCCCCCAGGCTCCGACCGGGACAACGTCTTTATTGTCGTCCCGGATTCTTGGACATTTCTCGACAAGGCCGCCGCCGCCGTCACCCCAATGACACCTCTCTACACCACAGAGGCAGCAGGCGTCCTCCCTTCCGCGGCCTTTCAGGACATGCGCGCTGCCTCTTTGTCTTTGGCCACCCTGGCACCCTCCCGCTCAGCCCTCCACCTTTGGCTTCGGCTTCGCCCTCGACCGGCCCCCCGGGGCGATGTTGCCCTGAGCCTGCCGATACGCCGACGAAACGACCGCGGCTGCTGCATAAGGCCCCGGTGCCTTCGTCTTCCCTAACCCTGGCTCATCTGCCACCCAGTCGTTCTCTGTTTCGGCTGCCTCCTTGACATCTAAGCCGGATAGCCCTAAACGGGTCATGTCTTAGGGACTCTTCCTCCATTCCATTGTCGCGCATGGCTTGGACTCGCCGGCCCGTCCACTCCGAAACCGTCCCCTATCTAAGAAAGCTACCGAAACGGAATAACGATGCGAAACCATAAACTGCTACAGTTTCCTAAACGAGTAAGACAGTTAAATCTTATACTTTAAGTTAACCTACTCCTTAACCCTACCCTGGTTCTATCACTCTTTTTCACTCCGTCCTTAAGTCCCCCCTGTTCTTACTCCATCCTCAATCCTCACGTCTGCCCCTTTTTTTTCCCTGTAGTCTTTCGTTCCTCAAGGCTCTTTGCGCAACCCCCGTTGGGTTGCCTCTCCTGTGAACGAAAAGGGCAAAGACAAAAGACGCAAGTGCCTTGAGGAACGAGGAACGAGTGACGAAAGGTTCTTAGGGTTCCTGCCTTGAGGAACGAAAGGATTTCTATGCCGCGCTTTTTTGCCCCCCGAATCCGCGCCTCTGATTCGCTAGCTTTCTCGGCTTCCCGTTGGCTAGAAAAATTGCCTCTTTCGTCTTGAACGATTGCTTTTCGGTTGGCCTACAAGTTTGCCCCTGTTTTTCCCCCCTCTTTTGTGTCCTTTTTCATCCCGCTTTCCTGTTGGCCATATATGAAAGTCGTCGCCTCTCCCCCCCCCTTTTTTTTCTCGTCTTAGTCACTCTTTTTTATTTACGTCAGCTGTTCCCACTGTTCCCGCTCCCGCTCAAATTGCGCTTTCCGATTAGCCAGACAATTGCACCGTTTCCCGCGTCTAACGTCCGATGTCATTTCATTCATATTTGTGCCTGTCGAAGGGTTCACTATTCCTACGCGTATTCGAAGTCGTCGCCGAGCCAGCGCAGCGCCTCCGGACGGTTCTGTCACTCAGTTCCTCGAGCCTCGCTTGTGCGGCCGTCATCTCCCGGGGGACCCGGTTTCCCACGAAGTCTCTCTCTTGCACCTCCGATACGAGCATGATGCCGTCGAGCGTCGGGCACCGCGACAGCTGCACGTATAGGCTGTAAGGGTCGCACTGCGAGGGGACGGCACGTCCACCGACGTTTGTCGTCCTCGTCCCTCGCAGCTCGAGCGCGACACGCTCGAGCGTCCCGCCCTGCACCTTATAATCGGTGCACGCGAAGGCCGCGGCGCACGGCAGGCCCTTGCGGGTGACCTCCTTCTGCTGCCACGGTCGCTTCCGGTGACACTGGATCCTGACGCTCATAGGCGTCAGCAGGATCGTGCCGGGCGGCATCCCGACGAAGTGGAAGTCCTTAGTCGTCTCCGACCCTAGTATGATCGCCGCCGGCGGCCCGAAGTGGATCGCCATATCGGCCGAGATGCGATGCGCCGGGTGCACCTTGTCGACGATGACCTCGGCCGCCGTGTAGCTGGCGCCGTTCACCAGCTTCAGCCCCTGGTGGGTGTTGTGGTTCACGACGACCGGCATCCCGGCCACAAACATAAAGACGCCCGGCACTGGGGTCGCGCTGTCGTCGCCCTGGTTTAGCATCATGATGGCCTCTTCCTCGGTCGGCAGCCCCTCCTTCCACTTATGCTCGGAGATGAAGATGCGTATCGTCAAACGTCGTTGCATCTGGAATGCTAAGCTCGCCTCCATGTTGAGATTCCACCGGTTCCTATTTAGCGGCGTGACCACGGTGATGCCTGTCTCCCACGGATTCGCCTGCCTTCCCGGTAGCATCTTGAGTTAAGGAGGTCTAGGTCGGTGTGATCCTGCACGCCCAGTCGGATCCGCTTTAGCAGCCTCTGCAGCTCCGGGTCGCCGGCGGCGCGCATCTGCTCGTCCAGCATGACGACAGTGGTGAACCGCTTCCACAGCGCGTGCGCCTTGTCGTGCTGGTGGCGCTGCTCGGCCCTGAACGAGTAGTCCTCGTCCCACGAGACGGCCGAGCTCGGCAGTAGGATCGACCTTTCCTGGACCGGGCGGAACTGGTGGAAGTCCCCGCAGAAGAGGACGATGGGGATCCCGCCGAAGTCCCGCTGCGACCCCCGCAGCTGGCAGAGCCGCTCGTTGACGGCGTGCAGCGTGCGCGCGCCGAGCATGCTTACCTCGTCGATGACGAGCACCTCCTTGTCCTGCCAGTCCATGCGGGACTCGCCGTCGACGAACCGCTCCGCCTGCCTCGGCAGCCGTACGCCGTCGACCTCCTCGCCGTGTTCGCGCCCGGCCCTTGGTCCTGGTGAAGCCGCAGGCGGGTGGATGGTGATACCGTTGACCCGGGCCGCCGCGGTCCCCGACGTCGCCGTGATCAGCAGCCGGCTCGAGATGCCCTTAGCGGCAAAGAGGCCGACGAGTGCTTCGATGACGCGCGACTTGCCGGTACCGCCCTCGCCGCCGACGAACTGACAGAGCTGGCTGACGTCGCCCCCTCCGTCTCCTCGCCGCATCAAGTCAAGGTGGCGGCATATTATGGACAAGGCGATGGCCTGTTTCCTGTTTAGCGTCAAGCGTCTCGTCAAGCCTTTTCCGGCCTCGAGGAACGAGGTCGACGGGCCGAGGCGGACTTCCATGCCGGCCTCGGCGTTACCCGCCGTCTCCTCGGCTTCCGCCGCCGTTATCTGCACGCCTTCCTCGCCGAAGCCGGTCAGCACACTCCGCTCCGCCGCGCCACGATCGGTGCCGTGGGCCGTGGCCATGCTTTGTATACCCTGTATCATCTTCACCTCTCCTCGAGGCGCTCGTCTGCTGCGACTTGATGGCCTTGACCTGGTCCTGCGGCGGCACCGCGGCCCCGGAAAAGACCCGCCCCGGCAAGTCGATGCGCCTCCCGCCCCGTTCCTGACGATGGAGGCCTCGAGCTCGGCGGTCGAGGCCAGCGCTGACTGCTGGAAGCGGCACAGCTGCTGTATCATACCCGAGAGCTCGCGCGATCCCGCCGTGATCTGGTTCGCCCCGGCCGCGCTTCGGACGACGTCGATTAGTCGCGTTGCCTTTCCGACGTTGTCGGCCTGGTACGCCGAGGCCGCGTCGTCGTCCCCCGGGTGTCGCCCCCCCTCCTCCCCGCCTCGCCGAGAGCGCCGGCGCAATCCCCGGCGCCGCCCGAGGCCGCCCACTGCTTGGCGTCTCGCCTCGCGTCCTCGGCGGACCGCCGGAGCAGTTGAACGTTGTCGACGAGGCACGAGATTCTCGGCGGAAGCAGCTCGCGCCCGCCTCCATATCTCATTGATGTCCCCTTCTTCTTCGCCGAGAAAGGCTTCCACGGCACAAATAGCGCAAGATGCTGGACGGCAGCCCTGCGACGGCACAATAAGTGTAAGTCAGCCAGCCCCCCGCGGCGTCGCAACCCCCCCTCTCTTCACTCGGCCACTTTGCCCGCCCGCACTTACCTGCGATGAGCCGATTCCTCGTCGTCCTGCTCGAAATCCTTGCTTAGGTAGCCGTCGAGGCAGACGACGGCGTACTTTCCCGGCCGCCTTAGCACCTGGACCCAGTCTTTACCGGCCACCCAGCCGCTCTCGAACGGCACCTCTCCCCAGCCGCCGGAGCAGCCGGCCTTGCCGACGCGTTGGAGCCTGACGAGCGAAACATAGTCGTATAGGCACAAGCCTCGTAGGACATGTCCGCGATGATGATAGGCCTCGGCGAAACTGATCCTCTCGCCTGCTTGTTCGACGACGACCGACTCGTCCGCGACGGACACGTCTTCGACCGCCGCGGTGCCGCTCTGCTGCCGAAGGTGTCGCCAGAGCCTCGAGACGTGCCAGTATAGCACCGACACGTTCAGGTACGCCCAGGCGCTGCTTCCCGAGAACTCGCTCGGGTGTCCCAGCAGATGGGCGACGACCTCGACTTGCGACAGCGCCCGCTCCGTGAACACCCGATTCGCCACTCTCGAGAAACTGCCGCGTCTTGTTTTCCTTCCATCGCCGTCGCCGACGACGCCGCTACTTACGTCATCCCCGGCACCCGGCTGACTACCGGCCGACACGACGGGCAGCAGTTCGGCGGCGGCGGCGACGCGCTTCCACGTCGGGTCCTCCACCTTAGTCGCGTAATTGGTCACGTAGTAGACGAGCGCCATGGTCTTCCGCTGCGTCGCTATAAAGGAAATGTCGTGGTTGTGACGGAGCCCGACGGCGATGGCCTTGTTCCACCGGTTCACCATGGGATGTGTTCTGCGGATCCGCAGCACGCCGTCCGCTGACAGGGTCGTCTCCTCGACCCGCTCCCACGGTGCCTTAAAGCGACAGAGGTCGGCGCCCTTCCGCCCCTTGCTGCCGAGGGAGTACTTGACGCATGTCGGGCTGTGGGTATGGATCTGGGTCGCGCCGGCGCAGAAGTTGGCTTCCTCCTCGAACGAGGCCGAGAACTGATCGGCCCTGTTCAGCAGGGACGAGATATCGGACGTCACCGAACGCTCTGCCTCGACGGCGCAGAACCCTTCCTGGTCCAGGTCCTAGTTTCCCCGCGTCAGCCCGCGTCCTCTTCTCCCACGACTATTTCGTACGACGCCCCGCCGTTCCTTACCTCGCTGAAGACACTATCGACGTAGCGGACGATTCGCTCGCGGTATGCCGCTTGTTCCCCGCCGTCTGAGTCGGCAAGCATCGAGCTGAGGTGGGCGTTTCCCTCGAGCCAGAGCAGCCCGTGCACGTGGAGGGAGCCTCGCTCGTTCGTTTCCACGGCGCCATAATACTGGCTGACGCGGCCGAAGACCGACTCCCCCCCGGCATTGACGTAATGCTCGAAGAACAGCGTCATCTCGCGGTGGAAGAAGACGGCCGAGCTCATCGGGTCGGACACGGACAGCCGCACACGTTTGAACGCCTTATCGAGGCTTCGTAGGAACTCCTCGGCCGCTTCGGGGTCGCGCGCGCGGTACGCTGCTAGTCGGAGCTTTACCGGATTCGTGATGTCGTTTGGGTTGATCGTGAACCAGATGGCGGGCACGCCGTAACGGACGATGAGCGCCAGGATCCTATGCCGCATCCCGAGACGGACCTCCCTCGACATGGGCTGACGATACCCATACAGCGAAAGGCTCCTGAGCAGCTCCTTCACCGCATCATCGGTCGTCTTGCCTGTGCTCTCTAGCTCGGCCCTGGCCGCCGCCAATCCGTCCGCGGTTAGCGACCGTACGATGCGCTCCACCTTGCGGAAGTTCTTCCTCGTCACGCTTAGCATGCTGACGCGGCGGTTCCTCGACCGCACGCCTATATTAAAGACGAGGAAGGCGAAGATGTGGTGCGTCGCGAACCGGCCACCGTGGCGTCGTAACACCGTGTCGGCCCAGGTCCGAAGGCTCATGTTCCGAGACGACACGAGCTCTCGCGTCGCGGCCTCCCGCTCGCGTATGTCGGCGGTGCCTCTGCCTAGTTGTACGGCTGCTTCTTCGACCGGTCGCGGCCCTCCGACGCCAAATGGCAACAGCGTGGGAAAGGTCTTCGCGAAAAGGAGGCTTCGAACGAGTCGGCGAAGTCATCGCCGCGGCGAACGCCTATATACGGTTCGGAACCATCGGCGTGCCCTGGCTGCCCCCTTGCCGAGGTTTCCACCCACGTCCTCGGACCCGCGCCGCCGTCGTCGCCCGCCCCTTCGCGGACGGCATCACATGCGAAGCGCAATTTATCCACGTCGGCGACGTCGGGCGGCCCGTCTAACGCAAACATTCCCGACGAGGTTACCTCGTTGATCGTCTCCGCATCGTGATTAGCCTCGTCGCCGCTCTGACCACGCGCCTCGTCTACCTCGATTGACTCTGGCTCGTCGTCCTCGAGAATCGTCGCGCTTCCTCCCCCTTGGTTGAGCAGAGACAGGACTTCTTCGATCTCTACCGCGCCCTCGTCGTCCATGGCCCGCTCCGTGGGCGGCACGATATGCGCCGTCCGCGTCTTCTCCCATGCCGACGGCTCGTTCCGCTCCAGGCGCCCGTACACCGACGGCGGCACCCCGTGGGCCGACTCTCCCCAGCTCTCCATCTCAGCCGCGTCGATCTCGATCTCGGCATAGTGTGGGTTGTTTCTCTTCAGCCAAACAAGAGCCCTCTCGACAACGCGCCGCCTCACAGACAAGAGACTCGATAGGTCGCTCGGTGTCGGCTTTACCGCCCCCTGCCACGAGATGTGGATCTCGTCCATCACCTGCAGGAGAGGGTGCGGCAGCACTTTCGTCACCAATTCTTGTACATTGTTCGGAAACACCGTGATGTGGCCCTTGACGTGCTTGGGGTACCTCAGCGTCTGCTTCTGGCCGCCCGGGACGCTATACCTCGTGACGAACCCGTAACACGAGTTTAGCGCAATCAGCTTCTCCTCCACTGGCGTGAGCCCTTGAGCTCATCAGGAGCATATGCTCACAACCGAGGCGACAATGAAGTTGGGCCGCCGGCGACAGCACCCCACGCGCCAGCCCTCGATGACACTCCGCGCAGACCACGATAGACTCGCCCTCACGGAAGCAACTCCGACACGCGAACGGCGAGCCCTCACCCTTAGGGACGGGGCTCGACAGCCACCGATCCCACGGCATCTCCTTAAGCTCCGTCCTCGAACGCTTGCGGTAGCACAGCATACATGCCCGTATCGGCAAGGTGGCCGCATCGTGGAACGCCCGATAGAAACTTCGCACCGTCGATACCTTCCTCTCATGCGGCACTGGTGTGCACCAAGTCTGCTCCTTGACAGCCTCTCTTGGCGGCAAATTCGTCTTCCAGGTAACGTAGGACGCTGGCTAGATCTTCCGCCTGTAGCTCACTTCTCCTCTGCCTCCGACGGCCGCCTCGAATACGTTTCCTTGGCAGCTCGTCTCGGTCGGGCTCGCCGATCCTCTTCTCTGCTCCACGGACTCCGAAGATCTCGCTACCGCCTCGACTCGCCTCGGCCGATCCTCCTCTCCACCGCTGCCCCGCGTGGTGGTCGTGGTAGCAACCGTCCGGGTGATTGTGTATCTCCGGCTCCATCTCCCGGCTCTTTAGGCTCGACTGGCTGAACGAGGGCTCCTGACGGCCGTGGACGAAATCCCGACCGCCCCTGCCGGCCGATCCTGCCCTGCCAGGCGTGACGGCCGTGGTAATAACCGCCCGGATGACTGCAGATCTCCTGCTCTGTCTCCTATCGCTTTCGCTTGAATTGGCCGGGCGACGGTGGGTTGCGGCGAGTGCTGGCTTACATTCTCTAGCCGAAATCTTGTTAAACATCGCGCTTGCCCTCCCTTTGAAGAAGCACCATGGACGCGCGTCCTATTATCCCGCGGCCGACTGCCTCGCCGGCTTCCTAGAGGCGTCGCTCTTTCGACTGCTTCTACCCGCTCTCTTCGTGAACCCTCCTCGGACGCCGGCGCCTGCTTCGCCTGGATAGGCCGGAACCTAGGTGCCGGGTCCGCTTGACTTTCGTCGCCCAACACCCGCTTCGGTCCTTCGTCCGTACGCCTCTCACGCACATTTATCGGTGTCGAGCGTCGCGCTCGCCCTCCCTTCAAGGCGGCGCCATTCACGTGCATCGCCTTTTCCCGCAGCCCACCACCTGGCCGACTTCCCTAGGCAACGCTCTTTCAATGCATCCCCTTGTTCTCTTCGTGAGATCTCCTCGGCCGCCAGCGCCTGCTTCGCCTCGATAGGCCGGACACTGTCGACCGTTGCCGGCCGACCTTTCCTTCCCGGGCTGCTAGAGTATCCCTCGCTCCCCTTCTGCCTCGTCCGCGCCCTATCGTTCCGCTTTCCAGACGTGCCGATCTGCACGCCCTCCGCGATCCCGGCGTGTGATAATCCGGCCTCCTCAGGGGGGGCAGGCGCAGCTCCCGCGCACTCTCCATCTCTTTGGGTCGGATGGGCCTTGGCGAATGCTGGCTCCCGCCTTCCAATCGAAATCTCATAAGAGCAGGCGCAGGTCCGGCCGTATTCTCCATCTCTTTGGGTCGGATGGGCCTTGGCGAATGCTGGCTCCCGCCTTCCAATCGAAATCTCATAAGAGCAGGCGCAGGTCCGGCCGTATTCTCCATCTCTTTGGATCGGATGGGCCTTGGCGAATGCTGGCTCCGCCTTCCAGCCGAAATCTCATCACCGTTATCGGTCTTCCAACCCGGCGTTTTCCCCACCACCTGTCCGCTCGACGAGACCTTTCGGCCTCGTCAGTTCGCTACCGCTGGGTCGCCTAACCGTCTCAGAGCCACTTACGGCCACGCCGGACCATCTCCCACTGTCTAGGCCGTCTTCTCGCCCGACTAAGGCTTCCGGAGGACATGGTGCTTCCAGACCTACCGTGGTCGCTGCCCTCCTCTCATCATCCCCAGCCCTCCCCTCCTTGGGCAAGAGGTGCCGGTAGGTGATCGGGTCGTTACCCTCGCGCTGCAACACACCGCCGACGGACGGCACAAGACTCCTCACACGGCTTCGCACCCAACCCTTGCATGGCAACGTCCGTCTCCATGCTCACTAGCTTATCATCACCCACGTTTATCGGTGCTGAAAGTCGTGATGGGGCCGCCTTCGAAATGCCATCGTTCAATACTGATTTTCCCTTTGGCCGCCGACCGCCTCGCCGGCTTCTCTTGGGCAACGCTCTTTTAAGCGCTTCCGCTTGTTCTCCTCGCGAGACCTCCTCGACCAGCCCCTGCTTGGCCATGATGGGCCGAAACCTGGATGCCACGTTTGCCTGTCTCTTATATCCCGACACCCGCCTTAGCGAATCATCCATTGCGCTCAATCTCGCCGCAGCGACATTTCTCGTCGCAGCAACGGCCGCTGCTCCCATCACCATTTCACCTTCTCCCTCTACCGACCGAACCTCGCAGCGAGAACTCTCTCCCATGTCGATGCTATCTTAACGCCGCGGCTCTGCACACGGATGATGGACCATAAAAGTTTGCCCCCGGATCTTTCTTCAATATTATCTCGCCTCCTAACAATAATGGTCCGCCGTGTTGGCGTTTTTCCTACCAATCCTTCCTATAACTAAACCCTGTGATCTTTTAGCACTGAGCCGACGCGGCAATGCTTATCCGCGAGCCCCCTTTCTCCCCTTCACCACCCTACCACCGTCCGTCCATCCTTTCCGGACGGCCTCGACCAGCCCATGCATAGGAATACACACCGCAACTCCATCTAAGGCCGCCTTCTACTACTCTGCTCTCCTCCGCATCTTCCGAATCTGTCGTTGCAGGTATGCGTTTCAAGGAACATCAAATTAGACTTTCTTTTCTTCGCTACCTATGCTGCAACGGAAAAAGGAATAGCCCTGCCATCTGATTCAGCTCACCCGGCACGATAGCTCCCAAGACAGTCTTCCCTAAATTTCCGTTCCATTCTAACAGGCAACCTTCTCCACACCGCCTCTTCGTGTGGCTTACTCGTTGGCTTACTCGTCGGGTCAAGAGCTATTATGCACCACGCATCCTTATCAAAATTCAAACTTGCCATGGCAAAGCTTCTCGCTCTCCCCACTGGTTCTATAATACCTTGGATTTATAAAAAAGGCCGCTTTATTCTCCACCTCTTACTTCCTTCTTAACGACTTATACCGATCATTTTTCTAGGCGCACAAACCACTTATTAGCCAACATAGATATGCACGATGTCTTCCTCGTCACCGCTACCTCCACCACACCTTCGAAAGCCGCTCGATAGCCAGAAAGGCGCGGGTGGTGATATGTCTATGATGTTCTTCGTCCAGCCCGACTGCCCCTCGAGATTTCCCCATCAGGACGAGCATCGCGTTAGAGGTCTCAACGCCGAGACCATTGCCCGCATCTTTTTGCCACCTCCTTCATGGTTGCTCACCGCGGAATATGCGCCGCTCCGATTGGATACCGACGACTCGCCGACATCCATCTTCTTCAGTCTCAATCTCTCTATTTACAACCAGCCTGTTATCGCCTCCGAATGGTCTGAGGAATGGTTTTTTATGAACGGCCGCGTCCACCCTACGCCCTTGCCTGGGAGGTTAAGCAGCGCGACGGCCTAGAGTCTGAAACTGGCGACACCCTTATCTACACCATGCCCGCCCTCGTCGTCCGCGACCAGGGTTACCAGCCGTAAGGCGTGCCATTTACCCTAGCGCGTACCGCTCTCGGCTCTCGGGCGAGAGGTCCGGCTGATTTGTCCTCTTAGCATCCTCCTAGACTCTTCGCCTCTATGGATAACTTCCCTTGCATCCCGCCTATCGTTTCCTTCACCGGCTTCATCCTTGGCCCGGGTCACTCCTGCTACGACAAGACCTTCTGCCAGACCTAGACGCCGCCCAGCTAAATTGCTGCGGCTTCGTCCAGCTCTCTACGTATCTAGCTCCTGGCATTCCCGACAAGATCCCTTTCAGAGGCTTCCACCAATTCGAGGTCTTCGTTATCTTCCCCATTCACGCTAACCCCTGGGCTATACTATGTAAGAAGATGGCCGAGAGGAGGGACTCTTACTTTCAGCCCAGCATCCCCTTTACCTGCACGGGCAAAGTTGCTGGCCTGCTCAGTCACCGCGTCATGATTCATCCCCCAGGCTCCGACCGAGACTATGTCTTTATCGTCGTCCCGGATTCTTGGACTTTTCTCGATAAGGCCACCAGCACTGCGGCTGCCTCGTCCTCGGCTATCTCGACACCACTAAAGGAAAAACCGTCCTCCGCTTCGGCCGCTTTCCGGGATATACTCGCTGCCTCTTACTCCGTGGCAACACCTGGTACCCTCCCGCCAAGTCCTCCACCTTCGGCTTTAATAACTTCTGCTTCAACTTCTACTTTGGCCGACCTAGCTACACCCTCGCAGAAGCGTCCCTGTCCTGACCCTGCCGGCACGCCGACGAAGAGACCGCGCCTGACGACCCCGAAACCTTCGTCTTCTACCGATACTGGGGGCTCTGCTACCCGATCCTGCTCCTCTTAGCGGCTTCCCATATTAGCGATCCGGAAACAGCCGGTCAGACTCCTGCCTCGGAGAATGCCTCGGCATCTTCCCTAATTCAATTGTCGCCTGCACATCAGACTCGCCGACTAGGCCGCTTCTCGCACGCCTTCTTGTGAACCTTCCAGTCCGCCTTTTGATGCTCCGTGCCGCAGTATGCCACTGCGTGACATCTACTGCACCGCTTCACTCCCACGGTCGTCCCGCATATTTTGCACAGCCTGACCTCCATGCACCTATTGCGTCCTAGAAACTTATCTCGCCTTTCCTCCTCCTGCCGCATTTCCCCCATTACTAGTTGCATTTCCTGTCTCATTTCTACCTCGCACTGCCCTCTTCCACATAACGATGTGACCCAAACCACAATGCGAGCCTCGTCTGCGTGCAGCATCGATATCGGACTCTGTAAGATGTCTGTCGCAAACCGCCCGCAGCATTCGCAGAAAGCACCCGACGCACTGCGACATGCTGATTCGTGCTCCTTCATAAGAGGCATCATGGACTGTGTAAATCGCTCGTTGTATTCAGCATCTCCGCCGGCCCCGTTTGCCTCCGTCACAAGGCTCCGAGGAATGCTATGGTTGTGGATGAGTTGCCTGGCGCCAAATTGGCATATGAACTCGACTCGGACCGTAGACATCGCCATAATTTGTGTTCTAGATGTTTAGATACTCTGTAGTTTTTTTTTATGATTAACTGACGCATATGATGCGAAGAACACTAGAACAGCAAGTAGGCCACTCAAGGCCGAATTCTCGACGCCTTATTTTATCCCCTCTTCCTCCATCACTTCTCATCTTCTCCTTGCTTTTTATTCACACGTATTGCTGCATGACATGACTGACAGCTTGGCGCCCGATCTTCTTCGCCCCAATCACCCGTCGCGCGATGCAAGCTACTGCGGGAAAGATTTTTTCCGTGCCAGTGATGCCGCAACCACCACAAAACCTTGAAACATCAAACAGACAGATAAATCCCCCTTTTCAGCCTCAAATTTCAACCACAAACTTTCGTTCCTCAAGGCTCTTTGCGCGAGCCCGAGGCGAGCCTTCTCCTGTAGGGTTCCTCCCCGGGGAGAAAAAAAATTCGCCATCGATTTCCCCCCCGCAAATGCCGCCCTCTGATTCGCTGGCGTTCTCGCTTTTGATTCGTCGGTTGTTCTTTTCTCGCTTTTGATTCGTCGATGTTCTCGCTTTTCATTCGTTAATAAATAAAAATAAATAATGCCCTGCCCCCTTGCTGCCCCTTTTAGTTCCAGCTGCGCAGTTCGCTTCCAACGCCTCCGTAGACCATACGCCGCCGCAGACCACATAGAGGAAGGTGCCCAAGCCGGCCCGGCTTCTAACTCCGCCATAGACCACACGCCTCCACAGACCACCCCCTTCGCCCGTCCTCCTGGCCCTTAACCTACACTCCTTTTACGTCAGAAGTGTGGAAAATGCAGGGCGCCTGCGTTACCTGCGGAGCCAGTCGGCCGCCTCCTGTGTTGTCTGCGTGCTAAGCTCCTCTAGCCGGGCCTGCGCTGCCGTCATCTCCTCAGGCACCCGGTTCCCACTAGGTCCCGCTCCCGCACCTCTGATACGAGCATGATGCCGTCGAGCGTCGGGCACCGCGACAGCTGCACGTATAGGCTATACGGGTCGCACGACGACGGCACCGCCCTCCCCTCGACCGTCGTCATCCTCGCCCCCCGCAGCTCCAGCGCCACGCGCTCTAGCGTCCCGCCCTGCACCTTATAGTCGGTGCAGGCGAAGGCCGCGGCACACGGCAGGCCCCTCCGGCTGACGTCGTTGCGCTGCCATGGCCGCTTCCGCTGCGCTGTGATCTTGACGCTGATGGGCGTTAGCAGGATCGTCCCGGCAGGCATCCCGACGAAGTGGAAGTCCTTGGTCGTCTCCGAGGCCAGCACGATGCCCGCCGGCGGCCCGAAGTGCATGATGAGCTCCGCCGAGACGCGGTGGCCGGGAAGGCGCGGTCGGGGATGACGTCCACCGCCGTGTACCCGGCCCCGTTCACAAGCTTCAGCCCCTGGTGCGTGTTCTGGTTCACGACGACCGGCATGCCTGGCACGAAGAGGAAGACGGCCGGCACCGGGGTCGCGCTGTCGTCGCCCTGGCCTAGCATTAGCACCGCCTCCTCTTCCGTCGGCACGCCGTCCCTCCACTTATGCTCGGAGAGGAAGACGCGCGCCGCCGTCCGCCGCCTCTCCGGAACGCGAGCGCCGCCTCTAGGTTGAGGTTCCAGCGGTTCCGGTTGAGCGGCGTCACCACCGTCAGGCCCGTCTCCCACGGGATCCGCCTGCCCGGCCGGTAGCATCTCGAGTTGAGCAGCTCTAGGTCCGACCGGTCCTGCTCGCCCCGGCGGATCCGCCCGAGCAGCCGCCGCAGCTCCGGGTCGCCGGCGGCCCGCATCTGCTCGTCAGCATGACGACCGTCGTGAAGCGCCGCCACAGCGCGTGCGCCTTGTCGTGCCGCCGCCGCTGCTCGGCCGCGAACGCCCCGTCCTCGTCCCACGCCACCGCCGCGCTCGGCAGCAGGATCGACCGTTCCTGCACCGGCCGGAACTGGTGGAAGTCGCCGCAGAGGATCACTACCGGGATGCCGCCGAAGTCCCGCGCCGACCCCCGCAGCCGGCAGAGCTGCTCGTTGGCGGCGTGCGTGCGCCCCGAGCATGCTGACCTCGTCGATCACCAGCACCTCCTTCTCCTGCCAGTCCATCCGCGACCGGCCGTCGACGAAGCGCTCGCCCTGGCCCGCCAGCCGTACGCCGTCAATGTCCCTCGTCCCCCCTCCCGCCCGGCCGCCCTGGCCGACCGTAAGGCCGCAGGCCGAGTGCAGCGTGATGCCGTTGATCCGCGCTGCCGCCGTCCCCGACGTCGCCGTAACCAGTACCCGGCTCGATAGGTCCTCCGGGCGAGCAGCTCGACGAGCGCCTCGATGACGCGCGACTTGCCGGTGCCGCCCTCGCCGCCGATGAATAGGCAGAGCTGGCCACCACCGTCGCCGCCTGCGTCGTCGCCCTGCCGGATTCGGTCGAGTTGCCGGCACACGATTAGGAGGGCGATGGCCTGCTTCGTTGAGCGTGAGCTGGCCCGCCAGCTCCTGCCGGCGGCGACGAACGAGCTCGACGGGCCGAGCCGCACGCGCATCCCCGCCGCCGTGCCTGCGTCTGCGTCGCCGTCGGCCGCCGTTACGTCGATGTCGTCCTCGCCGAAGCCCCCCATCACCCCGCGAAGGGCCGCGCCGCGGTCGGCCCCGACGCCCGCCGCCGCCCCGCCGCCCTGGATGCCCTGGATCGCCCGCTCCCGCCCCGCGCCGCGCTCCTCTGCTGCGACTTGATGGCCCGCACCTCTTCTTGCCGCGGCAGTGCCGCCCCGACAGCGCCGAGCCCGGTAGGTTCACCCGCCTGCCTGCCCTCTCGTCCGCCACCACCGTCGCCGCGAGCTCGGCCGCCGACCCGAGCGCCGACTGCTGGAACCGGCAGAGCTGCTGCGTCATCGCTAGCAGCTCTGTTGACTGCGCCGTGACTTGTCCCGCGCTGGCGGCGTTCCGGACGACGTCGATGAGCCGAGCCGCGTCGCCCGCCCCGCCGGCGCGGTATGCCTCCTCGCCCCTTCGGCCGCCCCTGCCTTCGTCGTCGGCCTGCGGCGCCGTCATACCGCCCTCCTCGGCCGTGGCGGCCCACTGCTTGGCGTCGCGCTTCGCGTCCTCCGCCGACCGCCGGAGGAGCTGCACGTTGTCTGCGAGCCGCGCGACCCTCGGCGCCAGCGACCCGCGCCCGTGCCCAGATGTTGTTAATGTCGCCTGCCTCCTCGCCGAGGAAGGACTCCACGGCACGAATAGGGCCAGGTGCTGCACCGCCGCCCTAGATGCTGTTAGCCGATGCCCCTAGCTGCTCTGCCTTCCTCTTAGGCGCCCCCCGTCTTATAGTACGCACCTCCGGTGGCACGACTCGTCGTCTTCCTCGCTGAACTCCTTGCTGAGGTATCCGTCGACGCATACAGTCGCCCCGCAACCCGGCCGCCTAAGCGCCTGCACCCAGCCCTTCCCCGACGCCCAGCTCTCCGCGAAGGGTACCACCCCAGCCCGCCATACCGTCGGCGCCGCTGCCGTTTTGCTTTAACCTTACAAGCGATGCGTAGTCATAAAGGCAGAGGCCCCGCAGGAGCTCGCCCCGGTGCCGGTAGGCCTCGACGAGAGGGATCCTCAGGCCAGCCTCCTCGACGACGACCGTCTCGTCCGGCGCGTCGCCCGTCGCCTCGGCGCCGCTCGCCCGTCGGAGGTGCCGCCACCGGCGGAAGACGGCCCAGTAGAGCTGGTTTGCGTTTATATACGCCCACGCTGAGCCGCTGCTAAACTCCGCCGGGTACCCTAGGAGGTGCGCGATCACCTCGACCTGCGACAGCGGCCGCTCCGTAAAGACTCGATTCGCCGCCTTAAGCAGGAACGTTCTCGTCTTATTCCCCTACGGGGTCCGCCGCCGTCGCTACCCCTTCGGCCCCGCCCTCCCGGCCGGCGTCGCGGTCGGCGCCACTTCTGTTGCCCTCTCCCGTCGGCTCTAGCACAGGAAGGAACTCGGCCGCGGCGGCCACACGCTTCCACACCGGGTCCTCTACCTTCGTCGCATAGTTAGTAATATAGTAGATTAGGGCCATGGTCTTGCGCTGCGTCGCGATGAACGAGATGTCGTGGTTGTGTCGTAGCCCCACTGCCATCGCCCTGTTCCACCGGTTCACCATGCTATGCGTCCGCCGGATCTCGAGCACCCCGTCCGCCGTCAGCGCCGTCCTCTCCACCAACCTCCACGGCGCCTTAAACCGGCAGAGGTCCCCTTCCGCGCCCCACGCCGAGCGAGTATTTTACGCAGGTCGCGCTATGCGTATGGATCTGCGTCGCGCCCGCGCAGAAGTTGGCCTCCTCGTCGAAGGTGTCCGTGAAGCGCGCGACGTCGTCGAGCCGCGACGATATGTCCGCCGTGGCCGACCGCTCTGCCTGCATGGCACAGTAACCTTCTGCGTCTAGCTCCTGCGGCCTCGGTTCAGCTTAGGCCTCAGCCTGCCCCAGATAGGGGCATCGGGGTTTGTGTTAAGGCGGCCGCCTTACCTCAGAGAAGACGCTATCTACGTAGCGGACGATGCGCTCCCGGTACGCCGCCTGCTCCTCCGCGTCCGGGCCGGCGAGCGCGTCGCCAATGCCCGCGTTGCCCCTTAGCCAGAGGAGCCCGTGGATGTGGAGGGCGCCTCGCTCGTTGGTCTCTACCGCCCGTAGTATGCGCCGACGTGGCCGAACACCGACTCCTCCCCGACGTTGACGTAGTGCTCGAAGAAGAGCGTCATCTCCCGGTGGAAGAAGACGGCCGAGCTCATCGGGTCCGATATGGCCAGCCGCGTCCGCTTATACGCGGTCCCTAGGTCACTTAGGAAGGCCTCGGCCTCGTCGGGTCGCGGCCGCGGTGCGCCGCTAGCCGTAACTTTACTAGGTTCGTAATGTCGTTCGGGTTCAGCGTGAACCAGATAGCCGGCACCCCGTACCTAACGATGAGGGATAGTATCTTCTTCCGCATACTAAGGCGGCTCTCCCTCGACATTGGCTGCCGGTAGCCGAACACGGAGAGGGACCGGAGGAGCTCTTTTACCCCGTCGTCGCTAGTCTTGCCCGTGGCCTCGAGCTCGGCCCTGGCCGCCTCGAGCCTCTGCGCCGTTAACGACTTTAGTAGGCCCTCGACCCTTGCGAAGTTCTTCCTCGCTACGCCTAGCATGCTGGCCTGGCGGTTCTTAGACCGCACGCCCATGTTAAAGACAAGGAAGGCGAAGATAGGGTGCGTCGCGAACCGGCCGCCGTGACGCCGCAGCACGACGTCGGCCCATGCCTGGAGCTTCATGTTCCGCGTCGACATAAGGCCCTCTGCAACCCGCTCCGCCTGGGCGCCCTGGTTCCCGACGCTAGGCCCGCGCTCTCTCCCGCGGCGTCCTCGTCGGCGAGCCTCGGCCCGCCTAAGCCAAAGGGAACAGGGTCGGAAAGGCCTTTGCAAAGAAGGAGGCGTCCGCCGAGTCGGCGAAATCCTCGCCGCGTCGCACCTGTATGTACGGCTCGCCGTCGCCGCCGTCGCCCGCCGCCCTCTGGCCGCCGTCCCTACCCACGTCCTCGGCTGGCGCGCGCCTCGGGCCCGACCGCGTCGCGGGCGAAGCGAATCTTCTCGGCGTCGGCCACATCTGGCGCCCCATCTAACGGGAACATGCCGGAAGACGTTACCTCATTGATTACGTCCCCGTCCTCTTCGGGCCTAGCGCCGTCCCTGTCGTCGTCCTCGCACGTGAGCCCGACGTCGCGGCTCCTCGGCGGGGTCCTGGCCCTGCCTTAGCATCGCGAGGACCTCCTCGATCTCGGCCGCGCCTCCGTCGTCCATGGCCCGCTCCGACGGCGGCACCACCTGCGCCGTCTGCGTCCTCTCCCGCGCCGACGGCTCGTTTCGCTCCAGCCGCTCGCACACCACCGGCGGCACCGTGCGGCGGCGCCCCCAGCTGGCTATCTCCGCCGCGTCGATCTCGACCTCGCCGTAGAGCGGGTTGTTCTCCTGAGCCAGGCCAGCGCCCTCTCGACCGCCGACCGCCTTACCGACAGCAGGCCTGATAGGTCCCGCGGCCCGGGCCTCTCAGCGCCCTGCCACGAGACGTGGATCTCGTCCATGACCCGGACCAGCGGGTGCGGGAGCACCTGGCAGCCAGGCCCTGCACGTCGTTCGGGAACACCGTGATATGGCCCTTGACGTGCCTCGGGTACCTCACGCTCTGCCTCCGGGGATGCTATACTTCGTCACGAAGCCGTAGCACGAGTTGAGCGAGATGAGCTTCTCCTCGAGCGGCGTGAGGTCCTTTAGCTCGTCGGGGTACGCGTGCTCGCAGCCGAGCCGCCCATGGAGGTGCATGGCCGGCGACGCCCCCTCACGCCCGGCCCATCGCGCGCACTCTGCGCAGACCGCCACCGGCCTGCCCTCCGGGAAGCAGGCTTGGCACCCGAACGGGGACCGCCCGCCCCCCGCAACACCGCTCCGCGACCACCCTCCCACCCTCCCACGCCATCTCCTCAGCTCCCTTGGCCCGCTTCCGGTAGCATAGCGTGCAGGTCGCGATCGGCAGCGTGCCAGCGTCGTGGAACGCCCGGTAGAACTTCCGCACCGTCCTCACCTGCCTCTCGCGCGGCACCGGCGCACACCACGTCTGCTCGTTAGCCAGCCTCTCGCCCGCCTCGAACTCCTCGTCGAGGTGCCGCAGCGCGCTGGCTAGGTCCTCGGCCTGCAGCTCCCTTGGTCTCGGCACCTTTCACCGACCCGGCGCGTTTCCGCTCGGCCTGCCCACTACTAAGATGGCGTTTCCTCTTCTTCTTCCTCGCCTGCCGTCTTATCGCCGATCTACCTGCGTCCGGTTAGCTATCACCGCTACACGCCTTTACCTCGCTCTACGACCGTACCTGCCGAGGCGCTATCTCTGCCGCCAACAAGCAGCCCGGCTGCGGCCGGAGTTGTGGCGGGGATCTCGGCCCTGCTGGCCGGCCGGGACTGGATGGCTCGCGGCGAGTGCTGGCTTCCGATCGAGACTACGGCCGAGCTAGTCCCGCTTGACGGCGGCGAAGGGCCGGCGGCCCTCCAAGTCGGTTGTGGCCGAATATCCCGCGGAACGTCCGAACTTCTCGTCGGCGGCGGCGAAGGCCCGGCGGCCTCCACCGTCGGCAGAGGCCGGATTTCCCTCGGTGCGCGCTGGCTTTTCCCTGAGGCCGAGACGGCGCTAGGCCCGCCTTGCGGCAGCCGGCGCCCTACCGCCGTCGGTGTCGACAGAGCCTAGATATCCCGCGGCGCGTCCGAACTTCTCGTCGGCGGCGAAGGGCCGGCGGCTCCATGTCGGCTGTGGCCGAATGTCCCGCGGAACGTCCGAACTTCTCGTCGGCGGCGGCGAAGGACCGGCGGCCTCTACCGTCGGCAGAGGCCGGATTTCTCTTGGTGCGCGCTGGCTTTTCCTGAGGCCGAGACGGCGCTGGGCACGCCTTGCGGCAGCCAGTGCCCTGCCGCCCTCGGTGTCGGCGGCAGCCGTTGCCGCCGCGCTTGGTGTCGGCCGAGGCTGGATATCCCGCGGCATGACTCGGCCTGCGCTGATCCTCCATCTCCCTAGTCCTGGCGGTCTTCCCGCCCTCGCCTCGGAGGCGCCTCCTTGACGCCTCTTCTTGCTCTCTCCGAGTGGCGCCGCTAGCAAGTGCCGGCGCTGCTGTGGTCGGCTGGAACTCTGGTCCTGTGTACGGCGCTGCGCAGGCTTCTGGCGCCGGGCTTGCCCCGTCCCCCGCTCCGGACTGGTCCCTTCCGTTGGCTGGCTTCATTGCGACACCGGTCTACCAAAGCCCCACGGACGTCTTGTCTTCCTCTTTGCACCTGCCCTCTTTGGCCCTGCCTACTTATGGTGCCACTAGGCCCCTGGCGTAAATCCTCGTAAGTGTAATAACAGCGTATAAATCCTTGCCTCGATTATTCGCCCTGCACTTATCTTGCTGACTGGCCCCCCTCTTGCGCATATAGGATCCTCTACAAAAGTCTATATATCTTACTCGTAGCTCTCTACTATGTCTATATGCGTGCTGCTGCTCTTTGCATTATACCGGCGCCGCCTTTCTATTAAGCCCGCCCGCCATTGCCTGCTGCTATATGCGATAGGCTAGACGGCCTCGGCCGATCCTTATATGTACGTCGCCGCGACGGCTTCTTCTTGCCTATGCTTTGCATGCTACGCTTTTCCTTCTTGTCATCCAGCTCTTATCAGTCAAAGCTTCCGTATGCCCCTAGACACTTGCCCGCTGAAGTTTAAAACCATGTCTTACACGTGTTGCGAATAGGGCTGCCTGCTTCTCCTCGAATATAGCTTCGCGCGTCCTGCTTGTCTTAAAACCCTCTACATCTTACTAGACCGCCTTTTAAAGTTCTCCTTCTCTTATTGCACTCTCCTCTATACGCATCTTATAACCCTCTTTTACAAAGGCTCCTTATATAACCTACCACTAACGCCATGTTGCGTCTTTGTTTAGAATCCTTTGACTTCTCTTACACACCATCGCCACTGGCCCTCTCTTTACACTAAACTTCCCACCCGGCCCTTGCCGATACGCCCATGAAGAGGGCGCGCTTGCTGCAGCAGCAGAATTCGCCGCCTTCCTCGTCTTCGGACACCGTCAGCTCCGCCGCCCCTCCTCCTCTCCCCGCCGGCCGCTTCTTCGTCTCGACCGAGCGGCGTCCCGCCCGTTCCTGCTCCGGCAGCCAAGCCGGGTTCCTCTTGACTCTATTGTCGCGAGCACCTCCGACCCGCCCGCTCGACCCATCCGCTATCGCATGCAGAAATGAGCTGCCTACTATAAACCTATCGCTCTCTTACGCCTCTTGCCTTTACTAAAATAAACCGTTCTCCTCTCGAGATGCTATTCCTAACGAAACTTATCGCTGCAAAATTACCATTACTCTACACATTACAACGTTTATCTCTTTTTGAAACAACAACTTTAGCTTGCGACCTATTTCTTACGATAGTGCCTGCCTCTATTTGTTCTCCGTGACCTTGTTTATGTCCTGCGCGTTATGCCTTGTCCCTTTACTTTCCTTCCTCCTCTCCCTAGCTCCCTAGCTTGCCTTTGCCTTGCATCCCTTCTTGTGCACCTTCCAGTCCTCCTTTTGGTGTTGCCTGCTGCAGTACGCCACCGTCAGGCATCGGCTGCACCTCCTCGCCCCCGCCATCTCTCCACAAACCCGGCAGACCTTCCTCTGTGCTCTGCGCATCCTGCCCTTGCATTTGCGTCGCGCCCTTGTTTCCGCCCGCCTGCCCCGCCTCTGCCATCTTGTCCTGCATTTCCTGCCTCGTCCTAATTTCGCATCCTTCTTTGCCGCAGAACGACGACACGACCACGAGCACAAACGGCCTCTCTGCGTGTAGGTACGATATCGGGCTCTGTAGAATCTCCTTTGCGAGTCCGCCGCAGCTCGCAGCGCACCCCTGCTGCCTTCCGACACGCTGCCTCGTGCTCCCGTAGGATCGGCCTTATCCACTGTAGGAACAGTGCACTGGCTGCGTGGTTCGGCCTCGCCTGGCTACCTGCGTCACGAGCGTCTTCGGATGCTATGCTTGTACTTCAGCTCCGTGGCCCTGAATTCGCACCAGAACTCCACGGAAACGTTGCAAGTGGCCATGCTGTAGTTGTTTTCCTAACTGCTCGATCGGTAGCTAGGTAGACGCTTCTGCTCTTGTTCTCCTATTCGTGCCTTGGCGCCCCTCTTATGCTCCCTTCCTCTCGCTTACCCCGCAATCGTCATCACCGCTTTACTTGCCTTCTTGCTTTTTCTGCCTCTTCCCCGCGGCGGGATGGTGCCCGAATGGCCGCTTTCTTTACCTACCTTTTTTGCATGTTTTAGTTCCTAGCGCTACCGCCTGCTTGCGTTCTTTCTCTCACCCTGTCTTTGTCTTGTTTGTCTCTCCAATCTTCGGCCTTCGTTCCTCAAGGCTCTTTGCGCAACCCATGAAGGGTTGCCTTACCTGTCTTTCCTCTGATTCGTCAGCTGCCGCCATCTGATTCGTCGGCTTGCTCTCCTCTTATTGGTCTGAAAATACATCGCACTCGTCCTCGTCGCCCCCTTCGCCCGTCCTCCTGGCCCTTGCTTGACCTATACTCCTTTTACGTCGGTAGCTACCGCTAGCCTAGAGTCGGCCGGCCTGTCTCTCTTCCTCTTGGCTGTACAGGTAAGGCAACCCCTCATGGGTTGCGCAAAAAGCCTTGAGGAACGAAGACTGAGGATTGAGACAAACAAGACGAAGACAGAGGGCGAGAGCAAAGAACGCAAGCAGGCGGTAGCGCCAGGAACTAATGCATGCAAGAAGGTAGGCAATAAATCGGCCATTCGGGCACCATCCCGCAGCGGGAAGAGGGAGAAAAGCAAGAAGGCAAATACAGCGATGATAACGGTTGCGGGGTAAGAGAGAGGAAGGAGTAAGAGAGGCACCAAGGCACGAATAGGAGAGCAGAAGCGTCTACCCTAGCTACCGATCGAGCAGTTAGGAAAACAACTACAGCATGGCCACTTGCAACGTTTCCGTGGAGTTCTGGTGCGAATTCGGGCCACGGAGCTCGCAAGCATAGCATCCCGAAGACGCTCGTGACGCAGGTAGGCCAGGCGAGGCCGGACGACGAAGCCAGCGCACTGTTCCTACAGTGGATAAGGCCGATCCTACGGGAGCACGAGGCGGCGTGTCGGAAGGCAGCAGGGGCGCGCTGCGAGAGTTGCGGCGAAGTCGCAAAGGACATTCTACAGAGCCCGATATCGTACCTACATGCAGAGAGGCCGTTTGTGGTCGTGGTCGTGTCGTCATTCTGCGGCCAAGAAGGATGCGAAATAAGGGCGAGGCAGGAAATGCAGGACACGATGGCAGAGGCGGGGCAGGCGGACGGAAGTATGGGCGCAAAGCAAATGCAAGGGCAGGATGCACAGAGCACTGAGGGGAAGGTCTGCCGGTTTGTGGAGAGATGGCGGGGCGAGGAGGTGCAGCCGATGCCTGGCGGTCGCGTATTGCAGCAGGCAACACCAAAAGGAGGACTGAAGGTACACAAGAAGGGATGCAAGCCAAAGGCAAGCTAGGAGCTAGGGGGGAAAGCAACGCCGTCGAGGCGGCCTTACGGCCAGCCTCAAACGCCGCAACGGCCTTTGTAGAACCCGCCGACTTCAACGACCGTCGTCCCTATGGCTTGCACAACTAAGGAACGGCATATAATATTTTATAGTAGAAAACCGTATCCTCCATGTAGAGCAATGACCGATAGGCGAGAAGCGGAGTCGGCTTCCGCAACAAAGACGCCTTTTGCCGAGGCGCAACTACAGGCCCCCCGTCGCCGCTAAATGCAGCCGAGAGGTGCGGCGGCAAGCTGGCAAGGAAAAGAGAAGGGGCGAAGCGCAACGCACAGGACACAAATGAGGTCACGGAGAACGTCTAGAGGCAGGCACTTTCGTAAGAAACGGGTTCGGAAGCTAAAGCTGTCCTTAAAAGGGACAAACGCTGTAATGTGCAGAGTAATAGTAATTCTAGAGCGACAATTTGCGTTAGGAGCAGCACCCCGGGAGGGAGAACAGTTCGTTTTAGTAAAGGTAGGAGGCTTAAGAGAGCGATGGGTCTATAGTAGGTAGCTTATTTCTGCATGCGATAGCGAAGAGGGCGTGCGGGCGGGTCGGAGGTGCTCGCGACGATAGAGTTGAGAGGGGAATCCGGGCTGGCCGTCGGAGGGAACGGGCGCCGTCCGGTCGAGACGGAAAGCGGCCGGCGGAGGAGAGAGGAGGGGCGGCGGAGCCGACGGTGTTCGAAGACGAGGAAAGCGGCGAATACTGCTGCTGCAGGAAGCGCGCCCTCTTCATGGGCGTATCGGCCAGGGCCGGGGCGATCGCTTAGGCGGCGGCGTGACGGGGTCGAGGGCTGGCGGGGCCGGGGCCGAGGAAAGGGGGGGCGGCGCGGTCGAGGCCGGCGCGGCAACAGAGTACAAGGCGGCACGGACGGAATCGAAGGTAGAGGAGGCGGATTGGGTCTGACGCCTAAAGGGCGTAGCGAGGGGGGAAGCCGAGGCGGCGGCGGCCGCCGCCGAGGGTCGATCGACAAAGGTCCAGCTGTCCGGGACGATGATAAAGACGTAATCGCGCTCCGAGCCCGGGGAGAGCATAACGCGGTGGTCGAGAAGGCGGACGGCCTTTCCGGTGGAGGTAAAGGGGACGCGGGGCAGGAATGAAGAGTTAGGCGTTGCAGCGATTTTCTGGCATAGCACGGCCCAAGGGTTAACGTAGACGGAAAGATAACAAAGACCTCGAAGGGGTGGTAGCCCTTATATGGAATCCTGTCCGGCAGGCCAGGGGCGATGTAGGTCGAGCCGGACGAAGCCGCAGCAGCGGAGCTGGTCGGGCCCGAGATTGGCAGGAAATCTCGACGCAGGAGGTCGAGGCCGGGCCCGGCTACGACGCCATGGAAGGAGACAACGGGAGGCGTAGACGGGAACTGGCCGCTAGAGGCCAAGGAGCGCGGCAGGACGCTAGGGGGCAAAGTCAGCGGGGCGGTGGGTGAGGAGGCGCATTAAAATGAAAAGGGGAGGGGGGCCCACGGCTGGTAACCTTGGTCGCGGACAATAAGGGCGGGCACGGTGTAGAGAATAGTATCGTCCGGGCCGGCCTCGAGCCCGTCGCGGCGCTCCACCTCCCAGGAGATGGCGTAGGGGTGAACGCGGCCGCTCATAAAGAACCACTGCTCGGACCAGTCTGTATCGACGACTGGCTGGCCGTAGATGGAGAGGTTTAGGCTAAAGAAGAGAGAGGGTCCTAGATCGTCGCCCTCGGCCCGGAGGGTTGCATACTCCGACTCTAGCAGCCACGAGGGCACCGGCAGGAGGACTCGGGCGATGGCTTCGGCGTTAAGGCCTCTGATGCGGTGCTCGTCCTGGTGGGCAAACTTCGCGGGGCAGTCAGGCTGGGCGAAGAACATCATGGACATGTCGCCGCCCGCGCCCTTGCTAGTGACAAGGGGCTTGCGGAGGTGCGGGGCAGAGCTGTCCGCCGACGGAGACGAAGACATGGCGAGGCCGTGTAGTGGACGAGCAACGTTGCCGGAGCGAAGCTAGAAGCGGCGAGGAATAGGGGCAGGAGTGCTCCCTACCAATATGCCGTCTTAAGAGTTTAGTGTAGTAGGGAAGGGCTGGTGGCCGTGGTGTATAAGAGAAGTCAAAGGATACTAAACGAAGACGCAACGTAGCGTTAGCGGTAGGCTAAGATAAGGAGCCTATATAAAGGAGGTCTATAAGATGTGTATAGAAAAATGCGACAAGAGGAGAAGAGGAAACCTCGAAAGGCGGTCTAGTAAGACGTAGAGGGTTTTAAGACAAGCAGGACGCGCGAAGCTATGTTCGAGGAGAAGGAGGCAGGCTTATTCGCAACACGTGTAAGACATGGGTTCAAAATTCAGCAGGCGAGCGTCTAGGGACGTACTGAGGCTTTGACCGACAAGACCTAGATGACTAGACGGAAAAGTGTACCATGCAAAGCACAGGCAAGAGGAAGCTGTCTTGGCGACCTACATGTGCGACCGGCCGAGGCCGAGCCCGCCGCTGGGGGCGGCGGGCAATAGCGGGCGGGCTCGATAGAAAGGCGGCGCCGGTATAATGTAAAGAGCAGCGGCACGCCTGTAGACGTACTAGAGAGCTACGAGTAAGATATATAGACTTTCCTAGAGGATCCTGTACGCACAGGAGGGGTGCCAGTCAGCAAGACAAGTGCAGGATGAATGGCCGAGGCAAGGACTTATACGCCGTTATTACACTTACGAGGATTTACGCCGGGAGCCCAGTAGCACCGCAAGTAGGCGGGGCCGAAGAGGGCAGCGCAAGCGAGGAAGACAAGAGGTCCGCGGGGGCCTCGGTAGACCGGTGTCGCGATGAAGCCAGCTAACGGGAGGGTCCAGTCCGGAGCGGGTGACAGGGCAAGCCCGGCGCCAGAAGCCCGAGCAGCGCCGTACACAGGACCAGAGATCCGGCCGATCACAGCAGCGCCGGCACTCGGTCGCGGCGCCTCTCGGAGAGAGCAAGAAGAGGCGTCAAGGGAGGCGCTTCTGAGGCGAGGGCGGGGAAGACCGCCAGGACTAGGGAAATGGAGGATCAGCGCAGGCCGAGTCGCGCCGCGGGATATCCAGCCTCAGCCGACACCGAGTGCGGCGGCAACTTGGCTGCCGCCGACACCGAGGGCGGCGGGGCACTGGCTGCCGCTAGGCGGGCCCAGCGCCGTCTCGGCCTCAGGGAAAGGCCAGCGCGCACCAAGAGAAATCCGGTCTCTGCCGACGGTGGAGACCGCCGGGCCTTCGCCGCCGGCGACGAGAAGTTCGGTCGCCCCGCGGGACATTCGGTCTCAGCCAACATGGAGGGCCGCCGGGCCTTCGCCGCCGTCGAACGGGATGGGTTTGGCTTCAGCCTTGGCCGGAAGGCGGGGGGCTCCGCAGGATGTCCGGCCCCAGAGGAGAGCCGCCGGCCCGTCGCCGCGAGCCGTCCAGTCCCGGCCGGCCAGTAGGGCCGAGGCTCCTGCCACAACCCCCGCCGCAGCCGGGCCGCTTGTTTCAGCATTGGCCGGAAGCCGGGCTCCCCAGAATATCAGGCCCCAGCCGCCAAGGAGGGCCGCCGGGCCTTGGCCGCCGGCGACGAGAAGTTCGGAGGTTCCGCGGGACATTCGGCCACAGCCGACATGGAGGGCCGCCGGTCCTTCACCGCCGTCGAGCGGGATGGGTTTGGCTTCAGCCTTGGCCGGAAGGCGGGGGTCTCTGCAGGATATCCGGCCCCAGCCGACATGGAGGGCCGCCGGTCCTTGGCCGCCGGCGACGAGAAGTTCGGAGGTTCCGCGGGACATTCGGCCACAGCCGACATGGAGGGCCGCCGGTCCTTCAACGCCGTCGAGCGGGATAGGCTTGGCTTCAGCCTTGGCCGGAAGCCAGCACCCGCCGCGAGCCATCCAGTCCCGGCCGGCCAGCAGGGCCGAGGCTTCTGCCACAACTCCCGCCACAGCCGGGCCGCTTGTTTCAGCCTTGGCCGGAAGCCCGGGGGCTCCGCAGGATATCCGGTCCCAACCGATATGGAGGGCCGCCGGGTCTTCGCCGCCGGCGACGAGAAGTTCGGACGTTACGCGGAACATTCGGCCACAGCCGACATGGAAGGCCGCCGGCCCTTCACCGCCGTCGAGCGGGATAGGTTTAGGTTCAGCCTTGGCCGGAAACCGGATGTCTCCGCAGGATATCCGGCCCCAGCCGACATGGAGGGCCGCCGGGCCTTCGCCGCCGTCGAGCGGGACTAGCCCGGCCGTAGTCTCGGCCGGAAGCCAGCACTCGCCGCGAGCCATCCAGTCCCGGCCGGCCAGCAGGGCCGAGGCTTCTACCACAACTCCCGCCGCAGCCGGGCCGCATGTTAGCGGCAGAGATAGCGCATCGGCAGGTACGGCCGTAGAGCGAGGTGAAGGTGTATGGCGGCGACAGCTAACAGGACGCAGGCAGAGCGGCGATAAGACGGCAGGCGAGAGAAGAGCAGAAGAGGAAACGCCATCTTGGTAGTGGGCAGGCCGGGCGGAAACGCGCCAGAGTGGGTGACAAGATGCCAAGACGAAGGGAGCTGCAGGCCGAGGAGTTCGAGGCGGGCGAGAGGCTGGCCAACGAGCAGACGTGGTGCGCGCCGGTGCCGCGCGAGAGGCAGGTGAGGACGGTGCGGAGGTTCTACCGGGCGTTCCACGACGCAGGCACGCTGCCGATCGCGACCTGCACGCTATGCTACCGGAAGCGGGCCAAGGGGCGCGAGGGGGCGTCGCCGGCCATGCACCTCCACGGGCGGCTCGGCTGCGAGCACGCGTACCCCGACGAGCTGAAGGACCTTACGCCGCTCGAGGAGAAGCTCATCTCACTCAACTCGTGCTACGGCTTCGTGACGAAGTACAGCATCCCGGGCGGTCAGAGGCAGAGCGTGAGGTACCCGAGGCACGTCAAGGGCCACATTACCGTGTTCCCAAACGACGTGCAGGGCCTAGCCGCTAACGTGCTGCCACACCCGCTGCTCCGGGTCATGGACGAGATCCACGTCTCGTGGCAGGGCGCCGAGAGACCTGGGCCGCGGGACCTATCGGGCCTGCTGTCGGTAAGGCGGTCGGCGGTCGAGAGGGCGCTGGCCTGGCTTAAAGAGAACAATCCGCTCTACGGCGAGGTCGAGATCGACACGGCGGAGATGGCGAGCTGGGGGGCGCCGCCGCACGGGGTGCCGCCGGTGGTGTGCGAGCGGCTAGAGCGAAACGAGCCGTCGGCGCGGGAGAGGACGCGGACGGCGCAGGTAGTGCCACCGTCGGAGCGGGCCATGGACGAAGGGGGAGCGGCCGAGATCGAGGAGATCCTCGCGATGCTAAGGCAGGGGCGGGACCCCGCCGAGGGGAGCCGCGACGTCGGGGTCACGTGCGAGGACGACTTACACGACGACAGGGACGGCGCTAGGCCTGAAGAGGACGGGGGCGTAATCAACGAGGTGACGTCTTCCGGCATGTTCCCGTTGGACGGGGCGCCGGATGTGGCAGACGCCGAGAAGATTTGCTTCGCCCGCGACGCCGTCGGGCCCGAGGGAGCGCGCGCCGGCCCGAGGACGTGGGTAGGGACCGCGGCCCGAGGGGCGGCGGGCGATGGCGGCGACGGCGAGCCGTACATACAGGTGCGGCGCGGCGATGATTTCGCCGACTCGGCGGACGCCTCGTTCTTCGCAAAGGCCTTTCCGACCCTGTTCCTTTGGCTTGGGCGGGCCGAGGCTCGCCGACGAGGACGCCACAGGAGAGAGCGCGTGCCCTAGCGTCGGGAACCAGGGTACGCAGGCGGAGCGGGTCGCGGAGGGCCTTATGTCGACGCGGAACATGAAGCTCCAAGCATGGGCCGACGTCGTGCTGCGGCGCCACGGCGGCCGGTTCGCGACGCACCCTATCTTCGCCTTTCTTGTCTTTAACATGGGCGTGCGATCTAGGAACCGCCAGGCTAGCATGCTAGGCGTAGCGAGGAAGAACTTCGCAAGGGTCGAGGGCCTTAAAGTCGTTAACGGCGGCGAGGGTCGAGGCGGCGAGGGTCGAGGCGGCGAGGGTCGAGCTCGAGGCCACGGGCAAGACTAGCGACGACGGGGTAAAGGAGCTCATCCGGTCCCTATCCGTGTTCGGCTACCGGCAGCCGATGTCGAGGGAGAGCCGGCTTAGTATGCGGAAGAAGATACTCTCCCTCATCATAAGGCACGGGGTGCCGGCCATCTGGTTCACGCTGAACCCGAACGACATTACAAACCTGGTAAAGTTGCGGCTAGCGGCACACCGCGGCCGCGACCCGGACGAGGCCGAGGCCTTCCTAAGAGACCTGGGGACCGCGTATAAGCGGACGCGGCTGGCCATATCGGACCCGATGAGCTCGGCCATCTTCTTTCACCGGGAGATGACGCTCTTCTTCGAGCACTACGTCAACGTCGGGGAGGAGTCGGTGTTCGGGCACGTCGGCGCGTACTACGGGGCGGTCGAGACCAACGAGCGAGGCGCTCTCCACATCCACGGGCTCCTCTGGCTAAGGGGCAACGCGGGCCTTGGCGAGGCGCTCGGCGGCTCCGATACGGAGGAGCAGGCGGCGTACCGGGAGCGCATCGTCCGCTACGTAGATAGCGTCTTCTCCGAGGTAAGGCGGCCGCCTTAAGATGATAACCCCCATCCGTATCAGGCCGAAGGGCCCGAGCTAAACCGAGGCGGCAGGAGCTAGACGCAGAAGGTTACTGCGCCGTGCAAGCGGAGCGGTCGGCCACGGCGGACATATCGTCGCGGCTCGACGACGTCGCGCGCTTCACGGACACCTTCGACGAGGAGGCCAACTTCTGCGCGGGCGCGACGCAGATCCACACGCATAGCGCGACCTGCGTAAAATACTCGCTCGGCGCGAGGGCGCGGACGGGGGACCTCTGCCGGTTCAAGGCGCCGTGGAGGCTGGTGGAGAGGACGGCGCTGACGGCGGACGGGGTGCTCGAGATCCGGCGGACGCATAGCATGGTGAACCGGTGGAACCGGGCGATGGCAGTAGGACTACGGCACAACCACGACATCTCGTTCATCGCGACGCAGCGCAAGACCATGGCCCTAATCTACTACATTACCAACTATGCGACGAAGGTAGAGGACCCCGTGGAAGCGTGTGGCCGCAGCGGCCGAGTTCCTTCCCGCGCTAGAGCCGACGGGAGAGGGCAACGGAAGTGGCGCCGACCGCGACGCCGGCCGAGGGGGCGGGGCCGAAGGGGTGGCGACGGCGGCGGACCCCATAGGGGGGAACAAGACGAGAACGTTCCTGCTCAAGGCGGCGAACCGAGTATTTACGGAGCGGCCGCTGTCGCAGGTCGAGGTGATCGCGCACCTCCTAGGGTACCCGGCAGAATTTAGCAGCGGCTCGGCGTGGGCGTACGTGAACGCGAACCAGCTCTACTGGGCCGTCTTCCGCCGGTGGCGGCACCTCCGACGGGCGAGCGGCGCGGAGGCGACGGGCGACGCGCCGGACGAGACGGTCGTCGTCGAGGAGGCCGGGCCGAGGATACCCCTCGTCGAGGCCTACCGGCACAGGGGCGAGCTCCTACGGGGCCTCTGCCTTTATGACTACGCATCGCTCGTAAGGCTAAAGCGAAACGGCCGCGGCGCCGACGGTGGGACGGGCTGGGGCGAGGTACCGCGGAGAGCTGGGCGTCGGGAAGGGCTGGGTGCAGGCGCTTAGGCGGCCGGGTAGCGGGGCGACCGTATGCCTCGACGGATACCTCAGCAAGGAGTTTAGCGAGGGAGACGACGAGTCGTGCCACCGAAGGTGCGCACCATAAGACGGGGAGCGCCCAAGGGGAAGGCAGCGCGGCTAGGGGCATCGTCTAACAGCGCCTAGGGCGGCGGTACAGCACCTGGCCCTATTCGTGCCGTGGGAGTCCTTCCTCGGCGAGGAGGCAGGCGACATCAACGACATCTGGGCGCGCGCGCGGGGGTCGCTGGCGCCGAGGGTCGCGCGGCTCGCAGACAATGTGCAGCTCCTCCGGCGGTCGGCGGAGGACGCGAAGCGCGACGCCAGCAGTGGCCGCCACGGCCGAGGAGGGCGGTATGACGGCGCCGCAGGCCGGCGACGAAGGAAGGGGGGCGGCCGAGGGGGGCGAGGAGGCGTACCGCGCCGGCGGGGCGGGCGACGCGGCGCGGCTCATCGACGTCGTCCGGAACGCCGCCGGCGCGGGACAAGTCACGGCGCAGTCAACGGAGCTGCTAGCGATGACGCAGCAGCTCTGCCGGTTCCAGCAGTCGGCGCTCGGGTCGGCGGCCGAGCTCGCGGCGACGGTAGTGGCGGAGGAGAGGGCAGGCAGGCGGGTGAACCTACCGGGCTCGGAGCTCGGGGGCGGCGCTGCCACGGCAAGAAGAGGTGCGGGCCATTAAGTCGCAGCAGAGGAGCGCGGCGCGGGAGCGGGAGCGAGCCATCCAGGGCATCCAGGGCGGCGGGGCGGCGGCGGGTGTCGGGGCCGACCGCGGCGCGGCTCTTCGCGGGGTGATGGGGGGCTTCGGCGAGGACCACATGGACGTAACGGCGGCCGACGGCGACGTAGACGCTGGCACGGCGGCGGGGATGCGCGTGCGGCTCGGCCCGTCGAGCTCGTTCGTCGCCGCCGGCAGGGAGCTGGCGGGGCAGCTCACGCTCAACGAGAAGCAGGCCATCGCCCTCGTAATCGTGTGTCGGCAGCTCGACCGAATCCGGCAGGGCGACGAAGCAGGCGGCGACGGCAGCGCTCAGCTCTGCCTGTTCATCGGCGGCGAGGGCGGCACCGGCAAGTCGCGCGTCATTGAGGCGCTCGTCGAGCTGCTCGCCCGGAGGGACCTATCGAGCCGGCTGCTGGTTACGGCGACGTCGGGGACGGCGGCAGCACGGATCAACGGCATCACACTACACTCGGCCTGCGGCCTTACGGTCGGTCAGGGCGGCCAGGCGGGAGGGGCGACGAGGGACGTAGACGGCGTACGGCTGCCGGGCCAGGGCGAGCGCTTCGTCGACGGCCGGTCGCGGATGGACTGGCAGGAGAAGGAGGTGTTGGTGATCGACGAGGTCAGCATGCTCGGGGCGCGGACGCTGCACGCCGCCAACGAGCAGCTGTGCAGGCTGCGGGGGTCGGCGCGAGACTTCGGCGGCATCCCGGTGGTGATCTTCTGCGGCGACTTCCACCAGTTCCGGCCGGTGCAGGAGCGGTCGATCCTGCTGCCGAGCGCGGCGGTGGCGTGGGACGAGGACGGGGCGTTCGCGGCCGAGCAGCGGCGGCAGCACGACAAGGCGCACGCGCTGTGGCGGCGGTTCACGACGGTCGTCATGCTACAGTCGGGTGACAAAAGTTCCGGTCAATCCGGCCCACCCACCACAACGCCGCATCAGAGCCCTCTTTTCAACAGCACATTACTTTGCCAAATGAACGTCAATTATGAAGCCGAAGATATAAATATATAGAGAATTGAGTGGAGATTATTGTTGTTTCGGCTAGTATTTGGTATACCAGCCACGTGCAGCCACAACAGCTTGAAGGCGCCGAGGCATTGATTCTATTAGGTGATTGAGGGTATCCTCTTCAAGGTCTTCCCACGCCCAACCGCTGCAAAACAGAGCTTCTGCTTGAGCTATAGTTCTTTGGAAGGTCTGAGAGCTCAGGTGAGTCTCCATAATGCTCTCTTAAGCAGCTTCCATACGTTTTCTATGGGGTTTAGGTCAGGTGAATATGGCGGCCAGTCGACCAAATCTACCCTGTTTTCTTCGACCCAGCAGCCAAGCCACGCCTGCACAATGGCCGCCGTATGTGTTGAGGCGTTATCTTGGGCGAATGTATAGCCTGGCTCTGCAATTGTAGGTAGGCTTTCTTGTAAGGTCTCGAGCACACGGCGTGCAGTAACGCCACCACGGGCTGAGTCGGGGTCTCCTAGCATTGGTGTAAGAGAAGTCCGCCGATTAAAGGAGAAGCCGCCCCAAAACATCTGGGAATGTCGAGTAGGTTTTCCTCTTGCTTGTACGTTTTTCGGATTTAATCTATCCCCTTTGCAATTAGGAGGATTTTTGAAGTAAGGGTATTAAGACGTACTGAATTGCAAAACCCACTTCTGTCTCTCGCCGTCCCCACGAGCGATTGACGTCTCATCAGAGAAAATCCATGTATGCCAAAAGGAAGCTGGCTTTGATTGTATTGTAGTGCAAATTGTAGCCTCTTTGCAGCATGTTCTTCTGTTAATTTTGGACGTCGAAGAGCGCGTACATGTTGTATGCCATGGTGTCGAAGGTACTGTGTTAAAGTACGTGTAGAACACTCTAGAGAAGCCTCACGAAGAAGCTGAGCATTCGAGATGAAAGGGTCTTTCGCGATGCATCGAAAGATATATCTTTTATGGTGTCATTGAGCTTTGAGGGTCTCCCAGAGCGCGGCAAAGATTTCGCACTGACTGTGTCCTGTAACGCCTGACGATTCCGTAGACAGCTCTAGGAGAAACGTCCTCTTTGACGCCGACGAGGGCAGCTGAGAAGCCGCAATCAAAGAGGGTCACAATCTTCGTCCTCTTGAGGGCTCCAGTGTTTTTTGGGCGTAATTGGGCTCATTTTGAAGGCATGATGGTGATTTGAAGAGGAAGGGTTGGAATGTGGGAGACGCGCGTACGCGACGCGCTAGCGTCATTGACCGGAACTTTTGTCCCCCCACTGTAGACGAGCAGATGCGGGCCGCCGGCGACCCGGAGCTGCGGCGGCTGCTCGGGCGCATCCGCCGGGGGGAGCAGGACCGGTCGGACCTAGAGCTGCTCAACTCGAGGTGCCACCGGCCGGGCAGGCGGATCCCGTGGGAGACGGCCTGACGGTGGTCACGCCGCTCAACCGGAACCGCTGGAACCTCAACCCAGAGGCGGCGCTCGCGTTCCGGGCGCGGCGGCGGACGGCGGCGCGCGTCTTCCCGTCCGAGCACAAGTGGAGGGAGGGCCTGCCGACGGAGGAGGAGGCGTTGCTAATGCTGGGCCAGGGCGACGATAGCGCGACGCCGGTCCCGGCCGTCTTCGTCTTCGTGCCCGGCATGCCGGTCGTCGTGAACCAGAACACGCACCAGGGGCTGAAGCTAGTGAACGGCGCCGGGTACACGGCGGTAGACGTCATCCCCGACCGGGCCTTCCCCGGCCACCGGGTGTCGGCGGAGCTGACGATGCACTTCGGTCCGCCGGCGGGCATCGTGCTGGCCTCGGAGACGACCAGGGGCTTCCACTTCGTCGGGATGCCGGCCGGGACGATCCTGCTGACGCCCATCAGCGTCAAGATCACGGCGCAGCGGAAGCGGCCGTGGCAGCGCAACGACGTCAGCCGGAGGGGCCTGCGCGCGGCCTTCGCCTGCACAGACTATAAGGTGCAGGGCGGGACGCTGGAGCGCGTGGCGCTGGAGCTGCGGGGGGCGAGGATGACGACGGTCGAGGGGCGGGCGGTGCCGTCGCCGTGCGACCCGTACAGCCTGTACGTGCAGCTGTCGCGGTGCCCGACGCTCGACGGCATCATGCTCGTATCGGAGGTGCGGGAGCGGGACCCAGTGGGGAACCGGGTGCCCGAGGAGATGACGGCAGCGCAGGCCCGGCTAGAGGAGCTTAGCAGGCAGACGACGCGGGAGGCGGCCGACTGGCTCAGCGGGTAACGCGGGCGGCGTAGGCGTCTCGCTCGCAGCGGAGGAGATCCTGCCCTTAGGACGACTATCCTAGCACATAATCAGGGGGCGAAGATATCATCGGAGGTATGGGAAGGCGCAACGTAGGTAGATGGAAACAAGATCAAAAATCCGAAGAGTAGTTAACGGACATGGACGGGTGCGTGCCCAATATAGCCGAACCGCAAAAAGGCGGAGATTTACATTTTCGCACACATATACAGTACAGCCAAGAGGAAGAGAGACAGGCCGGCCGACTCTAGGCTAGCGGTAGCTACCGACGTAAAAGGAGTATAGGTCAAGGGCCAGGAGGACGGGCGAAGGGGGCGACGAGGACAAGTGCGATGTATTTTCAGACCAATAAGAGGAGAGCAAGCCGACGAATCAGATGGCGGCAGCTGACGAATCAGAGGAAAGACACCGGCAACCGACGAATCAGAGGGCGGCAACCGACGAATCAGAGGGCGGCAGACGACGAATCAGAGAAGAGGCGCCTGGCAACCGACGAATCAGAGGTTGGCAGCCGACGAATCAGAGGGCGGCGTTTGGGGGGGGGAAAAATCGACAGGAGAAGGCTCGCCTCGGGCTCGCGCAAAGAGCCTTGAGGAACGAAAGTTTGTGGTTGAAATTTGAGGCTGAAAAGGGGGATTTATCTGTCTGTTTGATGTTTCAAGGTTTTGTGGTGGTTGCGGCATCACTGGCACGGAAAAAATCTTTCCCGCAGTAGCTTGCATCGCGCGACGGGTGATTGGGGGCGAAGAAGATCGGGCGCCAAGCTGTCAGTCATGTCATGCAGCAATACGTGAATAAAAGCAAGGAGAAGATGAGAAGTGATGGAGGAAGAGGGGATAAAATAAGGCGTAGAGAATTCGGCCTTGAGTGGCCTACTTGTTGTTCTAGTGTTCTTCGCATCATATGCGTCAGTTAATCATAAAAACTACAGAGTATCTAAACATCTAGAACACAAATTATGGCGATGTCTACGGTCCGAGTCGAGTTCATATGCCAATTTGGCGCCAGGCAACTCATCCACAACCATAGCATTCCTCGGAGCCTTGTGACGGAGGCAAACGGGGCCGGCGGAGATGCTGAATACAACGAGCGATTTACACAGTCCATGATGCCTCTTATGAAGGAGCACGAATCAGCATGTCGCAGTGCGTCGGGTGCTTTCTGCGAATGCTGCGGGCGGTTTGCGACAGACATCTTACAGAGTCCGATATCGATGCTGCACGCAGACGAGGCTCGCATTGTGGTTTGGGTCACATCGTTATGTGGAAGAGGGCAGTGCGAGGTAGAAATGAGACAGGAAATGCAACTAGTAATGGGGGAAATGCGGCAGGAGGAGGAAAGGCGAGATAAGTTTCTAGGACGCAATAGGTGCATGGAGGTCAGGCTGTGCAAAATATGCGGGACGACCGTGGAGTGAAGCGGTGCAGTAGATGTCACGCAGTGGCATACTGCGGCACGGAGCATCAAAAGGCGGACTGGAAGGTTCACAAGAAGGCGTGCGTGCCCGAGAGGCTCAACAGACACGGAAAGTGTGGAAGGAAACGATGACTAGAAGCGAGGTCGTAGAGGGGTGGTGGAATATAGCAGTTCGGTTTTTATATGTGCTGAGAAGTAAGAGCACATAGTAAGACAAAGGGGTAAAATTGGGTTGTTCTCTGCATAAAGAATATATTAGCAGACTTTTATTTCACATAACTAGATAAGATATATAGCTATTCCGTTTCTGCTGTTTTTCTACTTAGGTGACGGTTTCGAAGCGGCCTAGTCGGCGAGTCTGATGTGCAGGCGACAATTGAATTAAGGGAAGATGCCGAGGCATTCTCCGAGGCAGGAGTCTGACCGGCTGTTTCCGGATCGCTAATATGGGAAGCCGCTAAGAGGGAGCAGGATCGGGTAGCAGAGCCCCCAGTATCGGTAGAAGACGAAGGTTTCGGGGTCGTCAGGCGCGGTCTCTTCGTCGGCGTGCCGGCAGGGTCAGGACAGGGACGCTTCTGCGAGGGTGTAGCTAGGTCGGCCAAAGTAGAAGTTGAAGCAGAAGTTATTAAAGCCGAAGGTGGAGGACTTGGCGGGGGGTACCAGGTGTTGCCACGGAGTAAGAGGCAGCGAGTATATCCCGGAAAGCGGCCGAAGCGGAGGACGGTTTTTCCTTTAGTGGTGTCGAGATAGCCGAGGACGAGGCAGCCGCAGTGCTGGTGGCCTTATCGAGAAAAGTCCAAGAATCCGGGACGACGATAAAGACATAGTCTCGGTCGGAGCCTGGGGGATGAATCATGACGCGGTGACTGAGCAGGCCAGCAACTTTGCCTGTGCAGGTAAAGGATGCTGGGCTGAAAGTAAGAGTCCCTCCTCTCGGCCATCTTCTTACATAGTATAGCCCAGGGGTTAGCGTGAATGGGGAAGATAACGAAGACCTCGAATTGGTGGAAGCCTCTGAAAGGGATCTTGTCGGGAATGCCAGGAGCTAGATACGTAGAGAGCTGGACGAAGCCGCAGCAATTTAGCTGGGCGGCGTCTAGGTCTGGCAGAAGGTCTTGTCGTAGCAGGGAGTGACCCGGGCCAAGGATGAAGCCGGTGAAGGAAACGATAGGCGGGATGCAAGGGAAGTTATCCATAGAGGCGAAGAGTCTAGGGAGGATGCTAAGAGGACAAATCAGCCGGACCTCTCGCCCGAGAGCCGAGAGCGGTACGCGCTAGGGTAAAATGGCACGCCTTACGGCTGGTAACCCTGGTCGCGGACGACGAGGGCGGGCATGGTGTAGATAAGGGTGTCGCCAGTTTCAGACTCTAGGCCGTCGCGCTGCTTAACCTCCCAGGCAAGGGCGTAGGGTGGACGCGGCCGTTCATAAAAACCATTCCTCAGACCATTCGGAGGCGATAACAGGCTGGTTGTAAATAGAGAGATTGAGACTGAAGAAGATGGATGTCGGCGAGTCGTCGGTATCCAATCGGAGCGGCGCATATTCCGCGGTGAGCAACCATGAAGGAGGTGGCAAAAAGATGCGGGCAATGGTCTCGGCGTTGAGACCTCTAACGCGATGCTCGTCCTGATGGGGAAATCTCGAGGGGCAGTCGGGCTGGACGAAGAACATCATAGACATATCACCACCCGCGCCTTTCTGGCTATCGAGCGGCTTTCGAAGGTGTGGTGGAGGTAGCGGTGACGAGGAAGACATCGTGCATATCTATGTTGGCTAATAAGTGGTTTGTGCGCCTAGAAAATGATCGGTATAAGTCGTTAAGAAGGAAGTAAGAGGTGGAGAATAAAGCGGCCTTTTTATAAATCCAAGGTATTATAGAACCAGTGGGAGAGCGAGAAGCTTTGCCATGGCAAGTTTGAATTTTGATAAGGATGCGTGGTGCATAATAGCTCTTGACCCGACGAGTAAGTTAACGAGTAAGCCACACGAAGAGGCGGTGTGAGAAGGTTGCCTGTTAGAATGGAACGGAAATTTAGGGAAGACTGTCTTGGGAGCTATCGTGCCGGGTGAGCTGAATCAGATGGCAGGGCTATTCCTTTTTCCGTTGCAGCATAGGTAGCGAAGAAAAAGAAAGTCTAATTTGATGTTCCAGAAACGCATACCTGCAACGACAGATTCGGAAGATGCGGAGGAGAGCAGAGTAGTAGAAGGCGGCCTTAGATGGAGTTGCGGTGTGTATTCCTATGCATGGGTTGGTCGAGGCCGTCCGGAAAGGATGGACGGACGGTGGTAGGTGGTGAAGGGGGAGAAAGGGGGCTCTCGGATAAGCATTGCCGCGTCGGCTCAGTGCTAAAAAGATCACAGGGTTTAGTTATAGGAAGGGATTGGTAGGAAAACGCCAACACGGCGGACCATTATTGTTAGGAGGCGAGATAATATTGAAGAAAGATCCGGGGGCAAACTTTTATGGTCCATCATCCGTGTGCAGAGCCGCGGCGTTAAGATAGCATCGACATGGGAGAGAGTTCTCGCTGCGAGGTTCGGTCGGTAGAGGGAGAAGGTGAAATGGTGATGGGAGCAGCGGCCGTTGCTGCGACGAGAAATGTCGCTGCGGCGAGATTGAGCGCAATGGATGATTCGCTAAGGCGGGTGTCGGGATATAAGAGACAGGCAAACGTGGCATCCAGGTTTCGGCCCATCATGGCCAAGCAGGGGCTGGTCGAGGAGGTCTCGCGAGGAGAACAAGCGGAAGCGCTTAAAAGAGCGTTGCCCAAGAGAAGCCGGCGAGGCGGTCGGCGGCCAAAGGGAAAATCAGTATTGAACGATGGCATTTCGAAGGCGGCCCCATCACGACTTTCAGCACCGATAAACGTGGGTGATGATAAGCTAGTGAGCATGGAGACGGACGTTGCCATGCAAGGGTTGGGTGCGAAGCCGTGTGGAGGGAGTCTTGTGCCGTCCGTCGGCGGTGTGTTGCAGCGCGAGGGTAACGACCCGATCACCTACCGGCACCTCTTGCCCAAGGAGGGGAGGGCTGGGGATGATGAGAGGAGGGCAGCGACCACGGTAGGTCTGGAAGCACCATGTCCTCCGGAAGCCTTAGTCGGGCGAGAAGACGGCCTAGACAGTGGAGATGGTCCGGCGTGGCCGTAAGTGGCTCTGAGACGGTTAGGCGACCCAGCGGTAGCGAACTGACGAGGCCGAAAGGTCTCGTCGAGCGGACAGGTGGTGTGGGGGGAAAACGCCGGGTTGGAAGACCGATAACGGTGATGAGATTTCGGCTGGAAGGCGGGAGCCAGCATTCGCCAAGGCCCATCCGATCCAAAGAGATGGAGAATACGGCCGGACCTGCGCCTGCTCTTATGAGATTTCGATTGGAAGGCGGGAGCCAGCATTCGCCAAGGCCCATCCGACCCAAAGAGATGGAGAATACGGCCGGACCTGCGCCTGCTCTTATGAGATTTCGATTGGAAGGCGGGAGCCAGCATTCGCCAAGGCCCATCCGACCCAAAGAGATGGAGAGTGCGCCGAGCTGCGCCTGCCCCTGAGGAGGCCGGATTATCACACGCCGGGATCGCGGAGGGCGTGCAGATCGGCACGTCTGGAAAGCGGAACGATAGGGCGCGGACGAGGCAGAAGGGGCGAGGGATACTCTAGCAGCCCGGGAAGGAAAGGTCGGCCGGCAACGGTCGACAGTGTCCGGCCTATCGAGGCGAAGCAGGCGCTGGCGGCCGAGGAGATCTCACGAAGAGAACAAGGGGATGCATTGAAAAGAGCGTTGCCTAGGGGAAGTCGGCCAGGTGGTGGGCTGCGGGAAAAGGCGATGCACGTGAATGGCGCCGCCTTGAAGGGAGGAGAGCGCGACGCTCGACACCGATAAATGTGCGTGAGAGGCGTACGGACGAAGGACCGAAGCGGGTGTTGGGCGACGAAAGTCAAGCGGACCCGGCACCTAGGTTCCGGCCTATCCAGGCGAAGCAGGCGCCGGCGTCCGAGGAGGGTTCACGAAGAGAGCGGTAGAAGCAGTCGAAAGAGCGACGCCTCTAGGAAGCCGGCGAGGCAGTCGGCCGCGGGATAATAGGACGCGCGTCCATGGTGCTTCTTCAAAGGGAGGGCAAGCGCGATGTTTAACAAGATTTCGGCTAGAGAATGTAAGCCAGCACTCGCCGCAACCCACCGTCGCCCGGCCAATTCAAGCGAAAGCGATAGGAGACAGAGCAGGAGATCTGCAGTCATCCGGGCGGTTATTACCACGGCCGTCACGCCTGGCAGGGCAGGATCGGCCGGCAGGGGCGGTCGGGATTTCGTCCACGGCCGTCAGGAGCCCTCGTTCAGCCAGTCGAGCCTAAAGAGCCGGGAGATGGAGCCGGAGATACACAATCACCCGGACGGTTGTTACCACGACCACCACGCGGGGCAGCGGTGGAGAGGAGGATCGGCCGAGGCGAGTCGAGGCGGTAGCGAGATCTTCGGAGTCCGTGGAGCAGAGAAAGAGGATCGGCGAGCCCGACCGAGACGAGCTGCCAAGGAAACGTATTCGAGGCGGCCGTCGGAGGCAGAGGAGAAGTGAGCTACAGGCGGAAGATCTAGCCAGCGTCCTACGTTACCTGGAAGACGAATTTGCCGCCAAGGAGAGGCTGTCCAAGGAGCAGACTTGGTGCACACCAGTGCCGCATGAGAGGAAGGTATCGACGGTGCGAAGTTTCTATCGGGCGTTCCACGATGCGGCCACCTTGCCGATACGGGCATGTATGCTGTGCTACCGCAAGCGTTCGAGGACGGAGCTTAAGGAGATGCCGTGGATCGGTGGCTGTCGAGCCCCGTCCCTAAGGGTGAGGGCTCGCCGTTCGCGTGTCGGAGTTGCTTCCGTGAGGGCGAGTCTATCGTGGTCTGCGCGGAGTGTCATCGAGGGCTGGCGCGTGGGGTGCTGTCGCCGGCGGCCCAACTTCATTGTCGCCTCGGTTGTGAGCATATGCTCCTGATGAGCTCAAGGGCTCACGCCAGTGGAGGAGAAGCTGATTGCGCTAAACTCGTGTTACGGGTTCGTCACGAGGTATAGCGTCCCGGGCGGCCAGAAGCAGACGCTGAGGTACCCAAGCACGTCAAGGGCCACATCACGGTGTTTCCGAACAATGTACAAGAATTGGTGACGAGTGCTGCCGCACCTCTCCTGCAGGTGATGGACGAGATCCACATCTCGTGGCAGGGGGCGGTAAAGCCGACACCGAGCGACCTATCGAGTCTCTTGTCTGTGAGGCGGCGCGTTGTCGAGAGGGCTCTTGTTTGGCTGAAGAGAAACAACCCACACTATGCCGAGATCGAGATCGACGCGGCTGAGATGGAGAGCTGGGGAGAGTCGGCCCACGGGGTGCCGCCGTCGGTGTACGGGCGCCTGAGCGGAACGAGCCGTCGGCATGGGAGAAGACGCGGACGGCGCATATCGTGCCGCCCACGGAGCGGGCCATGGACGACGAGGGCGCGGTAGAGATCGAAGAAGTCCTGTCTCTTCTCAACCAAGGGAGGAAGCGCGACGATTCTCGAGGACGACGAGCCAGAGTCAATCGAGGTAGACGAGGCGCGTGGTCAGAGCGGCGACGAGGCTAATCACGATGCGGAGACGATCAACGAGGTAACCTCGTCGGGAATGTTTGCGTTAGACGGGCCGCCCGACGTCGCCGACGTGGATAAATTGCGCTTCGCATGTGATGCCGTCCGCGAAGGGGCGGGCGACGACGGCGGCGCGGGTCCGAGGACGTGGGTGGAAACCTCGGCAAGGGGGCAGCCAGGGCACGCCGATGGTTCCGAACCGTATATAGGCGTTCGCCGCGGCGATGACTTCGCCGACTCGTTCGAAGCCTCCTTTTCGCGAAGACCTTCCCACGCTGTTGCCATTTGGCGTCGGAGGGCCGCGACCGGTCGAAGAAGCAGCCGTACAACTAGGCAGAGGCACCGCCGACATACGCGAGCGGGAGGCCGCGACGCGAGAGCTCGTGTCGTCTCGGAACATGAGCCTTCGGACCTGGGCCGACACGGTGTTACGACGCCACGGTGGCCGGTTCGCGACGCACCACATCTTCGCCTTCCTCGTCTTTAATATAGGCGTGCGGTCGAGGAACCGCCGCGTCAGCATGCTAAGCGTGACGAGGAAGAACTTCCGCAAGGTGGAGCGCATCGTACGGTCGCTAACCGCGGACGGATTGGCGGCGGCCAGGGCCGAGCTAGAGAGCACAGGCAAGACGACCGATGATGCGGTGAAGGAGCTGCTCAGGAGCCTTTCGCTGTATGGGTATCGTCAGCCCATGTCGAGGGAGGTCCGTCTCGGGATGCGGCATAGGATCCTGGCGCTCATCGTCCGTTACGGCGTGCCCGCCATCTGGTTCACGATCAACCCAAACGACATCATGAATCCGGTAAAGCTCCGACTAGCAGCGTACGCGCGCGCGACCCCGAAGCGGCCGAGGAGTTCCTACGAAGCCTCGATAAGGCGTTCAAACGTGTGCGGCTGTCCGTGTCCGACCCGATGAGCTCGGCCGTCTTCTTCCACCGCGAGATGACGCTGTTCTTCGAGCATTACGTCAATGCCGGGGGGGAGTCGGTCTTCGGCCGCGTCAGCCAGTATTATGGCGCCGTGGAAACGAACGAGCGAGGCTCCCTCCACGTGCACGGGCTGCTCTGGCTCGAGGGAAACGCCCACCTCAGCTCGATGCTTGCCGACTCAGACGGCGGGGAACAAGCGGCATACCGCGAGCGAATCGTCCGCTACGTCGATAGTGTCTTCAGCGAGGTAAGGAACGGCGGGGCGTCGTACGAAATAGTCGTGGGAGAAGAGGACGCGGGCTGACGCGGGAAACTAGGACCTGACCAGGAAGGGTTCTGCGCCGTCGAGGCAGAGCGTTCGGTGACGTCCGATATCTCGTCCCTGCTGAACAGGGCCGATCAGTTCTCGGCCTCGTTCGAGGAGGAAGCCAACTTCTGCGCCGGCGCGACCCAGATCCATACCCACAGCCCGACATGCGTCAAGTACTCCTCGGCAGCAAGGGGCGGAAGGGCGCCGACCTCTGTCGCTTTAAGGCACCGTGGAGCGGGTCGAGGAGACGACCCTGTCAGCGGACGGCGTGCTGCGGATCCGCAGAACACATCCCATGGTGAACCGGTGGAACAAGGCCATCGCCGTCGGGCCCGTCACAACCACGACATTTCCTTTATAGCGACGCAGCGGAAGACCATGGCGCTCGTCTACTACGTGACCAATTACGCGACTAAGGTGGAGGACCCGACGTGGAAGCGCGTCGCCGCCGCCGCCGAACTGCTGCCCGTCGTGTCGGCCGGTAGTCAGCCGGGTGCCGGGGATGACGTAAGTAGCGGCGTCGTCGGCGACGGCGATGGAAGGAAAACAAGACGCGGCAGTTTCTCGCGAGAGTGGCGAATCGGGTGTTCACGGAGCGGGCGCTGTCGCAAGTCGAGGTCGTCGCCCATCTGCTGGGACACCCGAGCGAGTTCTCGGGAAGCAGCGCCTGGGCGTACCTGAACGTGTCGGTGCTATACTGGCACGTCTCGAGGCTCTGGCGACACCTTCGGCAGCAGAGCGGCACCGCGGCGGTCGAAGACGTGTCCGTCGCGGACGAGTCGGTCGTCGTCGAACAAGCAGGCGAGAGGATCAGTTTCGCCGAGGCCTATCATCATCGCGGACATGTCCTACGAGGCTTGTGCCTATACGACTATGTTTCGCTCGTCAGGCTCCAACGCGTCGGCAAGGCCGGCTGCTCCGGCGGCTGGGGAGAGGTGCCGTTCGAGAGCGGCTGGGTGGCCGGTAAAGACTGGGTCCAGGTGCTAAGGCGGCCGGAAAGTACGCCGTCGTCTGCCTCGACGGCTACCTAAGCAAGGATTTCGAGCAGGACGACGAGGAATCGGCTCATCGCAGGTAAGTGCGGGCGGGCAAAGTGGCCGAGTGAAGAGAGGGGGCTGCGACGCCGCGGGGCTGGCTGACTTACACTTATTGTGCCGTCGCAGGGCTGCCGTCCAGCATCTTGCGCTATTTGTGCCGTGGAAGCCTTTCTCGGCGAAGAAGAAGGGGACATCAATGAGATATGGAGGCGGGCGCGAGAGCTGCTTCCGCCGAGAATCTCGTGCCTCGTCGACAACGTTCAACTGCTCCGGCGGTCCGCCGAGGACGCGAGGCGAGACGCCAAGCAGTGGGCGGCCCGGGCGGCGCCGGGATTGCGCCGGCGCTCTCGGCGAGGCGGGGAGGGGAGGAGGGGGCGACACCAGGGACGACGACGCGGCCTCGGCGTACCAGGCCGACAACGTCGGAAAGGCAACGCGACTAATCGACGTCGTCCGAAGCGCGGCCGGGGCGAACCAGATCACGGCGGATCGCGCGAGCTCGGCATGATACAGCAGCTGTGCCGCTTCCAGCAGTCAGCGCTGGCCTCGACCGCCGAGCTCGAGGCCTCCATCGTCAGGAACGGGGCGGAGGCGCATCGACTTGCCGGGGCGGGTCTTTTCCGGGGCCGCGGTGCCGCAGGACCAGGTCAAGGCCATCAAGTCGCAGCAGACGAGCGCCTCGAGGGAGAGGTGAAGATGATACAGGGTATACAAAGCATGGCCACGGCCCACGGCACCGATCGTGGCGCGGCGGAGCGGAGTGTGCTGACCGGCTTCGGCGAGGAAGGCGTGCAGATAACGGCGGCGGAAGCCGAGGAGACGGCGGGTAACGCCGAGGCCGGCATGGAAGTCCGCCTCGGCCCGTCGACCTCGTTCCTCGAGGCCGGAAAAGGCTTGACGAGACGCTTGACGCTAAACAGGAAACAGGCCATCGCCTTGTCCATAATATGCCGCCACCTTGACTTGATGCGGCGAGGAGACGGAGGGGGCGACGTCAGCCAGCTCTGTCAGTTCGTCGGCGGCGAGGGCGGTACCGGCAAGTCGCGCGTCATCGAAGCACTCGTCGGCCTCTTTGCCGCTAAGGGCATCTCGAGCCGGCTGCTGATCACGGCGACGTCGGGGACCGCGGCGGCCCGGGTCAACGGTATCACCATCCACTCCGCCTGCGGCTTCACCAAGGACCAAGGGCCGGGCGCGAACACGGCGAGGGAGGTCGACGGCGTACGGCTGCCGAGGCAGGCGGAGCGGTTCGTCGACGGCGAGTCCCGCATGGACTGGCAGGACAAGGAGGTGCTCGTCATCGACGAGGTAAGCATGCTCGGCGCGCGCACGCTGCACGCCGTCAACGAGCGGCTCTGCCAGCTGCGGGGGTCGCAGCGGGACTTCGGCGGGATCCCCATCGTCCTCTTCTGCGGGGACTTCCACCAGTTCCGCCCGGTCCAGGAAAGGTCGATCCTACTGCCGAGCTCGGCCGTCTCGTGGGACGAGGACTACTCGTTCAGGGCCGAGCAGCGCCACCAGCACGACAAGGCGCACGCGCTGTGGAAGCGGTTCACCACTGTCGTCATGCTGGACGAGCAGATGCGCGCCGCCGGCGACCCGGAGCTGCAGAGGCTGCTAAAGCGGATCCGACTGGGCGTGCAGGATCACACCGACCTAGACCTCCTTAACTCAAGATGCTACCGGGAAGGCAGGCGAATCCCGTGGGAGACAGGCATCACCGTGGTCACGCCGCTAAATAGGAACCGGTGGAATCTCAACATGGAGGCGAGCTTAGCATTCCAGATGCAACGACGTTTGACGATACGCATCTTCATCTCCGAGCATAAGTGGAAGGAGGGGCTGCCGACCGAGGAAGAGGCCATCATGATGCTAAACCAGGGCGACGACAGCGCGACCCCAGTGCCGGGCGTCTTTATGTTTGTGGCCGGGATGCCGGTCGTCGTGAACCACAACACCCACCAGGGCTGAAGCTGGTGAACGGCGCCAGCTACACGGCGGCCGAGGTCATCGTCGACAAGGTGCACCCGGCGCATCGCATCTCGGCCGATATGGCGATCCACTCGGCCGCCGGCGGCGATCATACTAGGGTCGGAGACGACTAAGGACTTCCACTTCGTCGGGATGCCGCCCGGCACGATCCTGCTGACGCCTATGAGCGTCAGGATCCAGTGTCACCGGAAGCGACCGTGGCAGCAGAAGGAGGTCACCCGCAAGGGCCTGCCGTGCGCCGCGGCCTTCGCGTGCACCGATTATAAGGTGCAGGGCGGGACGCTCGAGCGTGTCGCGCTCGAGCTGCGAGGGACGAGGACGACAAACGTCGGTGGACGTGCCGTCCCCTCGCAGTGCGACCCTTACAGCCTATACGTGCAGCTATCGCGGTGTCCGACGCTAGACGGCATCATGCTCATATCGGAGGTGCGAGAGAGAGACTTCGTGGGAAACCGGGTCCCCCGGGAGATGACGGCCGCACAAGCGAGGCTCGAGGAACTGAGTGACAGAACCGTCCGGAGGCGCTGCGCTGGCTCGGCGACGACTTCGAATACGCGTAGGAATAGTGAACCCTTCGACAGGCACAAATATGAATGAAATGACATCGGACGTTAGACGCGGGAAACGGTGCAATTGTCTGGCTAATCGGAAAGCGCAATTTGAGCGGGAGCGGGAACAGTGGGAACAGCTGACGTAAATAAAAAAGAGTGACTAAGACGAGAAAAAAAAGGGGGGGGGAGAGGCGACGACTTTCATATATGGCCAACAGGAAAGCGGGATGAAAAAGGACACAAAAGAGGGGGGAAAAACAGGGGCAAACTTGTAGGCCAACCGAAAAGCAATCGTTCAAGACGAAAGAGGCAATTTTTCTAGCCAACGGGAAGCCGAGAAAGCTAGCGAATCAGAGGCGCGGATTCGGGGGGCAAAAAAGCGCGGCATAGAAATCCTTTCGTTCCTCAAGGCAAAAGCGCGGCATAGAAATCCTTTCGTTCCTCAAGGCAAGAACCTTTCGTCACTCGTTCCTCGTTCCTCAAGGCAAGGCAAATCCTTTCGTTCCTCAAGGCACGCGTCGTGAATCCAACATCCTGCGCTTACGAACAGTGGCTCAGCACACGGCAACATGGATGCTACGCTATAGTACCATGGGGCCACGCGCCTGAGACCGGTAACGGGCAAATGTTAATCCGAGTGTCCCAACTCGCGCCGACTGTCAACCAACGGTCAGCCAATGGATGTGCGGATAAATGAATATAGCCCCCTTATTACATGCCAGAACATGGTTTGCTCAAATTCCAAGAGAGAGCATTTCCACTTGGCCCCGTCAGACGTCCAACCTCGCCGCCGCCATGTCGACAGCTGCATCATGACAAGAGCCGACGCATATCCTGCAGCCGGTAGCAATGGCCCTTGAAGATAACATACAAGATATCTGTGTCGACAAACCTCGCTGCGGGCTTTGTCAATTCCAGTTCGAGGACAATGACTTGGTGGTCGCAGGCACGTTCCTCCCCAAAGAAACCTGATGGAAGCAGCATTTGACCTTGCCTTATCCACTCCAGTCCTCGATGATGATCGTACGTCGACTCCCTTCTGCTTCCGACGAAACCATACGTACGAAGACAAGTCGGCCAAAATTGCATTGCACATGTGTTGCCAGAGTCGCTGCATCAGGAGCAAGCGCCAAGTACCCTGCCTTCACAGTGGATGTCGTTCTATTACTCTGATTCCGATATCATCGAATTACCTCGCCGCCACCAAATATGACTTCAACCCGCCGATTCAATTCGAGTTTCGGAGACGAAATCGCATCAAATGGGCAGTGACCAAGAGGCTCAAACAAGATTTCCTGCCCCAAATGCCGCAGGAGCTCTGCCAAATGATTGCCGGGTATATCATCCGTGAAATAGCCGCCATCGCTCTCCAAGAACGTGCAAAAGACGTGCAGCCAGCAATTTCCACAATCGACCTCGCTCGGGATGTCTACGCCACATATATCGACATTGAGGGCATTCTCTATCTGCAGTCGCTGCGAAACACACCTCTGCAAGACAACGGCAGCAGCCAGTGCATATACGACGCCCAGCAAGCACGTGCTATCCGGACCATTTATATCGAGTATGACCATCTGGGCATCAGAGGCATCTACTTTGATGTACCCAACAGTGAGACTCCATCATCTCGCGATTGCTGCGGTGTATGGTGGACGGAGGTGGCTCGAGAGAGCGGTCTTTTGCGGATAACGACCAAGTCTGACGTGAGATCCCCTTGATACTTCATTTTTCACTGCTCATATTCTAACGCCGCCATTGCTTGAAGGGCATGAAACTCAGGCGGCTAGTGGACTCGACAGACTCCATGGCTGCGTCCTTCCCCCGGCTGCCCGGCCACGGTTGGCCTACGCCCCGACTGGTGTGCAAGTTACTTAATCTGGATACTTGCGACACCGCCAAAAACTCATCAAAAAGTCTGCGAATGAGCTCTCTTGATTGTAACGCACCATTGACGAGTGGGTATTCCGCCGCTGTTTCTGGATTTCGTATATCAAAGATATGTGCGCATCGATGGGACACCAGTGCATTCTTCTACAACGACTTGGACAGTAGTTCGAACTGCACGTTGTGGATGTACATGCCTGTCGACGAAAACGAATACCTGTCACAGATTTGGGCTATCAGGCATCCCGAATATGGTCTCGTAGGGTTGATGGTAAAAGCAGGGAAAGTCCGAAGACACCACATTTACACTGACACGACGCTTTGCAGTTTCGCACGAACCAGGACAGAAAGGTTCTGTTCGGACCTTATATCGTGCACCCTAAGTTCCGGAACCAGTACCATCTCATCTACTCTACAACAAACAGCCCGTCCCGGATATACTTCAATGAGTGGGACCCATTTGAAGACGAAAAGTGCGTCAAATACATCGGGATCGAGAGCGACGCTGCGGAAACGGACAGGGCTACAAACCAACGCTTGGAAACATCTGAGAGCATGTGCCCCCCGCCCCTTACAACCACGTCACAGCCGCCCTATACGCAGTACAACGAGCCGTGGCACTACACGAACTGCATGTTGGAGAATGTCGTGGAAATCGCATGCTGCGTCGATGGGACCGTTTCACACAAACCAGTCATTGGCATGATGGTGCACTACGGCGATGGCCATCGTGCCTGCATAGGGCAATATCGGTTGGACTGGGTGCTTGACAAGTCTCCTGCTGATCCCTCGATGTCGCTGCGCATTGGCCTAGCGAAAACCCGGAAAAACTTCCCATATGTTGCGAGAATCACCTTAGGGAATCCGGCCGCTCCTGCATCCGACTCACTCTCCTGGATGGACGTTCCCTGGCATGGCAAGCTTGAGTGGTGGTTTTCACAACGTCAGTGTCGATTATGCCATTGTGACTAAATTTCATTGAATGGTTCGACCATGACCTCCCATACTAAGTGTGCCTGACATGATCGCTATGCAATTTCAATGTCACTGATGTAAGTAGTCCTCTTCCCATGGTACGCCCACACTCTCTTCCCGCCATATTTGATCTGTGTCCACTCACCCCTGACTGTTTGTCTGGCCTTACCCTTGACATCTTTGAAAATGTACTTGTCTGGGTGGAACACATGTGTCTCTCGTCGAACTTTGACCTGGATGGGCTGACTTGAGTGCAGGTCAACGCTAGCAGCGACTGCATCATCAACGGATTCAGGAGGTTGCTGATATGCGTGTTGAGAGGGTGAGGGTTCACCAGAATACTGATTGCCTTGGTCGTACGGCTCTTGGCTGGTCCCCATGTAGTTCTGGCCCTCATCCTCCAAATCCGCCAGAGATTGACTTGGAAGTGTCGGTGCTGACCGAAGCGGCACCTCCTCCTTCACCATAAAGAGACACTGGGGCAATACCCAGGCATTATCCGAATCGGCGTCAATGTATTGGGTACGATCCGCGAATGTTGCTTTTCCGTGGAACGGTGTGAGGCTCGCTGCGCCCCTCTCGTAGAACCAAACGCGGAAAGATACTCCCACCGTGGTCATCGTGTAGATGAACAACAAATTGTCCGACTCGATGCATCTTTTGGCTGCGTCCAATGCCTGATCTTCCACCTCTCGAAGACTTCCGCTAGGCCGTTTGCATTCCACCCAAAGCAACGCGGACATCGTGTGATGGTCAGCGTCATATCGTTTTACCACGACATCAATTCGCCTTCGAGAGCCGTCGGGCGACACTTCGCACGTTACGGCATAGATACGAGTGTCAGAGAATTCTTGTTTGAGGTAGTGTTGCCAAAATTCAGATGACTTGTATTCGATATCCGCAACGGCATCCTCATACATGAAACGAAGGATTCCGGAAGTGAGAACGCTCATGGTGACTGGTAACAGATACTGTTGCTAGCTCGATTGTTGCGTCCAGCGTCCTTGGAACATGTGCTGTATCGGCAAGGACAGGAATACCGGACATTCATGTCTCTTTTATACGTCCTCCGTTGCTTCGTGGAAAAATTGGCCGGGGCTACTCACCCTCGTTTCAGAAAAGCGCGTATTACTCGAATGAGGTCGTTGGGTTGACGTACCGTTGGCTGAGCTGTTGTGGAAAGCGCCAGCTCCGTCGCGGTGGTTGTCAGGACGGCCGCAGTAGTACGTATACCGTGTAGCCATTCTTTGGTCTTTCACATGCCGACCAGCGTTAAAAGTTCCGAACATCCCTGTCCTGCGATGTCGACGAGAATTGTTTAGATGCATTGCACCTGCCACTGATTAGCCGCGCCGTCCTGCGGGCTTAATGGTCGTTGGTTCAGACTGCGTGAATCTGTGAGCCTGCGTGCGCTAGCGCGAAAACACTTGCCGACGAAGGATCACCTGAGCAGCTGCAGGCTTGAAGCATTGGACCGGACGCAAAGTAACCCTCCACCGATACCGTCAAAGACTGCAGTAGCGCGGGGATTCAGGCGACCCGTGCCATCCGTCGATTCCGTTCCGTGCATGCAGGCCACCAATGGCATGCAGAGCTGATGTAGCATACCGCGCATCATCGGGGCTTGCCATTGGTCAATGGCGGAGCGGACCCCTGCGTCAGTTCTGTGAGCAAGAGGTGTCGAGGGCTCCTCCAAGAACGTTGCCAGCTGGTCATCAGTGTTGGGTGGGAAGCAGCTGTGACTTTCAGCGGCAAAGATCGGAGAAGTCAGGTACAGTACGCGCCCTTCTCGCTACCCTCGTCTTTGTCACTTGCGTGATTGAGCTCATGGATTATACAGCTCAGTGTCAGACATTTTGGCTCCACACGGGTCAGAGATGGCATCAGGCAAATGAATGAGAATTATCTAAAGAACAAGAAGCGAGTGAACGAACGCACGGAATTGTGCAGCTCTTTATACACAAATGAAACGTTCGTCGCATGATTACGCAGCAGCTGTTGCCTAGCTAGTAGCAGGCCACAGCGGCATTGCGTAGTAATGTCGCCACCTCATGATTCATGAATATTGCCACCTTGTTGGCAGGTCTCTACAGAGGCCTTCGTTGCAGCTGCAAAGGTATGTGTATTCGTCTTGTTCTTGTCTATCTTCAAGGAAGGGAAAAGGGGGAGGAGGCCACGAAGCTAGTTATGTGGCCTCAGCCGTCCTCAGCAGCGCACGTGACTGTGTACGTAAGCTAGCTAGATGAGTACAATAGACTGGTGAGGGTGTCAGCATATTTTAGCCCCTTCAGACTGCCCCTTTAGAAATACTCGGGGGGTTGGAGAGGGGGGGGCCTAAGCCCCTTAGTCAACCCCCCGAGTAGAACATGAATCTTGAACCAAACTGCGTGACCCCCTTATTCCAATGTGTATTGACATAACATTTCACCAAGACGCACCTACACGCAGAGAGGCCGTCCGTGGTCGTGGTCGTCTCGTGGTTCTGCGGCAAAGAAGGATATGAAATTAGGACGAAGCAGGAAATGCAGGACACGATGGCAGAGGCGGGGCAGGCGGACTGAAGTATGGGCGCAAAGCAGTGCAAGGGCAGGATCGGCAGAGCACAGAGGGGAAGGTCTGCTGGGTGTGCGGAGAGACGGCGGGGGCGAGGAGGTGCAGCCGATGCCAGGCCGTCGCATACTGCAGTAGGCAACACCAAAGGAGGACTGGAAGGTGCACAAGAAGGGATGCAAGCCAAGGGTAAGCTAGGGAGCTAGGGAGAGGAAGCAAGCAACGGCTGCAACGCCGCAGAGGCGGCTTTACGGCCAGCCTCACACGACCGCTAACCGCCGCAACGGCCTTTGTAGAACCTGCCGCCGACTTCAAGAGAGCAGAACGCCGGCCGACGACACGCATGCAGAACCGCCTCTCCACCCGTCTAAACGTCTCAAAAGGTAATCAGGCGGTTCCCGCTGACCATGTCCCCGATCTTGCGCTGTACCGTCTCGAAACGCGTGCACCCGCAGGCCTCGCTCTCCAGGTGGTTGATGACGGCGGCTAGGCTCCTAAAGTCCATTGCGCACATGTAATTGGGGCAGTGGTACAGTGCCTGCTGGTCTGCGTGCGGACAGGCATCAGCAGACGGCGCGCCTCGGGGTCGGGGGAAAGACTTACGTCTCGGCGAGTTGAGGTGCTGATTGAGGCCGGCCAGCAGGCGGAACGCGCGATGGCAGAGGTAGCACTCGTAAGCAGTGCCGTTCCACGCCCGGTTGGAGGCCTCATATTCGGCGGAGCCGGTCCAGCCGATGAGGTGTTTGGAGATGAGTCCGCACGGATCCTTACCCCGGACGAAGCGATACATGGCGTCGCGGTTCAGGTCCCGCGCGTCGGAGCAGGCCCCGGCCTCGAGGTGATGGGTCAGTCCGGCGGCGGTGGCGAAGTCGTTTTTGCAGAAGGGGCACTCGATCTGCTGGCCTCTGTGGGCGCGCGACCGGAGGTGCTGTCACCGCCGCAGTCAGCTTCCGCCTCGGCCGGAGAGTGGCGCCGGCTTGCGTACCATGGTTAGGTTGTTGAAGTTTTGAAAGGTTCGGTTGCACTCGGCGCAGTAGTTGTGGTCCTGGTGCTCGTGCTCGGTGCATTGCTCCTCGGTCGGCCACGTGTCGTAGCAGCACGCGCACTCGTACCGCTCGACGGTCTGCCAGTGACCCGTATCTCTCATGTGCTGGTTGCAAGCCTGCTGGCTGCCGAACCACCGTGGGCACACGTCGCACTCGAATGACGGTCGTGAGTGTCCGGTCGAGTTGCAGTGGTTGTCACGGGCCCTCCAGCCCGCCGGGAAGGTCTTGCCGCAGGTGCCGCACTCAAAGTCGGAGGCCATCGTGAGTTAACGAGCCGGCCGGGCTCAATTGACGCCAAGTTGAGAGGAGCAAGACGAGACTTGCAAGTTCCGCCTACAGTCAACCAGCTCTCAAGGTTAGCGTTTATGGCTGTAGCGATAACCGCTTTTTAACGATAGCATCAGTACACGCCTAGTTTAAGGAAACAGCCAATGAACACCCTAGGACCTCTCCATATAGCCGGGGCCCTAATGACAAATCTATATAAATATCCATAATACCGCAATAGGGAAGCAATCTCATCGGTAGTAGTGCACTCTTCTATATCGTTGTGGAAACCTCCCTGATGTGACGCCAATTACGTGACACCTGGTTATTCTCACGAAAGCAGGGCAAAGGGCATAAATTTTGGGGTGCATGTGTATGTTCATTGTTCGTCTCCCTCTCAGCTGTATCCTCCTATTTATGCCCCTTGCCCAGCCTCCTCTTTCTTCCATCTTCTTCCTTGCTGACTTACTAATCATACCCCTCTGTCCACGTCAGCCTGCCACGTACTCCCTGTTTCACCCTGTCTCGTTTCTACACCTTCAGCTAGCTATCAGGCTTCAGGACCGAGTCTTAGATCCTTCTTCTCGACAGTTATTCGAATGACACGTCGTTTCTGGCGCTGCCATCTAGCCTTCATGTTCTAGTGCTCACCCGCACTAGCATGTACCGGTACACACGTAAACCCAATCGCTGCCAGCAGCGTCACAGCAGTGATGCTCCCGAGCAAGCTTCACGCAAGCCCGTCTCAGCCTCGTGCGGGACAGCTCGTTCAGGGCCGAGCAGCGTCACCAGCACGACAAGGCGCACGCGCTGTGGAAGAGGTTCACGATCGTCGTCATGCTGGACGAGCAAATTTATACATAGTCTTCTCGACATGCTCCAAGATTTAACATATGTTTTAGACCCCAACAGCATTCAAACCTCCTGTCCAAGCTCGTAAGCTTGGTCTCGCGAAGGAGAGAGCAAAAGTGGGCATAAAGTGGATAAAAGGACTTTTCGAAGGTCGAGTATCATATGATCAGATGGTATGCCAAAATGCATGTGTTAATTGCTCTGTTCGGTTGCCCTGTATCCGTCTAACCCTCCCCTTTTATATCCCTCTGTGCCTTCCCTATGTTCATATCCCGTGTTCAGGTAGAATATACATTCTATCAGGAAGAGGGCACTGTTTGCCTCTTACTGAAGGCCACGTAAGTCATCTACGTCAGCACTTTCAGCTCGATCTCCCCAATCAATAGCTTTCCAAGCTATTAGGTCGATAGTTCAGTCTCTTGAGGTTCCCGAGCCAGTAAAATATATACCGGACTCCTCAAAAGGTCCCCGTTCGGATAGGAGATCCTCCGGACCCCTCAGTGGTCTAGGAAGAAGAAATAACAGTCTGCAGACCTCCCTTCTTACCTGGTTTCAAGCTGTATTACCTAGAGAGACCTAGAGACCTCAACTCGTTCGGACCTTCTTCTCGACACTTGGCGACGAAAACAAGGCAAGTAGGTGCAAAGCCGTTTCGTTGTCGACGGATGACGCTAAGTCATCGCTTCCGGCAATTGGTCAGCTTCTTATCGCCTCCCCGCCGAGACACGGCTGATTTTCTCGACTCTTTTCGAGACGCCCCCTCTCTCGTCACTGCTCTTCCCAAGATGGACGACGTCGACTTTGACTCGGGCGACAAGCTCTTTGACAACATCGACAACCAGGACCTGCTCCCGTCACAGAAGCGCAGGCGCCACGACCAAGATGGACACGACGACAGTGCCTCTGGCGCCACGAAACGCCAGAGACGCGATGCGTCGCACACCGCCCTCGCCCGTCGGATCCTGACCGACAAGTTCGGCTACCACAGCTTCAATCACCAGCAGGAGGCTGCCATCGGCCGCGTCCTGGCTGGCGAAAACACGCTCGTTATTTTCCCCACGGGCGCTGGCAAGTCCCTTTGCTATCAGGTAATGAGTCGTTCACGCTCCCACCTCATCGTTACTGCCATCACTCCGAGTCCTAACCAAAGTCCCCGCAAGATTCCAGCCATTGCCTTCGAGGAGCTCGACACGACTGACGGCTCCAGGGCCCCCGGCCAGTCCGGAATCAGCATTGTCGTGTCGCCATTAATCGCTCTCATGAAGGATCAAGTCGATGCCTTGCAGAGCCGCGGCATTCCTGTAGCGTCCATGAACTCCACAAAAACTTATGAGCAGCAGCAACTCACCCGCGTCGCCTTGCAAAAGGGACAAATTCGCCTTCTGTATTGCGCCCCCGAGAGACTCAATAACGAGTCCTTCATCGAGAATATAAAAACTGTCCCCGGAGGCGTTCGACTCGTCGCTGTCGACGAGGCCCACTGCATCTCTGAGGTTTGAATCCTCCCTCTCTAGATCCGTGCAGCTCGATTCAGCTAACTTTCCCATGCGACAGTGGGGCCATTCATTCCGCCCTGAATATCTCAAAGGTGTGAAAGTCTTTCGTTCAGCCCTTCCGTCTCAATGCTATTGAATGCTAACCAGTGCCCTTCAGTTGCTCGGTTCGCTCAAGAGATCAACGCCGAGCGAGTCGTCTGCCTGACTGCCACCGCCACCCCCAAGGTTGCCGACGACGTTTGCAAGGCATTCAAGGTCGACAGCTCGTGTGTTTTCCGCACATCTCCATACAGGCCCAAGTTCGCTCCGCCCTCACAACAGCCGACTACACAATGTCACGACTAACGCCATCACAGTCTCCATCTCTACGCGGAATCTGTCCAACAAAAGCAAGACAAGTTTGAAAAAACCTTTGCGTTTCTGAAGTCCCAGCCTGGTCCAACTCTCATATACGTCACCTTGCAAGCGGTCTGTTGCTGCATCCTTTCTTTCCGCCGGTGGTCCTGAACCAAACTGACAAGTCGTAGCAAGCAGAGTCGCTCGCCAAGGATCTCACGCATCAAGGGTTCCATGCTGAGGCATTTCATGCGGGCATGAAAGCCGAAGTAAAGCTGCAGATCCAGGATGACTTTATGGCATCCAAGATTCCGATTGTAGGTAAACGAGATTAACGGGACATGACAGGCGCCAACACATCATCGATTGCAGGTTTGTGCAACTATCGCGTTCGGTATGGGCATCGACAAGCAAGGTATGCCGACCTCCCAACCCCTCTGGGCATACTCTGACCACGTCAGATATCCGAAACATTATTCATTGGGACATTCCCGCCACTGTCGAGGAATACACCCAGCAAATCGGTCGCGCCGGTCGAGACGGCAAGGCGAGCCACTGCATGCTCTACATCTGCCACGAAGACTTCTATATTCGGGAGAACTTTGCACGTGGAGACCTTCCGTCATGGACGTCTCTAAAGGCCCTGCTTGAAGACATCTTTGACGAGGACGCCGTCTTGTTACCGGTTGACGGGGTAATAATTACGAACCACAATGCTCAATCCAAGGGCTTTGACATACGGCTCTCGCCGCTGAGCATCATATATGCGTCGCTGGAACTCCGCTTTGGGCTCATCCGGGCCATCACACCCCAGTACACGCAGTACTCCTTCGAGGCAACATCCAAGTACTACCCATCATTAAAAGCGGACAAGTCCAAGGAGGGAAAGGCTATCTTTTCCAATGCCCGCAAGGCGGCGAAATACCATCACATTGACGTCTCAGGTGTCGCGAGAGCAACAGGCCTTCTGCGTGCAGATCTTGTCAGGAAACTCAGCCAGCTGGAAGAACGGGAGTGCATCAGACTTAAGGCCAGCGGGATCGAGCATCGGTATCGCATCCTCCGGCCTTTTCCATCAACAGATGGCGCAATCGTTAAATTGGTGGACGAACTGTACGCTGACCTTGAGTTTCGGGAGGAAGAGGTCATGCGTCGGGTTCAGCAAATGGCTGATCTGATAACCGGGACCAAATGCTTCGCATTGGCCCTCGCCGAGCATTTTGGGATGAAGCTTCCAGATGGAAAAAGGAATTGTGGACATTGCACCTTCTGCCTCCTGGGATGGCCGGTCGTCTTGCCACCCAAGCCCCCTAAAGCAGTCGACAGGGCGGGAATCGAGCGAATCCTTCAGGCTTGTGACGTCCGAGACGATCCGAGGTTCTTGGCTCGTGTTGCGTTTGGCATCAAAAGCCCCAGAGTCACACAGTTGAAGTTGGACAGGTCGCCTGTGTTTAGATCCTTGGCCGACCACGACTTTAAGGTGAGCAACTCTTGCATGCGCGAATACGGGGGCCTCGAAGCTGACAGTCATGCAGACACTGCTGAAGGAGTTTACCGCCGCGTGCGAGGCGGTTGACGCGGACTCAAGGCGTTGAATTGGCGGCGTATATGTATGGCATGCTCCTGTGGCAGTTTTTATCTCTGGACCAGCGGCTTGATCGCTCAGGGCGGCGGTGAGCCAACAACTGTTCTTGGGCACCTGCGTTCGTTTCGTGTCACGCTTAGCGACGCGTCCGACCTTGCACCTAAGCAGGATTCGCTTCTCACGACATCGTCATATACGACAACTCTGATAAAAATAATAGCCGGCCCAATGCTTGCTACACGCCGCTATAGGCTTTTAAATTCGTCCGAATCTTTTCGATGACTGCGCAGCTTATGACAGTAGTCCCAGTTCTTATGGCGCTGACTGTCACGCGCTTAGAGACCTGGGTTGCGTCATCTGAAACCGAAGTGGGGATCGCGACGCGCGGCAGGACCTATACTATATAAGGATGCGGGGATAACCACAGCCCGCTGGAGGAGCTCTTTAGTGATCAACAATTGCATCACTGGCCCCCGTTCTTCACTCTCTGTTTCGTTGTGATTGTGCTCCATACAATGCTCCTCTATAGGTCGTTTTGGGGACGGAGTGGCTGGCGGCTGCGTGTGTCTTTTGGAGGGGCGCTTCGGCTGCGCGGGGGGTGGAGTGGAAGGCACTTGCTCTTCCGCGAGTCGCCTCGGTGATGGATTGGTTGGCAGTTGCGTGTGTGCGGTATATTGGTATTGAGCCTCACGGCGGCGGCTTCGGACTTCAGCGCGCCGGCGGT